AAAAATATGCTTGTGTTGTTTGTTTTTACTTGTTACGTGAAAATATCAGAAACATGGACCTCGGCACCGATCAAGTTGGCTTCCTTGGTATTCTTTATGACCTTGGGGAAATGAGTTATGGGTTGTGGGTAACATGTGCACAGGACAATCTAATAAAGAACACATTTAGAACTTCAACACATGGACTGGGGGCTTGTTAATCTAAACATATATCTCACCAGAACAAAGGTTATCTGTGAGCGGGTGACACCTGACACTCGTACCACATTCAAATACAAAATAAAGTCGAATGTTTTCACGCACCTGTGTGTCCTTTTTCACCAATGTCGTGATCGCATCCCCCTGGTCAGTGTTGGCATTGCTTAGACTGCACCTCAGCTCAGAAACGGAGTAGGTGTAAGAGAAACAACCAGCGGTTTGACGACATAATTCCTCACACATCCTCGGTCCGTAGGGAGTTATACTCATATCTAACTTTACCAAATGACCCACTCCGAACACATGTACAAGGACTCCCAACTGTATTATTGTGTGAACAAACATGACCTCCCTCCATACTCTCCAAGCGTGAGTGATATAGCTAGCAACATGCCAAAGTGGTATTATGCGATGCTGTCATAAATGATTCATGACTCAAGCACATTGGTCTATCGATAGGTTATAACATTAGCCAGGACGAATGAAACGTTGCTTTGTAACGTTCATTAATCACGTGACCTTTCGATTTCACACAACAGTAAACGCACTTCATAAATTGTGTCCGTAGATATGCTTCCTTTTTGATATATGTGAAAATTATGACTGTTAATTAATGAAATGATATATATGAAGATGGCACGATGTTGTACAATGTCAAGCATGTGCAGTAATGACGACGTTCGCAAGTCCTGAACTCAAAATGTATCTACAGCACAAGCTCTACTGCCGGAAAGAAATGTTTAAAACTTTTATTGATCTGCTTGATGTTGAAACCTATGTCCAGTTGGAATTACAAGATGAAGAAGATATGTTGTCATTTTTCTTTGGTGCTGATACTCACTTCTCACAATGTATTGACATAGTTACATGGGAATCTGTTATACTGATATTTTCTGCTTAAGTACTTACACTAAAGCCTTACCTTGATTATGTCATCTGATCTAACCTTTTGTACTGTGTGAATGGCATAACACTGGTGCTTCTGTCTTGTATTGTATATATGTACAGGTAATATGAGCTTGTGTGAATATATTTGATAAATTATGTATAATCTTCGGATTAACTTCTGGAGGAAATAAAAAATCTCTCTCTCTCTCTCTCTCTCATTTTGGAAACCTAGATATTATGTTAAGGGAGACAGTATCACTTGACTGTGCTTTGTTTAAGCGTATCGTATTATATTACGTCGGTCTTTCCAAGTGCTATTACAGCTCAGATTGTGGCCTCTTGAAATCTTCTTTAGAACGCCCACAATTTCCTCCGAACATATGGACTGATGAATGTTATTATTCTTCCACCAAAGCCTGATGATAATGTTGAGAGGACACGTAACAGTATTTGTTGTTGGCTAAAATGTGAAGAAAGCACTCTACAATATTGGTCGCTCGGTAAATGTAAAGAAGGTACTTTACAACATAGGCAGTTGTGTAAAATGTGAAGAAGGCACTTTACAATATAGGCAGTTGTGTAAAATGTGAAGAAGGCACTTTACAATATAGGCAGTTGTGTAAAATGTGAAGAAAGCACTTTACAATATAGGTAGCTGGGTAAACGGCAAAGAAGGCACCTTACAATATAGGTTGCTGGGTTAAATGTGAAGAAGGCACTTTACAATATAGGTAGCTGGGTAAACGGCAAAGAAGTCAGCGAGCCTGACCACCCGATCCCGTTAGTCGCCTCTCACGACAAGCATAGTCGCCTTTTACGGCAAGCTTGGGTTGTTGAAGACCTATTCTACCCCGGATCTTCACGGGTCTTACAATATAGGTAGCTGGGTAAACGGCAAAGAAGGCACCTTACAATATAGGTAGCTGGGTAAAATGTGAAGAAGAAACTTTTATAATATAGGTAGCTGGGTAAAATGTAGACGACACTATACACGTCTGGTCGCTTGGCAAAATGGAAAGAAGCCACTTTACTTTATAGGCCGCTGAGGATAATCTAAAGATGGCACTTCATAAACAGTGCAAACATTTCCTTACATACAGTGTAATTTCCGCATTTTATTTTTCAAAGAATTGAGTTTGGCAGCTAAAGGTTAAGCTTGAAATGTCTTTTCCAATCCCTCTACATTTCCTGTATATAGTTAATAATATAAAACTTCAACCCAACCCTAAAAGATAGTACTTCAGATAAAGTGTGCTCTCCATTAAGGCAGTCGTTTACAGTTCAAATGACGCATTATCTTCCCTTACAATTGGTTAAATATTAACATAACTTAAAACCTCTCCTTGATGCCAATGTCTGGCGTCGTGCTTATCCAGTCTTTGATCAAAATTCGCCTACTTATATACTGAATCGTCACACATATATATGAGAGCTTCTAGCCATGGTACAACTATTTCCATAGGGTCCCCTCACTGTTGGTATGTTGAAAGGTATCTGTTAATAATTTAATATTATTAATCAATTATGTTAACCTTAAAGCTGTGCGTGGGAATGGTTGGAGTTTGTGGAAATGTATGCAGAGGGAGTCCCTGTTTCTGTTTGATACACTGTCGCCATATGTCTCTTGTGGTGAGGGGGCGGTCGGGTAGCCTAGCGGTTAACGCGTTCGCTCGTCACGCCGAAGACCCGGGTTCGATACCCGACATGGGTACAATGTGTGAAACCCATTTCTTGCGTAAAACCATACTCTCTCATTCATTGCGGTGAGATTGTGGTGCACGGTTTCACAGATAGAAGTTGTCAATGTGACTGTCCTCCCAGTGTCCATAACGAGGTGGCCCAGTCGTCCAAGGCGCTGCGATTCGCTGTGCAGAGTTGCGTCCCTTGGGCACGCCAGAAACCTATGATTGTGGGTTCGAATCCCGGTTCGCCCCGATTATGTTTCTAGGTTTGTCAGCACTTTACCCGTGCTCGTGGGTTTCACCGAAGTGCTAAACGTCTTGGACCTGCATCACTTCGAGCTTTCCTTCCACATTAAGCTGACACCCCGCGATATAACTGGAATATTGTTAAAAGCGGCGTTAAACCCAACTCACTCACTCCTTTACGTTTGAAACAAGTGATGCGACTATGCATCAGTCGCATCACTTTGCTGACTTTTTGATGCATGTCACCGTATCCCAATTGCCTAGATCGATGCTCATGTTGTTAATAACTGGATTGTCTGGTCCATATTCGACTATTTACAGACCGCTGTCATATAGCTGGCTAATTGCTGACTGCGGAGTTAAACAAACAAAATGTTGGTAGCATCGAAGTATCTGCAGGCATGACACTATTTAATCTCAGACGTTCATAGTTTAATCCTCACCACATGAAGGTTCATGGTCCAATGAGGTTGAGGTGAGGTGTGCTGAAATGGGGTTAAACGTCGCGTCCAAGATTATTGCACTTGCATGCACGTGTGTGTGTGTGTGTGTGTGTGTGTGTGTGTGTGTGTCCGCTTGTACTAGTCTGGACTGAAGCCGATTTATAGTGCTACCCATTGAGATACCATGTCGCAGTTTAACATGAATGACCCACTCAGACACAGTATACTGACTCCGAGCCGACCAGTCCTTGTTTTAGTCCCTTAATGCCGTGCACCAGACAGGGTAACAACAAGTACCATCTTTTAACGTCTTTTGGAATGACGCGGCCGGGATCGAACCCCGGACCTTCCGCTCCCCGGGCGGACGCTCTACCACTAGACCACGGAGGCAGTCTGGTCCAATGTACTCAAAGTGAACGTCAATTCTTAGTTATGTAAGGATAAGAAATATGGATGAACCACTTCCATATAACCCTATATCTTATCCTTACTTAGTATTCCAACTTCTAAATGCCTCTCAAAGAAGAAATTCTTAGGTATTCCTCAACAAATCCTCACCAGGCCTGGCGCCTATAGGACATCTGTTGGATGTCTTGAAAGGAGTAGTCCAAGACAACCATCCTCCACCAGAAAACCAACTGGTTGGATTTCTTCAGCAACGCAACAGTCTTCTCAGTTCTTTGCACACAAGTGTCAGGACTCAGGACTGTTTTGCTAACTGAGGCGGTCATACCCAGTATTGAAGCAGGCGTTGACTTTGTCGTCAGTTTGTTGCCTTTGTTTCTTAAATGGTTTTATTCTGCTTCATGAAACTGTATCCGAGTTTCTATTTCTCCTTTGGAATTTAAGGATTCATTTTTTACTTCTGATTTTAGGGTTGTTGTTTTTTTGTCTCCACTTGCGTTTTCCGTCTGATCGTGATGGCATGTGAGGGTGTTCTATAACTTGCTCTGAGTAGTAAATAACAAAGTATGTCCTAACAGACCTAAACGCAACAAGAGTTTGCCACTAACGTGGCCCGCCCCTGTTGCAGAATTTATGACATAATATAATCTAAACAAACCCTAACCTTTTTTAACCGAGGTGGAACTTGTCATGGAAATTGTTAAAAAAAGAAGAGTTTGGAACCTAAGTCCATGTTGTTGCCATTGGAACGAAAAAAATAAAAAAATTCTAAAATTTCTAAGCAGCAAAAGGCCCCAGTTCAGCATGTACCTGACAAACCTGCAAAGTTTCATGAAAAAATATTGAACGGTTTATGAGTAATGCTCCGGAAACGAACCCTACCCTCACAGAACCTAAGTCCATCTTGTTGCCATGGAAACGTAAAAAATTAAAATTTCTAAAATTTCTAAAATTTCTAAATAGCAAAAGGCACCAGTTCAGCATGTACCTGACAAACCTGCAAAGTTTCATGAAAAAATATTGAACAGTTTCTGAGTTATGCTCCGGAAACGAAACGTGACGGACGGACGGAGCCCGTTTCTATAAAAAGTGAAGTTTGTTGTTGAAATGGCTTTCCAAACAAGGTAACTCAAGTGTGTTTGTTTGTATGTTGTTTAATGATGCACTCAGAAAAAAATCCTGTTATATCGCTGCGGTCTTTCTCTAGTAGGATATTTTCAAACTTCATTTTGGAATCATTTTGGAAGAAATGGCTGCAGAATGTCCATGGGCAGAGGGAATATGATAGTTGAATTATGTTCAGCCGCGATACTGCTTAGAGACTGCAAGTAACGCAACTGCAGAGCTGCAGGGGATGCTGTGATGATATCGGCAGCCTCCTTCAGAGCTCGGGAAGCATTGTATTCTCCTTCAGCAGCAATAACCTGCAACAAAAGGTCAAACTTAGCTGGCATAATAAGGTCAAGGTCAACATTGAGGAAGGTCATGATGGTGAAAGAGTTGGTCTGCTGTAATCTTTATGTACCATGTGACAGACGTTTATAGACATATCAACTTACCACGTATGGATATGCAATAACAAGCCATAGCCTCAATTCTATTCAGCAATATTCCAGCTTTATGACCTGAATACAAATGAGTCTGGACCAGATAAACCAGTGATTGATATCATGAGCAGTTTAAAAAAATCAACCAAGCCACCTAGCCTAACCAGAAAATCAATTTAGTCACCACAAGCATACATTGCTGGGGACAATAGGGATCTGTACCTGATCTGTGTTTTGGGTATTGTCTCTCACTGTCGGAAGAGTTTCAACCGTTTTTCAAGTATATGAAGACGCTATGTTGGAGGAATGACTATCCTTAAATTATAACAGGGCCAATATGTGATTCGAGCCTACAACCAATGGTGAGGTGAGGTGAAATGGGGTTTAACGTCGCGTCCAAGATTATTTCACTTACAAAGCGACGTGGATGCACGTGTATGTGTGTGTGTGGCTGCTTGTACTAGTCCGGACTGATGCCGATTTATAGTGCTAGCTCACTGAGATACCATGCCGCAGTTTAACATGAATACCCCACTCAGACACAGTATACCGACTCCGAGCCGACCAGTCCTTGTTTTAGCCCCGTAATGCCGAGCGCCAGACAGGGTAACAACAAGTACCATCTTTTAACGTCTTTTGGAATGACGCGGCCGGGGATTGAACCCCGGACCTTCCGCTCTCCGGGCGGACGCTCTACCATTAGACCACGGAGACGGTCTCTACAACCAATTGAACCTGACATGACCTAGGAATGAAATTAATGTGGTATCCGAATGTAGTGCAAATGTATATTTTCTCTTCATTTTATTCAAGAAAATCCCCATGAACTTCGCCTACATTTGAGAGGAAATAAGACAGAGGAGTTATTCACCTTGGCCCGAGCCTCTCGTGCAGCTTCTGCCTCAGCAGCCATTGCTCTCTGGAGCTGGCGTGGCAGTCTGACGTCTTTGCTGGAATGATGAAGATAATTGCGGTGACGGAAGAAGCTTTTTACACATGCTACCGTCTTGGTATAGCATCATACTATAAACACATTAATTAATGTTTGGTGTCAGAGTCTCTGAATATAAGAACATTTCCGGAAAATAAAAGCAACAAAACCCCTTCTATTGCCACAAGACATTTCCGCTAAAAGGAGAGTCGAGTGTACGATTCTGACTGTATCATGAGCATGTGTTTATGAATGAAATAGTGATGATATCTTAAAAAACAAAAGAACACACGTTTCAAGTCAAAATACTGAATTGGATTTGTCACTGATGTGTTGGAAATGACCTCCATGCATCTATCCATAAACCTTTTTTTGAAAGCTTTACTGAGCCTTGAATCTTGTAAACTTAGAAAAAATAATTTTTGAACCTTTTAAACCTTTTAAACCTGACTAAAAACTAAAATTTTGTACCAACATTTCAATTGCAGCCACTGACTATTACCAAACGCTATCTACTGCCATAAAACATTATTGTGAGAAAATCGTTTTGAAATCTCCACGATGGGTTCAACAAAAAGTAGACCTCTTATCAATCAAAAAAAATATGTTTTTATTTCTCCAACAAGATGTTCAAGGGATCACGTTGGGAAAAACATCATTTGAATTTATATTTTTATTTTCCATTCGACCATCGATCCTATGTTCTTAGGAACATTCAAAATGTCAATGCCAGAGAATAATCAGACTCGATTATCTGCTGATCAGATTCCACTGGGCTTAAAAGGCAAAAGTTGAAAATTGTATGAACGGATCACTGAAAATCAGTGATGACACCAGGTGTTCGCGATAACAATCTGTATCCAAATAATTTGAAAAGAAGAGGTTCTACTTACACTTCTACCCTCTCCACCTTGACACCCCATAGAGCCGTCGCGTCCGCTAATATATCCTGGAGGACCAGATGTTCAATGAAAATATTAACAAATCTTCCTAAACTGAAACTGGTTGTTTGGCATTCCATTCATACATACTCCATACATAATGTTGTTATATATGTAATGAGGGTTGATATTAATTATTATTTTCTCCATTACAAAAAAATGGTCGGCAACAAAGTTACCATCAACCTGATGAAAATGTGGCGGCCCACATGGAAATGCCACTCGTTCTTCCTGAATGTTGCAAGTCTCTGTCCAGTGCATTTATGTTAACTTTGACATTTCTAACCATGCTAATAATGTAGGGATACCTGAATACTTGTGCAATCTGAGACACATTTCTCATCCTCATTGATTGTTTGTTTGTTTGTTTGTTTGTTGTTTAACGCCGCACTCAGCAATATTCCACCTATATGACGGCGGTCTGAAAATAATCGAGACCAGACAATCTGGACCAGACAATTCAGTGACTGACATCATGAGCCTCGATACACTTAATTGGGATCGATGACATGCATCAACCAAGTCAGCGAGCCTGACCACCCGATCCCGTTAGTCGCCTCTTACGACAAGCATAGTCCCCTTTTACGGCCAGCATGGCTTGCTGAAGACCTATTCTACCCCGGATCTTAAAAGGACCCTCATTGATTGTGTTTTCGCAACACATTATACAGGGTTTCACCTAAGTGGTAAACGTCTAGAACCGGTCATCTTCCCGAGGCAAGGGAGTTAACTGACTTTAAAAGTCCAGTTTACACCCTTGCCGAAGTAGGCTGGAATTCCTAGGTTCGATCATAGCGCCACCACTGGTTATTACGAGTTATGTCCCTTCTATGCCTCTCCTATGGAGCAACAGGATTCCAACTCTCGTATCACTTACATTTGCTTCAAACAAAATGGCGGCGCCCAATCTGATCGAGATCAATATTGTGATAAAACGGGTCTTACATCGCGAAGTGCATCAAATCACGTGAGCACCTTGATTAAATACATGAAAAGATTTGGACAATATCTGTTCACAATGAGTTGTCGGTGCACATGCTTCTAAATCCTTAAATCCATCGAAATCTGCATGACAGTTTATCATGTTTATGAACCGGATTTCGATTTCATTGCGCGATTTTGATTGGACTATGCATAGACTCGTTAGTCCAGCCAAAATGTAACTCCCTAATACCAACCTAGTTCGGCAAGGGTGGAAACTGGACTTTTATAGTCAGTTAACTCCTTTGCCTCGGGAAGGTGAAGACGTTGTCCCCCCAAACAACTTCATGCTATAATCACTGCATGCATGACAAAATCACTACACTTTGTTCAGATAACAAAGGCACATTACCTACTGATGTTGTGGAATAATTCAGGAGAAGGGATTAGATAGGGGTGAACACTGAACAGGCTGAGGGAGATTAAGCTGAGAAGGCTGTTAACTAGAAGTATCTTTGTTCTGGCAAGTATATTCATATAGTAACAAAAACTTAATACGATATTGTTTGGAGTATCTTTGAAAAAGAATCCAAACATACATGACCAGGTATTTCATGTAAGAGGTTAAATGAGTTGACTTTACCAATTTATAGAAGTAAGTAAAAGAATTTTTAAAAGGATATTAAAATAGCTATGGTATAAATATGCGGGATTCCCCCTGCCACTCTAAAAACAAAAATTGCAGTTAGATCAACTATCTATCCTACTCACATTTATCCCTAATTAGAAACGGTTATTCTTTCGTTAAAAAGAAGGATTTTGTCATTTATCGCAATACTGATCATCGTTGTTTCTTGTATTGTTTCGAAGGTCATTATCGTGGTGCATCAATGTTTCAGTGTAACGTTTCACCCTTTATCATATTACACAGAAAAGGTAAGGAATCATTTTGAGGATATTTTATGAAATTGTGTGTTCAGTGATATTCCCAAAATATTCATGACTATATTATAACTATTTCTTCAGTATATGTAATACCTGCGTGAGATGACTGATAGCTTCTCTCTCCGACAGAAGCTCGCTGAGGACTTTGGTTCCAATGACATTTCTGAGTGTGGTCGCTGCCAACAGTCTGGTGGAGCTGGAAACGTCACGGACATTTGTGACGGACATGATGGCGTTCTGGATACGGTAGTAGATGACGGCATCCACTGCCACAGTCACCGAGTCACGCGTCAACACCTTGGCGGAAACAGTTTAAAGTCCACAACTGTACCGGGTTCTTACAGATTACAACCGTCTCCATGGACTTTCATATTCTAATTTTCAGAGTGTGACATAAGGAGTGTCCAAGCAACAAACTATACAGAGACGGTTAATGACATTACATTTGTGGCAATTACTGTAATTCATGCATAACATACGACACCCTTGTCAGAAATTCACCACATGGGGTGAGACACTATATCCAGACACGACGTCCTACCCCGACCCCCCTGTGACACACTCACCACGTGGGGAGCGACACCACACACGACGTCCTACCCCGACACCCCTGTGACACACTTACCACGTGGGGAGCGGCACCACACACGACGTCCTACCCCTTACTCTTGTGACACATTCACCACGTGGGGAGCGACACCACACGCGACGTCCTACCCCCTACTCTTGTGACACACTCACCACGTGGGGAGCGACACCACACAGGACGTCCTACCCCCTACTCTTGTGACACACTCACCATCTGGGGTGCGACACTACACACGACGTCCTACCCCCTACTCTTGTGACACACTCACCATCTGGGGTGCGACACTACAAACGACGTCCTACCCCGACACACTCACCAACTGGGGAGCGACACCACACACGACGTCCTACCCCTTAGTCTTGTGACACACTCATCCCATTGGGGAGCGACACCACACACGACGTCCTACCCCTTAGTCTCGTGACACTCACCCCAATGGGGAGCGACAACACACACGACGTCCTACCCCGACCCCCCTGTGACACACTCACCACGTGGGGAGCGACACCACACACGACGTCCTACCCCCTACTCTTGTGACACACTCACCATCTGGGGTGCGACACTACACACGACGTCCTACCCCGACACACTCACCATCTGGGGAGAGACACCACACACGACGTCCTACCCCTTAGTCTTGTGACACACTCACCCCATTGGGGAGCGACACCACACACGACGTCCTACCCCTTAGTCTCGTGACACACTCACCCCATTGGGGAGCGACACCACACACGACGTCCTACCCCGACCCCCCTGTGACACACTCACCACGTGGGGAGCGACACCACACACAACGTCCTACCCCCTACTCTTGTGACACACTCACCAACTGGGGTGCGACACTACACACGACGTCCTACCCCGACACACTCACCATCTGGGGAGCGACACCACACACGACGTCCTACCCCTTAGTCTTGTGACACACTCACCCCATTGGGGAGCGACACTTCACACGACGTCCTACCCCTTAGTCTCGTGACACACTCACCTCATTGGGGAGCGACAACACACACGACGTCCTACCCCGACCCCCCTGTGACACACTCACCACGTGGGGAGCGACACCACACACGACGTCCTAGCCCCTAGTCTTGTGACACACTCATCATCTAGGGAGCGACGCCACACATGACGTCCTACCCCGACCCCCCTGTGACACACTCACCACGTGGGGAGCGGCACCACACACGACGTCCTACCCCCTAGTCTTGTGACACACTCACCCCATTGGGGAGCGACACCACACACGACGTCCTACCCCTTGTCTTGTGACACACTCACCACGTGGGGAGCGACACCACACACGACGTCCTACCCCGACACCCCTGTGACACACTCACCACGTGGGGAGCGGCACCACACACGACGTCCTACCCCGACACCCCTGTGACAAACTCACCACGTGGGGAGCGGCACCACACACGACGTCCTACCCCCTAGTCTTGTGACACACTCACCCCATTGGGGAGCGACACCACACACGACGTCCTACCCCGACACCCCTGTGACACACTCACCACGTGGGGAGCGACAACACACACGACGTCCTACCCCTTACTCTTGTGACACACTCACAACGTGGGGAGCGACACCACACCCACATACATCCTACCCCGACACCCCTGTGTTTTAGAAGTTTAAAATACCGCCTCTTTCGAAAGTTTCGAAATTATGTAATAATCATTCTTACCAATATTTGATTACTTTGGAATAATTGTACTGAAGATCAATAACTGACACTGGAAAGATTAAGTCTGGATGCTCTAAGAACCGTATGTGGTTCGATCCGGGGTACAAGTCATAACCAACTGTATAAAGAAACAAATCTGAAACCTTTATCATAAAGGTGCAAAAATCAACCTTTATCTTTATTCTACAAAATCGGAAACAATTTAGCACCAGCTTATCTCTGCAACCTTATTTCTGACTAAGTTAACGCACGCAGTGATTTCATCCTTTGAAACTCCTCAGACCTCCAATCAATTAGATGTAAGACTGAACACTACACACAATTCTTTACACCTTACTCTACAAAATATATGGAATAATCTATCCGAAGAAATTAAATCTACTGGCCCATACTCTAAATTTCGAAATGTATTATCATGCAATAACAATTACACACAGATTTTTAATCCAGATTCTGTTAAATTATCCTCTGCCGCCTCAGACTCGGATGTAGTGACCTAAACGGACATAAATTCGACAGATTCATAACTGACAGCCCAGGTTGTTCCTGTGGTCACCACTATGAAGACCCGCTACACTACTTCTTTGTTGCAAATATGATCTTAGGAGAAGCAACTTATTATGCTACACAAAATGATATGTACGGTGGCTCATAAGGGACATAGAGTCTGTTTTTCAATATTTTGATATTTCACTTACTGTTATCGTAACCTTTTGCAAATTAACACGATTTGTCATACAAATATGTGATAAATCATGTATAAAGTTACGGTGGCCCATAAGGCTCATGAAGTCTGTTTTTAAATATTTTGATATTTCACTTACTTTAATCATAACCTTTTGTAAATTAACACAATTTGTCATACAAATATGTGATAACTCATGTATAAAAACAACTGAAAACATAGAAAATGTACTTTCAAGTAGCTAATGAATCGCTGAAAAGTGAAGCGAAAATGTCAAAAACTAAAATGAAAATGTCATAAACAAAACGAAAATGTCAAAAACAAAAGCGAAAATGTCAAAAACAAAAGCGAAAATACAGAAAACTATTTCCACCGCTGTGAAAACTATTTCCAATGACATTTTCGCTTTTGTTTTTGACATTTTCGTTTTCGTTTTGTTGTGTTACGCCGCACTAAGTAATATTCAAGCTATATGACGGCGGTCTGTAAATAATTAAGTCTGGACCAGACAATCCAGTGATTGACATTATGAGCATCGATCCGCGCAATTGGGATCACCGAGCCTGACCAGCCGATCCCGTTATTCGCCTTTTACGACAAGCATGAATTGCTGAAGACCTATTCTAACCCGGAACTTCGTGGATGTATACACCTTGACTGTCTTTGTTACTTGATTTCTATGAAGAGAGAGTTATTAAGATGTTTATTAATGTCTTGTTTACCAATCCCAATTTTCAGTTGAAATAAAAATAGGTTTAAACTACACCCCTGTCACATACCCACCTCTTGGGGCGGCACATCAAAGGTCTTGGTCCTCATGTCCACCTTGGTCATGTCGTCCATGCAGGGGATGATGAAGAAAACACCTGTGGCACAAACAATGAGAACAGCCAAACATGTTTGTTTCCAGATGACTAAATAGAACTAATATTTAGTCATCTGGAAACAAACATGTTTCAGTAGGCTAAAAGAAATGATCTGATTGGCTTGTTGTTTGAGTTACATTTACGATGCTGTATAACATGTAAGATAGTTTGACATGTCTCTCATCAGAACCCTTAAGTATAATAGAGAGGTCCTTTTGACCCCTGGGGTAAGTAAGAACTACCCAAGAGTATTTAGCCTTAGACTAACATTTAGTCTCTGAAATGAACATATCGTACATAAAAAAACAGTTGTTCAGTTATCTTAATAAAAATATAATAAAATGGAGCCCAGTGACTCTCTTCATTTTCAGATACTGCAGTGATCTAGACTTGCCAAACATTATAGACTTGCATGGGCTATTTTTGATATATATTTGTATCAGGGTCTGTAAGACAGACTAATTTAGCCTCTGCAAACACCTTGTGGAGAGAGTGAAGCCTCATATCTCATACGAGCCTGACACCCGGTCCCGTTAGTCGCCTCTTACGACAAGCATGGGTTGCTGAAGATAAATTCTAACCCTGAATACTCAGGGGTCTATTTTGTATTCAAACAATGAGTCATCGTACCTGGTTTCTTGTCTTCTCGGGACCTGAGTCGACCAAGTCGGAAAAGAACCACCTTCTCGTACTGATTTAGCACCTATCCCAAAGATGAAAGGTTATATAATACAGTTTAGATGAAAATAAATGGAAACAGTGCCAAGACGCTGAAGCTCACCTGCATAATGTATGTAGTCACAGCTTTTAAACGTCACAAAGACCGCCACATCATAAAAGTTGCTGTCAGTATGAATATTCACATATTTCTGGAACGTACCGAGATTAATTGATAAATATCCATCAATGTTTTATTATCTGCTACAACAAACATGTTATCAATTATATTTATTGTAAGGTAACTTGATGATTTCATAACACTTGAATCTTACAATTGTGATAAGCATTTATTTCTCTAAATTTGGTTCAAATTGTTCAATTGTGATAAAAAAACAACAATAAAACATGTCTTTCGTGATAATTTGAATATTGTTATAGCTTCCAGATAATATGACTCGAACAAAATATGACGTCATCATTAATAAAAATGAAAAGCCTCATGTGTTTGAAATACGAAAAATATGCCAGCCTGCCATCAGGACCCATAGACTTTAGAAACTGCAGGCTAAACTCTCGAGACCCTCATTCAAAAAAAAATGCAGCTTATTGAAAAATTCATGGCTAAACGTGTCGACTTACTGCAGGCCATGAGGGCTCGTACAAATTTGAAAGTACGGGCCTGACGCGAAATCTACCTGCTATGGGCCTACAGGCCTTCGTGCTCTACAACCCTCAGGAGATCATGTAAATTGACAAATATGCTTATTGAGAGAAATCAAGAACATTATAAATACAGGAAGTTAAAATAGGGGTCAAAATTTAAAATATAACCCAAAAACGGAACATACATGTTTGTTTTAATAGTGGTGCCCCAACCAATTATGTGACCATTTACTGATCATTTGATTTATCGTTTGTATGCCAACATCTGATTTTTCAATCGCATATTATTAGGACACCATCATCAAATTATTAACAGAAAAATAACCCACATACTTCATCTGTATATTTTTGTGGAAAATAAATTTCACACAAATCTCAAATTAATACATGCAGTTTAAAAGTATTGGACGACTATGCAGTGAGTGGGTGAGTCTTGTGGGTCTCAGACGTTTACCACTTCAGTGAAACCCACGAGCACGGGTATGGTGCTGACAAACATAGAAACATTATCGGGGCGAACCGGGATTCGACCCACTATCATAGGTTTCTGGCAACTCTGCACAGCGAATCGCGGGGCCTCAGACGACTGTGTCACCCGTGCCCCCAGCATATACAGAAATATGTCTCACTGAATTTATGCGCCTGTACTTGTGACATTGTGTACATCGAACAAGATATTTGATTGGCTTGTTGTGAAGATCTGTACACATGGGTAGGGTCGCCCAGAATCAGGTCAATATATCTTCTACCTCTTCTTCCAAACTGATAAATGTCAATTGTGACGAGCTTGTTATTGTCGATTGATGATGTTTATAATTATACTCAAATTTAGAGATCAATTCCCAACCCTTATGTGTTGTGTTGGGTCCCATGACAAACTACACTGACATATAACCAATAACTAATATAGACAAATTGGTTTCAACGGTCTTACTTAGTCTGCAATTCGCTGTGAAGATTTGTTCCCCTTAGTCATGCCAGGATCCGCTGACCGTGGGTTCAAATCAAAGGTTTGCCGTGATATTGATATTTGCTTTGTCAGCCCTATATTCATGCTCATGGGTTTCACCAAAGTGGTACTACCTTCGTCACTTGAATGTGACACTAGCTCACTCATTCACTGCTGTGGACAAGATGGATCACAACAAGGAAGATCCGGGGAAGAATAGGTATTCAGCAACCCATGCTTGCCGCAGCCGACTTTGCTTGTCCTAAGAGGCGGCTAACGGGATCGTTTGGTCAGGCTCGCTGACATGGTTGATGTATGTCATCGTATCCCAATTGCGTGGAGGTGACTAACGGGATCGGGTGGCCAGGCTTACTGACTTGGTTGATGTATGTCATCGTATCCCAATTGCGTGGAGGTGACTAACGGATTGTTTGGTCAGGCTCGCTGACTTGGTTGATGTATGTCATCGTATCCCAATTGCGTGGAGGTGACTAACGGGATCGGGTGGTCAGGCTTACTGACTTGGTTGATGCATATCATCGTTACCCAATTTCGTGGATCGATGCTCACGATGTCAATCACTGGATTGTCTGATCCAGACTCGATTATTTACAGACCGCCGTTATATAGCTGGGATATTGCTGAGTGGGCGTTAAACAACAAATAAACAAGCAAACACAACAAGGAAGTTCAAGGATGATGACTGTCATCAACGAGATCAAATATGATAAATGAGTCAATAACTTTTTAAAGGGATGGGAAGCAATGCTGTGAACACACTTCATATTTAATCCAGGCAACATCTGTAAAATTGCATTTTTCATTCACTCAGCCCAATAGGAAGATGTAGGCTACAAAATGCAAGGTCCACTAAGTTAAACTCAGATAATCTGGAAACACTGTTCTTACCTTAGTGCACAGACACAAGGAGAAGGGGATGGTCGCAATGATACAGATGATGGACACCAAGTATAAGATGTAACCACAGAAACCAATACTGCCTCCATCTTTGGCTGCATGGAAACCTGCTACAAAAGACGAAGAAAACACGTACCACATGTCAAATATCATTATTTTGGAAAGGGTACCCAAGGTTTGGCTTAGCCCTGTAATCGCACCACTTGTGAGGATGTGATGCCTGTCGTTTGGCTTTTCCTCTGTTTTGTTTCTGCGTGTTTTAATTTACATTTTGGATACAGACGATCGTTCTGCGTGAAGAGGAAGTTTCTCTATCAAGGCAGGCACATAGAAATGGCTGTCGCGATCAGCGATTTGAGAAAAATAAACAGGAATGCGCCCTAACTTTGTTTTTCTTTTTTCATATTTTTTTGGGGGGGATTAATCTTCAAGGACTGTATCCCCCCTCCCATTTTATGTAACATGTTATCATTACCATCGTTAGGCCCATCCGACTTCGAGTACGGCGGAAGTTGAGTTGTGTTCCCACCAGTCATCTGTCTTGTCCTGGTGGTGTTTTGGCTGATAGTGCTCGATTCGTGAAATAACAATCTGCGCCAAGCAACTCTGGTTTCGGCCTGAGAATGGCGTCACGCTACACTTACCACCGCCCGCGATTTTGACAAAAATGTCAGCGTTGAACGTAGCTAGTGTGACCTTGACAAAGGGGAAATAAATTGCCAAGCTCCACACAGCGTCAATGAGCTAGCTTCTCCACAGCGCCATCAGGTAGTATGTGCACAACTGCCCTTTTCAGAATGGGCGCCTTGTTTGACGCCGCAATCAGCAATACACGAGCTAGATCTTTCTAATAGTTTCTATATGTCACAAGTGGCGGTGTACAAATTTCCAAAACCCTCACCTACTTAAATTGTCGATCTTGAATTCCTTTTCAAAGTTCACTTTTAAATAGTAAAACATACATATATGTGGTATCTTGGTACATAGATTTCAAAAATAGTTTATGATTTGTAGTAAATCGAAGCTGTAATTCCGACTACGCACACTCGCATTTTGTGTGTTAACTGTATCGGTCGCACAAACAGTTGTGTTCATTTTCGACTCAAGTTGTATGCATTTTAAGTTAAACCATAACCTACTTTATGTTTTAATTTTAATTTTCAAAAGACACCAACAAAATCATCTGTCACCTATTTGGCGTTTTATTTGTAGTTTATAAATCTAAAGATACCAACCGATTTTATATATGAATCTACAAAAAACATCAAATAATACTTGCGGTACAGGTTTGAAATATTATCATATGTAATTTTATTTGAATTCCGCAGTTTTAGGGCCTTTAATTTCTAACTTGGCGATACGGGAGGTTGTAATGAAATGTCACTGACAAGATATTTGTTGACCCAAAATGGTTTCAATTAAGCCGTTCATCTTTTCGACTGACAAGATATCACCTTGCTCACAGAGAGAGCTACTGGTGCACAGTAGTGAGTGAGTTACGTTTAACGCTGCTTTTAACAGTATTCCAGTTATATCACGGCGTGTCAGCTTAATGTGGGAGGAAAGCCCGAAGTGATGCAGGTCTTAGACGTTTACCACTTCGTTGAAACCCACGAGCACGGGTATGGTGCTGACAAACCTAGAAACATAATCGGGGTGAACCGGGATTCGAATCCACAATCATTGGTTTCTGGCGTGTCCAAGGGACGCAACTATGCACAGCGAATCGCGGCGCCTTAGACGACTGGGCCACCCGTGGCCCCTGGTGTACAGTAGGTACAAATTACCAGGATTTTTGTTATTGAAACCGAATTCGTATATAAAATTAAAATCTAACTTTTAAAATTAGTAATATCAATTAGGTTGAGCAGCTGTATAACCAACAAGAAGTACCTATTAAACATACAAAAAATATTAAAAATGCAACGATTGTGACACTCAATCACATCTATTATAACGACTGTAGAGGTGAATGAATTATGTAGCTACCACATTGTAGCAATCCCCAGAATCCTATATTTTGGTCGAATCGCACATTTTACCTAATTAAGGCTCTCTGTTTGCCTGCAAGTCTGGGCCAGCTAAAAAAAATGACCCAGGTACAGGTCTTGTTGCAATAGATGACAGACTTGGCCGGTTTGTTGTAAGCGCCGGCTGAAATAAGGATCGGGTGGACACACGGTCAGACCTGACTGACGAAGCGTCATCGTACCCCTAACAGCAGGTGTCGTTTGATCAACAGTTTGCATGACCTTCACTCTATTAGTGATTGCTGTAACGTCATGATACTACAGTGGAGGACCTCGTGTGCTTCCATGACAAATGAATCCGCCGTTTGGAGAATGCAGAGAAAATGTTTGGGGTTTTTTCAAAATATTTTGAACGCAATATATATAAGGATAGTATACTAGGAACCTCACCCTCGTGTCTTTATATATCAAAGTTTCAACCTTGATATATTCCTTAGAAGCAAGTGGTGTTGATAACGATGTGCAATGATTCTGTCACTACACGACCATACAGGTTTTCAAGCACCTCGTGCACATCGTGCCCATGCCTCTGTCCGTGCATCATGAGGTGAGGTGAGGTGAAATGGGGTTTAACGTCGCATCCAAGATTATTGCACTTATATAGCGACGTGCATACACGTGTATGTGTGTGTGGCTGCTTGTACTAGTCCGGACTGATGCCGATTTATAGTGCTAGCACACTGAGATACCTTGCCACAGTTTAACATGAATACCCCACTCAGACACAGTATACCGACTCCGAGCCGACCAGTCCTTGTTTTAGCCCCTTTAATGCCGAGCGCAAGACAGGGTAACAACAAGTACCATCTTTTAACGTCTTTTGGTATGACGCGGCTGGGGATCGAACCCCGGACCTTCCGCTCTCCGGGCGGACGCTCTACCATTAGACCACGGAGGCGGTCCCGTTCATCATGAAGTCGAGGTCCTATATATGATAGGGGTTACCCAATCATTGTGTATCGAGATATTTCAATCTTTAATTGATTGGCAACGGTATAAGGATCTATACCGAAACTTCCCCTTTTCAGTAATTAAAGGGGTTGTTACCCATAAATTGTGTCTACTTTGTCATTCGTCAATCCGTTGGTAATGCCTATCAAACCATTCAATCTTTATTTGTTAGATGATTGTTTTATATCATTAAAACTTGATCCTCCTCAGGATTGCAACAAGTGAATGCAAATGCTCTCTCAAAGTCAAAACACGTCGTTTGACGACCGAAGAATTAGGCAGATCCATAGCTTTGCTTGAAACAGGATCAACACAACGTCACATTGCAAACGTCTTTTGTGTCAGTCAAAGTGTGATCAACATGGCATGGATTCGATACCATACGTTTGGATGGGCTACCCAGCGACATGCAGGCGGTCGACAACGTTCTACCACACAGTGGGTTGACAGGTTTCTCCTGATTGCAGCAAGACATCATCACTGTCCGACTGCCACCACACTCAGTTGAGGTTGGTGAGGGGAAATGGGGTTTATCGTCGATTATAACGGCTTGCATCCACGTGTGTGTGTGTCCGTGCGTGCATGCGTGTGTCCGTGCGTGCATGCGTGTTTGGCTGCTTGTACTAGTCCCGACTAATGGTGATTTTATAGTGCTAGCCCACTGAGATACCATGCCGCAGTTTAACATAAACACCCACAAAGTACATGGACTCAGAGCCGACCAGTCCTTGTCTTAGCCCCTTCAGTACCCTCTTCGAACGTCTTTGAGTGTGACGCGACCGGGGATCGAACCTCGATCCTTCCGCTCTCCGGGTGGACACTCTATTACTAAACCACGGAGGCAGTCGTGTCAAACTTAAAATCAAACCACAAAAACAACAGCTATTGGTTGAGACCAGATGACAAGGTAGCCGATGAATCAATTAAAACCTTCTCAAACCTTGTTAGTAAAGAGAGTTCCGCGTTTCATGCACTTATCAGAGTTCTTGCAAATATCGCAAGTTGCGTTTGGTGTATGTTATCAGGAGAACCAAATTAGAACGTTGCTTATTTAAAAATTAGTTATTGTAAAATTTTACATCACATTCTGTTTGATGATATTGCCCATCGAACATCGCGTTTCTTTTGGAGTTGAGTATATAATTATATAGTTTATATGGCCGTATCAAATCTTACATATGGGTTATAAGACCATAACAAATCTAATATATGGTTTATATAGCTATATCAAATCTTATATATATATATGTTAATAAAATAGAGTTTATCAGGCCATGTCAAATCGTATATATATGGTTTATAGGGCCGTATGAAATCTAATATATAGTTTATCAGGGCGTGTCGTATCTTATATATGGTTTAAAGGTCCGTGTCTAATCTTACACACAGTTTATTGGGCCGTATCAACGTAAATTTACATAAATCACAACAGTTTCAATTATTTAAGTACATGGTCTACTGTTTCCAATACGATAATCCAATAACTACCAAAGTCTTCTGTAAAAACAGACTGAATTACGCCCATTTGCACAGACTGCGATATGGCAAGTTAAATATCAACAATTACTGCACACAAAAGAGTTTCAGGAGATGGCAATCCAATTTCAGGATAATCTGTAGGCAGCTGATTGAGTGAGTGAGTGAATGTTGTTTAACACTGCAGTTGGCAATATTTCAGCTATAAATCAGATGGGCCTGCAAATAATAGAGTCTGGACCAAACATTGACTGGCAGCATGAGAAGATCCATACCATCACACGCATTCATCCAAATAACCCAGCTTGCCAACTGACCTTTCACAGCCAACCCTCACCACATGCATTGGTTATAGTGAGTGAGTGAGTGAGTACGGTTTTACACCGCTTTTAGCAATATTCCAGCAATATCAGGGTGGGGGACACCAGGAATGGGCTTCACACATTGTACCCATGTCGGGAATCGAACCCGGGTCTTTGGCGTGTTGAGCGAACGCTTTAACCACTAGGCTACCCGACCGACCCGCATTGGTCATAGGAACCAGTTCTACTCTGGAACTGCCATGAAGCACTCATCTTTGTTAGTACATGAGCGAATGGATGTTGTTAAAGGCTGTAGTCAGCAATATTTCAACTATATGAGGAAAGCGACCTTAATATACCCGGTAATCAAAGCTGGACCAGACAACCCAGTGGCTGATATTATGAGCAATGTTTCACGCCCTCAGGTATGATGACAGAATCAACCAAATCACCAAGTCTTATCATTCAATCTACTAAATGTGGTACCTACTGAACTGGATCTGACGGTCAGGCTCAGGGTGCTGATTCATACCCCTTAACATTTGTATTCAAAGGGTCCTGTTAGACTAACATCTAGTCTCCGAAATAAACTATTACAGAAAAAAACAGTTGTTGAATTAAAGTTATAAAATATAATAAAAGCTCAGAGACTCAGAAATTGAGCCTTGTCAAATATTATAGACTTGCATGGGCTGTATTGGATATATTTGTTAAGGGTCTGTATGGCAGACTAGGGTCCTGTAACAAGCAGCTGAACCAATAAAACCACTGAGCAGAGGGAAACTTAATATTTATTCATATATATATATTTTGGGAGAGTCAACCTTTCCTCCCCGGTTTAATTATACACATAAACATATATATTAGACTGTATTATTTGGCACCTATACTTCTATTTGTTGACAAAGGGAGCTGGCACAACATCGCCAGGGAATATAGAACCACAATCTCAATTAAGACACCAACATCATAACATCATATTTATCTACAGTAAATAAAGCATTAGTACTGCACAACAATATATAGGAAAACTTTACATATGGACAAGGTCCAAAGCAAGGCCTTCCTGATCAACCCTCAAGACAGCTGGAAATACTGATACACACCTGCATATTGAAGTACAGGATTTAAGTTAGTGAGCAAATATATATGTAATTTGAAGGGAAAAGAGTTTGATGCCACTTTTAGCAATATTCAACACATTTCACAGATGGTGACACTAGAAATTGGCTTAACACATTGCACCCATGCTGGGAATGGAACCTGTGTCTTTGGCGCTTCACCCAAAAGACTACCTCATTGCTTCTAGCACTAATAATATCTAGACTATGACTTGTACTTGCTTCATACAGCGTGACCAATATTCAGTCCCTGCTTTATTCCGAGTCCTAAACTTCAAAATTCTGCGATAAACTTTAGTAAATTTTGCAAACAAATTTTAATAATTCGGCATGCAAATCTGCAAATGTTTAATCTTAATTTTTGTGAATTTCATAATTTTGCAGGTTTGACTTTTGACAGGCATTTTTTGTGATAAACTGATCCATGGCTAGAATAGCTTATTGACGTGAATCTAGAGATCACTAGTCTAAACATACAGACATGCACTTTCCGGAAGCCAACTTCATTTCCCAAATGAAATCAATATCTGTTCACACATCTAAAACCAGCTTGTTAAAATTCTGCAGTGTACTTGGCGAATTCTGCAGCAGAAAAATACAAAATTCTGCACAAGTTCTGCACTGAGTTATTATTCCGCGATTGAGGAATTGGGGAATACAGCAGGGACGGCCTCTTTTTCATTCCATAGTGGGACGTTCAAAACCATTATGCTCTGTATTAGGCTCAGATTTGTTTCTGTCAGCTGTGACTATCATGAACAGAGTATTTAAGTGTGGCAGTTTTCAAGTTTCCATATTTTGCTGAAAGATGATAATACATGTGAATAATAATGGGATAATTACCATACAATAAGCTGAATCTTCTGGCAGGAGGCTATCTTGAGGGTTGACCTGACATGTAATAACAATACTTGCTTCCTGAGACAAAAACAATACAAGAAAGCAAGTTACAAGATGCCAGAGTGACCTGCTTCCCAGGTGACCCCCAGCTGCATCTGTGGAAGATGGGGCGGGGGAAAGAATCTTGCCAATATGCCATTATATGGAATAAAACTATGCCCATCTGTGTTTGTATCAGTCAGTCAACAGTGCTATCCCATAATCAAGACAAATGAAAAATAGAGAAAAGAAATCGGCAATCTAGTGCACGTGGCAGGCAACAAGGAAATGACACAAAGACAATCAGCGCATTGGCAATTTGTTTTTCGTTATTTGTTACTGTTCATATCATGTTATGGTCATCAGTTAACCCTGAAAGAAGTAAGGACAGAATAAAATTCTAGTTCCTTGTTATACTAATAGAGTAGGATTAATTGCTGCTTTCAGCAGAATTATCAATTATCAGGGTATGTCAGTAACATCTGTGACAACAGAACATTGGGCATAGTGGTGGGAAGACCACTGATTCAAACCCATGATCTGCTGATCAGAGCAACAGAGGGGAGAAAGTCTGCATAGCCATTTAGATCACCTGCACCTGCACAATCAAGTACACATATATAAGGAAAAAAATATCAATTATGAATTTCTAATAAAAGGAAAATTATGGATTTTTAGTCACTGTAATCACACCAACATCTTTCCAAATTATCAGAATAATATTCTTATTCATGTGACCCAGTGAGTAACTGTAAGGAGTACAACCTAATGCTATTCTACTGACTAGTCATTGTTCTACAAGTGGAGGCTCTGTGAGAGTGAGTGAGTGAGTGAGTGAGTGAGTGAGTTGCTTTAATGCCGCTTTGAACAGTATTCCAGTTATATCAACTCTGTGGATTAAATGTCATCCTCTCAGATGACTGGACCACCTGTGCTCCCCTATAAGTGAGTGAGTGAGAGATTGAGTAGGGTTTTACACCACAGTTAGGACTCCTGCAGCCATATCACAAAGGAGGACACTAGAAATATACCTTACATTGTTTTTTGCTTTGTTGTGTGTGGCTTAATGTCACATTTCATGCCTATATGAAGGCAGGCTGTAAATAATCAAATCTGGAGCAGACAATTCAGTGATTGATATCCTGAGCAACAATCCATGCCATCAGGGTCACAGATGCTGACCATCTAATCCATCTGGTCGCCTCTTACGACCAGCATAGGTTGCTGGGGACTTACTCTATCTGGGAATCCCCATGGAGCTTTACACAGTTTACCCATCATGAGAATCGAGCCAAGGATCTTAGTGTGAGGAGCAAATACTTTAACCACAAGGCTACCCTCAGCAGTCTGAAATCGTGTTAAATTGTCTGGGTCATATCTGCTTATATAGGCACTGGTCAGGTCTCCTCAAAGTCAAACAATATAGATACAGCTGAGAATACTAAATGATAAATTAATACTGTCTCAAAACTCTGCACTTTTTAGAGTCTGCGTCATACTCAACCTATTCTCATAAAAAATGAACATTACACTTGACAAATAGAATAATAACACCCAAATAGTGCAACAAAAGCTCACATGATATGTGGTTGTGTAATATCAAAACTACTCCACTTCAAACATTCTGTGTGAAAAATAAATACAAATAATTGAATGAACATAACACAAACAACACTTCTAAAATGATTTCAACAAACAGAAAGTACACATCTGATTTTGATAACATTATTCAACCTGTACAAGTTCAAGCATTGTAAACTCCTAAGATTCTGTATAAGAACTGTCCATAGATTAGTATGTAACAAGCATCTATTTCTAAATCACCCATCATGTGATATAGAATTCAAAATCATCCAATAGTATAACCAAAAATATATTCAGTTTTTGTTGCCATGGTAACTATAGACAAAATGACAAATCTTGGGCTTCTGAAAAATGGTGACTCCTAATTTCATCTTAAGTACTCATCTAGTAACTTTGATTTGATTCAGCTCACAATTGCTAATGACAAATGAAACACTACAGATCGAGGCAGAGACTAGTGTTGAGAATTAACAGCCTGAAAGTAGTATGTCTACATTTCAATGAAACAAACAAATATTTCATAAAAATGAAACCCTGACCAACAAACAAACATCAATATTAAATAATGAAATCATAATCTCTAATGAACTTTTCTATATTAGTTGTTAGTTGTCATAGAAAGGCTGTTACTACCATCCTTAATGCCAACATGTTGCCATGGTTACTCTTAATCCCACTATACAAGATCTTATCACATCATCCTATTTTCATGTTCAGCTTAGTCTGTTTCTCAGTGAGATACGTTTCTCTGACTGCTGTTTAACACATCCACTCACTAACTTACTGACCGGATACATCTCACATCACCAAAGAGGGTACCAAAATATCCCCAGGCTACAGCAAGCAAAACTTTTTCATAAAATAGTGAGTGAGTATGGTTTAACGCCGCTTTTAGCAATATTCCAGCAATATCCAAGGGGACACCAGAAATGGGCTCCACACATTGTACCCATGTCGGGTATCGAACCCGGGTTTTCAGCGTGACGAGCGAACGATTTAACCACTAGGCTACCTGACCGCCCCTCATAAAACAGTACCATTCATCGTAACTCCTTATTGAGTTATTTAGCTCCAAAGACCAATGGTTGGAAGGTGTTAAAACCAAAGGCTGACTAACTTATTGATAAGGACAATATGATAATGCATACAATTACATTCTACTGTAAGCATTAATCACAGCTAAGTAAAAATATTTCATTATTATTATTTAATAACTGACCAATTATTGATTGCTACACTTGTCACAATAAGCTTAGCATGCCTGTGTTTGTGTCCAAATGTTGTAAATATGGCTGAATCTGACTAAAGCTCAATAAATAGACTAGACAATCACAACTGTATGCAAAAAATACTCTGACTATGTGAGACTGGAAACTAGAATACCACGTGGATAAGAAATGTCATTTTTACAGGAACTTCATAAAACCTCATGTCCTCTTAACCTGAATGTTGAGTACCTTATTCGACGTAATAAGCATCCCGCTCTAATAAGCGCCCACGGCGAGATTTGCTAATATATTGGCTAGTGAACAATCCCTATTAGCGCCCCTTCCGACCCCTATTCGCATATAATACGCACTTGTGTGTTATATACACCCTTTATTATTGGCAATTAAATTCCGGAAAAATATATCTGTCGAATATACATATTTCAGGCTGTCAGCATAAACCACAAAATTTATCTTTCAACTCTGTTTTTTCACCAAGATAATATTCTAATAAGAGCCCCATATTTCTAGTTTTGAGAGCGCCCTGGGCGCTTATTACGTCGAATACGGTATTTCTTCTCCGTTCTGACTATTACTTTTTAATTGATATCTTTTACTTCAGATATCTTTTAATTTCATATCAATTATCCCACAAACACTAGTGCCAAGACTAACAAGAAAACCTGGGACATGACAAACCCCACCTAAACTCCATCAGCAGGTTAAGGGAGGTAACTCTGAAATGTTATGGACACCATATGGGAGTGGACATATTGATTTAGAGTTCAATACCATCTTCAGCAACTAATTACAGATTGGCTTCACATATAAAGTATTCATGTTCTTAATAAAACCCAAACCTGTAGGATAAGCAAACCCACCTTCCACTTGACTAACCCACCTCTATATGCGGACTGGAGAAAACCTTAAATCACATCTATGAATGCCCTACAAAATGGAGGCGGATGTGGGTTAGATGAAGCTGTGATCAAAGCTGTTTTTTCATATTTCACTCTTTTAGTTTACATGTTTCATGATATGTCTGCCAAAACAAATCCCTCAAAACATACTACTAATAATGATTTCACTCGCCTTATCTGTCCAACACTTTATGGAAAGTATATCACATATTTATCACATATCAAAGAGAGGTGTAAGGGAGTATAGTGAGTGATCTGGGCTTTTGAAAGGTATTTCAGAAAGGTCTTGGTTTGTTAGGATAAAGTTGGAGGAAAGCCTGAAAACTACAAACACAGCAATACTTCAGCTATAAGATGTTGACCTGTAAATAATCAAGTTTGGACTAGACAGTCAAGTGATCAGTATCATGAATGACAATTCACGTCATCGGGGTCTGAAGACACCAAATCAAATACGTCTGACCACCCGATCTAGTTGGTCACCTCCTCCAACCAGCAAAGGTTCCTGGGGGCCGACTCAAACCTGAATCTGTACGGGGCGCATGGTTAAGGTGCTGACGACCCAGGAATCATAATCAGGGAAAATGTGGGATTGAATCCTTGAACAGAGGATTCTGGCCTACCAAAGGATGGCATCATTAAATAGCCACCCATGATTCCACATGTTCCATATACATGTGTATTAGAAAAATTGAACCATAAAAGAATGACTACAAACTGAAATCAAGCATCAACTTACTACCTTCTACCAAGTACTCTCCAGGTCTGTACTGCTTTCTTGCTTAGGATGCCAGAGGCTTAATCACAAAAAACATCCTTTTTGCAATTATTACCATTAAACCTGTGTGTACAGTTTCTCAGTAACATTGCAAGCTATGCCAATGCTGCCCTTTCAAAACAAATGGTGATAGAATAGTAAGTCTGCTTGATAACACAGAAGCATTTGAAGTTCGGAGTTCAAGACCCAATTCTCCCCACCAATACTTAATGGACATCAGTTCTTAATAATTACCACCTTTTTCAAAATGGGATAATGAAAAGATAGATAATTAACCATGTTTGAATTGAAAAATTATTCCATAACAAGTCAATGATTATTTTTCTTAAAAATAAATAAAATTCAACAAACAATTTAATGCTTGAACAAATCCTACAAACACAATATCAATCACATTATTATAATCAATCACTTAGCCCCAAATATGTATAAAGCAAACTATCTAAAATTAAATTATGCCTATTGAACTTTACATTGAAATGAATCATTTCCATCACATGAAATGACAAGTGATGCTACAGAATGTACAATGCTTTCCTTGTTCGGAAGATAGACACGAGTGATTTTTACAACACAGACAGTCATAAATCTAGACAATTGGTTAACAAGTGGAAGAATGTTTAAGTAAAATATAACAAAGTTACTCTGACTAAACAATGATAACTGTTTCAACACAGAATAACATATCAATATGCTTATGAGTCTCAACAACTTAGTCATGTATATCTAATGATAAATCAAGCATTACTTACACATCAAACAGAAGTCTATGATCACAGTCTGTCAAACATAGCAAATCATTGAGAGTTATCCCCCTTCCATTGAGGTTATCTCCCATTAATCATGAATTTTGACATCCCAAAGTTATCTCCCTTGATTCTCCACCAGGTGTCACGTGACAATTAAATGTACAATGGTGGCTGAAAAACACAATGAAATTAAAGCTGTTTTCCTTAAATCTTGTGAGTTTGTTTGTGTAAATGATGCTTTGTGTTTTGTGTGACAAAATCAAAGATGGGATATCAACAAGGTTACATTTTGAAAAACAAAAACAGGAATATCTAGTTGATTGTGTTTCATATAAATGGTCTCTTGCATCAGGTATCAAACTATTTTTGTGGCAAAAGTACATTTCAAGAAGATGACTTCTATACATGCTGTATTTTACATTTGGTTTAATTATGAAATTTTGTCAACCAAAATAAAGAATAAAGAAAATAAGGCAAAATTACAAGAAAAGAAATTTACTTGCATTTTCCAACATAATGCTGCCATTTAGGACTGAATCCTTCCACTTACTGAGATCAACTTGTGTTGTGCACACAGAATGAAGGGAGATAACTACAGCCTGTCTGCCAATGCAACCAAACATCTACCAAGGAAAAGACATATCTAATTTATTTATAATATCAATATTCATTAATAAAATTCATATAAAGTTGTCAAAAATACTTTGTTCTTGTGGAAAGTGACTTGCATCATCAACCCTGTCGGGACATCTGCGTTGATTATACCAGTATTGAAAGAATTTCTGGATTTCAAATCCATTTCGTCCATCTTCTCCTCGTCACATGGGACCAAGTTTCATGTTCAAGCAGATAAAAACAATACACCAGTACCAAGACCCAGCTTCATGAACGAACCAATCTGGACATAGGACCTTTGACCTATGGTGTTGATTTAATTCCTCAGTTTCAAAGCAGATGAAGAAATATACTTTGAGATCTTTTTGTCTGGCAACAACCGTCCATGAATATGAACTCATCTTCTAAGTGGAATAATCCATGGTCTTGATGAATTCAACTGCTGAGGAGAACTGCATCCACCAGTATTGCTCCTCCCCTGCAAGTCGACTCTCGTAGAAGCTGTTCACGTACTGAATGGTTGACAGGAGGCAGGGTGGGTTGGCCTTGATCAGGACGAAGATAAGTACTGGGATGAAGTCATCGGCCGCGGGCACAGATTTCTCATTGGCCATACTCAGAAGGTTCATTATGGTTGTAGAGCATCGCAACACGCATTGAAGTTTGTCCTTTGGTGTCTGAAATACATTCAACAATCCATCTTGAATTTGACAACTATTAAGGGACAGCAGTTACCAAGTGGTTTGACTGCTTGTTAAATAATGCACAGTCACAATATTCAAGCCATATCATAGCAGCTGGTAGACCCGTGAAGATCCGGGATAGGTGAGGTGAGGTGAAATGGGGTTTAACGTCGCGTCCAAGATTATTGCACTTATATAGCGACGTGCATGCACATGTGTGTGTCTGTGTGTGGCTGCTTGTACTAGACCGGACTAATGCCGATTTATAGTGCTAGCCCACTGAGATACCATGCCGCAGTTTGCAGTTTAACATGAATACCCCACTCAGACGCAGTATACTGACTCCGAGCCGACCTGTCCTTGCTTTAACCCCTTAATGCCGAGCGCCAGACAGGGTAGCAACAAGTACCATGTTTTAACGTCTTTTGGATCGAACCCCGGACCTTCGGCTCTCCGGGCGGATGCTCTACCACTAGACCACGGAGGCGGTCGATCCGGGATAGAATAGGTCTTCAGCAAACCATTGTCGCAAGAGGCGACTAACGGGATCGGGTAGTCAGATTCGCTGACTTGGCTGATGTATGTCATCATATTCCAATTGTGTGGTTTGATGCTCATGATGTCAATCACTGGACTGTCTGGTCCAGACTCGATTATATACAGACCGCCGCCATATGGCTGGAATATTCATGAGTGCGGTGTTAAAGAACGAACAAACAAACAAACATAGCAGCTTGTCAATAATCAAGTCGATATTATGAGTGTTGTCCCACATCAGAAGGTGACACAATCAGCAAAGATACACAGCCTGACCACACAATTTAATTTTATTGCATCTGGTGACCAGGTATAGATCTAGGTCATCACAGAGTTGACATCTATTAAACATACAGGACTTACAAAAGGTATTTATAACACCCAAAATTTTCTAAGGACCAATAATAGTCATCTTCAGGCAAAGGGTGACTCAGCAAATGTTGAGTAGTATACAAAGACGCCATCTCCATCCCAGCAGAACCCACCTTGTATGCATTAATCATGTAGATCTCACGCTGAGCAGCGGGCCACGGACACTCGAAGTGGTACATGCGTGGTATACACAGGTCCTTGTGTGTCGGTGTAATCAGCGCAGAGAGCTTCTTCAGATGCTGATGGAAAAGTCTGAAACACAGAGGATTTCTTACAGAAATGGGAAGAGACAAGGACTCAGAAAATGGAAAACAAACAAAATAACTGAAACAAAATGCCATTTATGGTTGTGTTTCAACTCATAATTCATGAGCATTTATATAGAAAATTCACATGAAATCATCTCTGAAAATACTGGAACTTCATTTCCCCCTTTCCTGCGCAGCCTTCTGACCAGGGCCCACTTGCACAAAATGATCTTAGCACGAAGACTATTGTAAGCCTATGTTAAAGTATGGGAGTTAGGATCATCTTAGTGCTAAGCTCGTTTTGTGCAAGTGGGCCCAGGCCCCGGCTCACAAAGCGATCTCATCACTAAAACAATTGTAATACATGTATAGACTTGCAGCAGTCGTAGCGCTTTGATCGCTAAAGATTGCTTTGTGAATTGGGGCCAAAAGAAAACAAAACAAGTTCGTTTGTTTCTTCAGAAGTTAAACGTCTACTCAGATCTTGTGCCTATATAGATATGATTTAATCACTGCTAAATGGTAGCAATGCTGTCTACCCAAAAAACGTAGATATATGATATGTGGTTTAACAATTTCCATGTTTGAAACAATATTGGCTGCTGAGCTTTTATTACAAATTCAAAATTTGCTAGATGTGAACATGGTGAAAAGAGGGTTTAACAATATCCCTGTTTAATGGCCACTTACTGGTCCCTCATGAAGTCTCCGTCTCCATTTGGAAACATGGCGTGACTGTACACTCGACTCATCAACAGGCGTTCCACAGCCAGTCGGGCGTCAATCAGCTGGTTCTCTGTCGCAGCTGCACACAGGAACACAACATATAAGCTAGGGGTAACTAATTAGCAAAGTCAAACTGCATTGCCATACCTCAAATCATAATATCATGCATAAAAAAACTATGAAAAAATTATAAAAAAGGCCTCTATGAAAATAGTATATTACTAAAAAGTTAAAGAACACCTGATTTTTTCATGGCTACAGTTAATCTATCTTGACATTACAGATTAACTATTATTATACGTAACTAGGTGTTCTTTAACTTCTTTTGAGTAGTATACAGTACCATATACTGATTGTATGTACAGGAGTTCTCAAGCTAGCAGGGGCGGTCGGGTAGCCTAGTGGTCAAAGCGTTAGCTTGCCACTCCGAAGACCCGGGTTCGATTCCTGCCCTATTATCCTGATCTATTATGCCCTGAGGTCCCCACGGGAGAAAAGAAGGGGGTACTGGTGATCTATTATGCCTTGAGGTCCCCACAGGGGACAAAAATAGGGTACTGGTGATCTATTTTGCCTTGAGATCACCATGGGAGACAAGAATGGGGTGCTGGTGATCTATTATGCCCTGAGGTCCCCACGGGAGACAAGAATGGGGTACTGGTGATCTATTATGCCTTGAGGTCCCCACAGGGGACAAGAATAGGGTACTGGTGATCTATTTTGCCCTGAGATCACCATGGGAGACAAGAATGGGGTACTGGTGATCTATTATGCCCTGAGGTCCCCACAGGGGACAAGAATGGGGTACTGGTGATATATTATTCCCTGAGATCACCATGGGAGACAAGAATAGGGTACTGGTGATCTATTATGCCTTGAGGTCCCCACAGGGGACAAGAATGGGGTACTGGTGATCTATTATGCCCTGAGGTCCCCACAGGGGACAAGAATGGGGTACTGGTGATCTAATATGCTCTGAGGTCCCAACAGGGGACAAGAATGGGGTACTGGTGATCTATTATGCCTGAGGTCCTCACAGGGGACAAGAATAGGGTACTGGTGATCTATTATGCCCTGAGGTCCCCACAGGGGACAAGAATGGGGTACTGGTGATCTATTATGCCCTGAGGTCCTCACAGGGGACAAGAATGGGGTACTGGTGATATATTATGCCCTGAGGTCCTCACAGGGGACAAGAATGTGGTACTGGTGATCTTTTATGCCCTGAGGTCCCCACAGGGGACAAGAATGGGGTACTGGTGATCTATTATGCCCTGAGGTCCCCACAGGAGACAAGAATGGGGTACTGGTGATCTATTATACCCTGAGGTCCCCACAGGAGACAAGAATAGGGTACTGGTGATCTATTATGCCTTGAGATCACCATGGGAGACAAGAATAGGGTACTGGTGATCTATTATGCCTTGAGGTCCTCAAAGGGGACAAGAATGGGGTACTGGTGATCTATTATGCCTTGAGGTCCCCACAGGGGACAAGAATGGGGTACTGGTGATCTATTATGCCCTGAGATCACCATGGGAGACAAGAATGGGGTACTGGTGATATATTATGCCCTGAGATCACCATGGGAGACAAGAATAGGGTACTGGTGATCTATTATGCCTTGAGGTCCTCAAAGGGGACAAGAATGGGGTACTGGTGATCTATTATTCCCTGAGATCACCATGGGAGACAAGAATAGGGTACTGGTGATCTATTATGCCTTGAGGTCCTCAAAGGGGACAAGAATGGAGTACTGGTGATCTATTATGCCTTGAGGTCCCCACAGGGGACAAGAATGGGGTACTGGTGATCTATTATGCCCTGAGATCACCATGGGAGACAAGAATGGGGTACTGGTGATCTATTATGCCCTGAGATCACCATGGGAGACAAGAATAGGGTACTGGTGATCTATTATGCCTTGAGGTCCTCAAAGGGGACAAGAATGGGGTACTGGTGATCTATTATGCCTTGAGGTCCCCACAGGGGACAAGAATGGGGTACTGGTGATCTATTATGCCCTGAGATCACCATGGGAGACAAGAATGGGGTACTGGTGATCTATTATGCCCTGAGATCACCATGGGAGACAAGAATAGGGTACTGGTGATCTATTATGCCTTGAGGTCCTCAAAGGGGACAAGAATGGGGTACTGGTGATCTATTATGCCTTGAGGTCCTCACAGGGGACAAGAATAGGGTACTGGTGATCTATTATGCCCTGAGGTCCTTACAGGGGACAAGAATGGGGTACTGGTGATCTATTATGCCCTGAGGTCCTCACAGGGGACAAGAATGGGGTACTGGTGATCTATTATGCCCTGAGGTCCCCACAGGGGACAAGAATGGGGTACTGGCGATCTGTGCTACTCAGGAATCTTGCACTTCACAGAATATACTGTTACACAGCTGTTACAACAATGTCACTGTGCACTGACCTTTCCATATTGAATCCTGTTCCATCTCCCGGTAGAGAACCTGTAAGAACCTGTCCACCAAGTCAGTCTGAAGTAGAGACACAGTGTTACACATAGTGATGGAGGGAATCTATCAGGCAAACACAATAGCAGGGATATATCAAAACTAAGCATAACAATTCCAAACTAACTCTAATCTTTTTAAATTCAGATTTTCATATTTTTAATAATTTCTAAGGTATTCTGTAATTGCATTCAATTCAATAATGTACATCTAGGCATTATATCCTTACCCTCTTTATTGGTCCAGGAATCAGTGAATTACAAATCATCTTTACTGAGCAATAACATTAGTTATAACTATAATACACTGAATTGGGATATAAAGTATGAAATAATGTTACAGTGCTGACACCAGTCTGATTGTGACATCATACCCTATGCACCACAATGAGTGTGTGGGGATCATAATAGTAACAGGCGGTGTAAAGTATAATGATGTAAAACAACAATGCTTGAGCATATACAGCACCATTGTTTGTTTATAGGCTAGTACTAATGTTAATTCAAACCAAACCAAAAGGCTGCTCAAAACATAAAACTTTAACCAACACCACTTCACTGAAGATCTCAAATAACACCATAGAGTTTGCCTTTGTCATGGTAGAATGGAGATAAACATGCCGTGTTTTCAATGTTGATCTGGATTACCCTGTTGATTTAACCGCATTTAGTTTTAACATTTCATGCTACAAAGTAACGTAGCTCTACATTGGTAACAAAGTATGCTAATGTCCTAACTGATGCACGTCTCAAACATGTGCCACTTTGGTCAAATCACATGCACCGTTCTGGAGCAGACAGACCCAGGTTCAACATCTGGGATTCGAACCCAAAATCCATGAATCCTTGCACGGCTAAGTGGGGCAAATATTCACATTTACATGCTGTTATGTGCCTGTTAGTATTATTAAATCAAGCCTGGATAGACAAACCAGTGGTTGATAGCTTGAGCAATGATTGTCATGGACACATAATCTGACAGGGGAATACACTTAATCTATCGACATCCAAATAGATCTTGTAACAGTGCTAAGGGTAATAGTTACTAATCTAGTTTAAAAGACGCCTGGGTAGAATAGGTCTTCAGCAACCCATACTAGCCGTAAAAGGTGACTATGCTTGTCGTAAAAGGCGACTAACAGGATCGGGTGGTCAGGCTCGCTGACTTGGTTGATGCATGTCATCGATCCTAATTGCGTGGATCGATGCTCATGATATTAATCACTGGATTGACTGGTCCAGATTCGATTATTTACAGACCGCCGTCATATAGCTGGAATATTGCTGAGTCCGGCGTTAAACAACATACCAACCAACCAACCAACTAATCTAATTTACAGAATCTGCGACATGACATTGACCAGAAAACAGGGGGTGTCCACTTATACAAGAAGGGAAGTGCGTCAGTTTAAAGCAAATGTCAACTGACACTCGGACTCCGCACATCATGGAGTTTGCTAGGTTAAAGTATTCCTTATGACATTGTATATGGTATTGACTCTACCTTCTCATCTGCCACTGTGAGCTTCTGGAAATCTGAGATGAAGTAGAGGACATTCTTTTCCCTCCTCTCTATAAACAGCCGCACGCACACATTGACCATGTGTTTGTTGCAGATCTCCTTGTCCCTGAAATACATAGAACACTGTCAGTTACCATAGTAATAGTGGCCGTTGCCATAGTAACCCTTTCAGATGCAAAATAGTCACACTGTCGGTTGCCATAGTGATCCTGTAAGATACCAATAGTCACACTTTCAGTTGCCTTAAATCACTCTCAGTTGTCAATGGTTACACTGTCAGTTGCCACAGGGACATCGTCCTCCTGAGACAAGGGCATCAACTGACCATAAAAGTCCAGTTTCCACCCTTGCCATAGTAGGCTGGAATTTCCAGGCTCGATCGTAGTGCCACCAGTGACTATTATCAGTTATGTCCCTTCTATGTCTCCTATTGACCAATCATATTCAATCTCTCATATCACTTGCATTTGCTTCAAACAAAATGCCGGAGCCCAGTCAAGACGATCTGATCAATAATCAAGATCTATATTGTAATAAAATGGGCCTCACCCTGCAAAGTGCATCAAATTACTTGAGCACCTTGACTAAAAACATGAGAAGGTTTACAAAATATCTGTTGACACCCAGATGACGGTACACATGCTTCGCAATTCATGAAGTCGACCGAAATCTGCACGTTGAAATCCATGTTGTTTATGGACCGCATGTCTATAGTTTGTTACATGATTTCGAATGGACTATGCATAGACTTGTTAGTCCATGTATCTCCGGAATTCCAGCCTAGTTCAGGAAGGGTCAGTTAACTCCCTTGCCTCGGGAAGATGCAGGTATATTCTCATAAGTAACACTCAATTACAAAGACATTTTGACAAATGTCAGTATTTTGTGAAATGATTAACAAATGCACAAATGATTGTTTGAATACAAGCATAGTTTGGAATACTCAGCAGCCCTATTTACACACCATGGTGCCTGTGGTACAGTCTGGTAAACCAGAGTACACTATGATACACTGGTGTACAATGTAGTACATCATGATAAACTATGACACACAATGGTACACTATATACTGGTGTATGCGGTGGTACATCATAAAAAATGAGATACACCATGGTGCACTGTAGTACACCATGATACCCTATTGTACAGTATGGTACATCATGATACACCATTATAAACAAGAGAACACCATAGTACACAATGATACCCAATTGTACAGTATGGGACATCATGATACACCATTGTACAGTATGGGACATAATGATACACCCTTGTACAGTATGGTACACCATGATACCCTATTGTACAGTATGGTACATCATGATACACCATTGTAAACAAGAGAACACCATAGTACACAATGATACCCAATTGTACAGTATGGGACATCATGATACACCATTGTAAACAAGAGAACACCATAGTACACAATGATACCCAATTGTACAGTATGGGACATCATGATACACCATTGTACACAAGAGAACACCATAGTACACAATGATACCTAATTGTACAGTATGGGACATCATGATACACCATTGTACACAAGAGAACACCATAGTACACAATGATACCTAATTGTACAGTATGGGACATCATGATACACCATGATACAGTATGGGACATCATGATACACCATTGTACACAAGAGAACACCATAGTTCACAATGATACCCAATTGTACAGTATGGGACATCATGATACACCATTGTAAACAAGAGAACACCATAGTACACAGTGATACCCAATTGTACAGTATGGGACATCATGATACACCATTGTAAACAAGAGAACACCATAGTACACAATGATACCCAATTGTACAGTATGGGACATCATGATACACCATTGTAAACAAGAGAACACCATAGTACACAATGATACCCAATTGTACAGTAGGGGACATCATGATACACCATTGTAAACAAGAGAACACCATAGTACACAGTGATACCCAATTGTACAGTATGGGACATCATGATACACCATTGTACACAAGAGAACACCATAGTACACAATGATACCCAATTGTACAGTATGGGACATCATGATACACCATTGTAAACAAGAGAACACCATAGTACACAATGATACCCAATTGTACAGTATGGGACATCATGATACACCATTGTAAACAAGAGAACACCATAGTACACAATGATACCCAATTGTACAGTATGGGACATCATGATACACCAGTGTAAACAAGAGAACACCATAGTACACAGTGATACCCTATTGTACAGTATGGGACATCATGATACACCATTGTAAACAAGAGAACACCATAGTACACAGTGATACCCTATTGTACAGTATGGGACATCATGATACACCATTGTAAACAAGAGAACACCATAGTACACAATGATACCCTATTGTACAGTATGGGACATCATGATACACCATTGTAAACAAGAGAACACCATAGTACACAATGATACCCTATTGTACAGTATGGGACATCATGATACACCATTGTACATAAGAGAACACCATAGTACACAATGATACCTAATTGTACAGTATGGGACATCATGATACACCATTGTACACAAGAGAACACCATAGTACACAATGATACCCAATTGTACAGTATGGGACATCATGATACACCATTGTACAGTATGGGACATCATGATACACCATTGTACACAAGAGAACACCATAGTACACAATGATACCCTATTGTACAGTATGGGACATCATGATACACCATTGTACAGTATGGGACATCATGATACACCATTGTACACAAGAGAACACCATAGTACACAATGATACCCAATTGTACAGTATGGTACATCATGATACACCATTGTACACAAGAGAACACCATAGTACACAATGATACCCCATTGTACAGTATGGTACATCATGATACACCATTGTACAGTATGGGACATCATGGTACACCAAGATACACAAGAGAACACCATGATACCCAATTGTACCGTATGGGACATCATGATACACCATGATACCCCGTTGTACAGTACAGGACACAGGATACACCATGGTACTATAGAGTACACCATGATACCCCGTTGTACAGTACGAGACACAGGATACACCATGGTACTATAGAGTACACCATGATACCCCGTTGTACAGTACAGGACACAGGATACACCATGGTACTATAGAGTACACCATGATACCCCGTTGTACAGTACGGGACACAGGATACACCATGGTACTATAGAGTACACCATGATACCCCGTTGTACAGTACGGGACACAGGATACACCAAGGTACTATAGAGTACACCATGATAACCCGTTGTACAGTACGGGACACAGGATACACCATGGTACTATAGAGTACACCATGAAACCCCGTTGTACAGTACGGGACATCAGGATACACAATCGTACAATAGACTACACCATGATACCCATTGTACAGTACGGGACATCAGGATACACCATTGTACACTAGAATACACCATGATACCCATTGTACAGTACGGGACATCAGGATACACCATGGTACACTAGAGAGCACCATGGTACACACCTCTGAGAGGTACAGTGTGATACACCCCTGGGACACCTTGGTACACCCGGGCCTCACCTCTTTATCCTGTTGAGGAGTCTCTGCAGGTAGGAGTGGGACATGAGGAGGCCCTGGCGGCAGCGGATTAGGTAGGAGATGTAGGCCGACCGGCTGCGGTACTCCTCCCGTAACGCCTTCACCAGCTTCTTACAACTGCAACATGAACAATGGGTCATTCTCTGAGGAATTTTAAAAAAGAAGTTAAATACAGTGGGGACTGATATAATAGCATGGGCAGTGATTTAGCTAAAGACAAATGGCAATGGGGTAATTGCATGATTTCATCATCTTTTGTTAAAACATTCGTAGTTATGATATCCAAATTGGGAGGGGGCACGGGTGGCCTAGTCATCTAAGCCGCAGCCATTCCTTATTTAGGTTGCGTCCTTTGGGCACGTCAGAAATTTATTATTGTGGGTTCGAATACGGTTAACACCGATTATGTTTCTAGGTTTGTCAGCACCATAGCTGTGCTTGTGGGTTTCACCTAAGTTGTAAAAGTCTGAGACCTGCATCACTTTCCTCCCACATTAAGCTGACACGCCGTGATATAACTGGAATACTGTTAAAAGCGGAGTTAAACAAAACTCACTCACTCACTCACTCCAAATTGGGAAACATTATATTGGGCATTTTGTAGAGGTGTAACAGTATGGTGGGGTCACAATTCCCCGGTACAGTATTTTCTTTTCATAAGTTGATATTCTTTCTTTTTGCTGGTGAATCACAACCCTGAACCATTTGTTTATAAATTTCAGAGATCAAAGATGGGATACTGTAGGGCACAAATATATAGGCTAGTGGAGACTGTGAAGGTTATGCTGTTAATAGCCAACTGGGAAATACTAACTAATCTGAACAAGCTTGTTGTTGAACAGTTTCCGTTATTCTTAATGCATTTTACACCAATACACTTGTAACGTATTGTATCTTATGTATCGCGATACAGGGGTTGCAAATCATTGTATTGTGGGCGTCAAATCGCAATACAATACACCACTCATTACACCACTAGAAGTTTGTATAACAATCAGTCAATGTCCTAGAAAAAGACCCGATCTGAGACCCTGTGGAATTGGAGTGTGGGAGGGGGACAGGGGCAAGCCTAATCTTCATAAAATATGGACAGGTATCGATCTGACATGACATACCCATCATTATCAAACTGTCGTATGCATCGTATAACTTCGTGAAGTTGTGCAATGACATCCTTGTTCTGGAGATTGATGGCTTCAGCGAGTTGAGCCCGGAGCAGACTGATCAGGTCATTGTCCTTCTTGGGCCCAGTGTCGAACTCTCGCGGACTGTGCGGCTGGCTGGTCATCAACTGGTGCAGAGACGTGCTACCCAGGAAGTCCCCAGCACTCAACACCATCCTCAGTTTCCGCTTGGCATCCATGAATGCGAAGCACCCCTCAAGGTTGCTAGGGTCATAGAACGGCGGCCCCTCTTCCTCGTCCTTACTCTTCATCTGACTCTGGTACGCGGAGTCAGTCAGTTCCGACTGGTCCTCGGCCTGCTGGTCTTGGGTCGTCTTCTTCCGGTACTTGTCCAGGATGTCGAAGGAGCTCTCTGTGGTAAGAAGCATACCTTGCCGTAAATTAACCTTTCTCAGGTACCACAATATAGATTGCTGTAAACTGAGCTCCCAGAGTTGGGAAAACAGACCATGTTGTAAAATGAGCTTTCTGTGTAAACAAAATATTTTTTAAATTAGCTCTCTAAGAATGAGTGAGATAAGACAATAGATATGTTGTTGCAAGATTAGTATTCTGTGTTAACAAACTATACACATAGTCGTCAAATGTTATTCAAATGATCAATGATAACACATAATTGCTGCCAGGGTATCATATCTCCATTCCATTCTGTAGTATATTTTGCTGCCCCCCACCACCCTTCCCCACCCCGCATTTAATGTAACATTTTTTTATGGTGACCCCCCAAATACAAGTAACATTTGTTCATGTTTTTCTCATCTTGGGACGGGGGAAAGGAGATATTCTCACTCACAGCTTACTATATATTTAATAGACTAGATATTTGGGTATGACATGTAACAGATGACTTTTCTTTAGGGACAGAGGTATCACAAACAGTGGTCATTCATTCAATCAGAGATATTTACTGCCTAGATATCCTGACGCCCATCTGCTTTAGGGTCCACCTTTGTAGGCACAGTTCTATCTAAACACTGATCAGTCATTCAATCAGTGATATTTACTGCCCAGATATCCTGAAACCCACCTGCTTTAGGGTCAACCTCGGCTTCAGGGGCAACCTTCCCAGAATCCTCTGTGAAGGAGCTGTCTCCTCCTGCTGAAAACACAAACAGACGATGCAACATTTGGAAATATTATATTCATTAACACAAACATACTACACCATTACCTGATTTCAAACCGCTTTCTTAACATATCACTGCTGAGTTTCTGAGTCATAAAAATCGATGATTAAACATGTCTCAGTATTTCTCAGAACGTTTTATTGAAGATTTTTTGTTTGTTTTCTTGACGCAAAATATTCCAGCTGTATCACAGCAGCCAATAAATAATGAAGTCTAGGTCAGACAGACCAGTGGTGGATATAATAAGCATCTCCATGTCATAAAAGCATGACGACTTGAAAATCAATGAAGTCGCAATGCCTGACCACCCAATTTAGTCGTCCCTTATGACAAACCAGCTAAGGACATAGTGTAACCTGGGTGCCCAAGTGGGTGTGTTATTTTCTGACTAAGAGTAAGAGACCCCTGGAGAACCCCGACATGGAAGGCAAGAGCTGCCCTCCACCACACAACCACACATCAGTGACCTCTGCATACTCACCACTTAATTCCTTATCTGTCTTTAATGTCCTTCTTTTGATACCTGCAAGGATTCATTACATACCTAATTATGAAATTCATGAAACATAGAAAGTATCAAAGCAAAACAAAACTTCCCTCATTTTAATTTCAACCTTAGGTGCATAACGTAATGTTTGTTTGTTTGTTGTTTAACGCCACACTCAGCAATATTCCAGCTATAAGACGGCAGTCTGTAAATAATCAAGTCAGAAACAGACACTCCAGTGATTGACGTTATGAGCATCGTGTTCTGTGTGAGACTGTAGTGTCCTGTGTGTGACTGTAGTGTCCTGTGTGAGACTGTAGTGTCCTGTGTGTGACTGTAGTGTTCTGTGTGACTGTAGTGTTCTGTGTGACTGTAGTGTCTTGTGTGTGACTGTAGTGACCTGTGTGAGACTGTTGCTTTCTGTGTGTGACAGTTGTGTTCTTTGTGACTGTAGTGTTCTGTGAGTGACTGTAGTGTCCTGTGTGTGACTGTAGTGTTCTGTGTGACTGTAGTGTTCTGTGTGTGACTGTAGTGTTCTGTGTGTGACTGTAGTGTACTGTGTGACTGTAGTGTTCTGTGTGACTGTAGTGTTCTGTGTGTGACTGTAGTGTTCTGTGTGTGACTGTAGTGTCCTGTGAGACTGTAGTGTTCTGTGAGACTGTAGTGTTCTGTGAGTGGCTGTAGTGTTCTGTGTGACTGTAGTGTTCTGTGAGACTGTAGTGTTCTGTTAGACTGTAGTGTTCTGTGTGTGACTGTAGTGTTCTGTGTGTGACTGTAGTGTACTGTGTGACTGTAGTGTTCTGTGTGACTGTAGTGTTCTGTGTGTGACTGTAGTGTTCTGTGTGTGACTGTAGTGTCCTGTGAGACTGTAGTGTTTTGTGAGACTGTAGTGTTCTGTGAGTGGCTGTAGTGTTCTTTGTGACTGTAGTGTTCTGTGTGACTGTAGTGTTCTGTGTGACTGTAGCATCCTGTGAGACTGTAGTGTTCTGTGAGACTGTAGTGTTCTGTGTGTGACTGTAGTGTTCTGTGTGTGACTGTAGTGTTCGGTGTGTGACTGTAGTGTTCTGTGAGACTGTAGTGTTCTGTGTGACTGTAGTGTTCTGTGTGACTGTAGTGTCCTGTGTGTGACTGTAGTGTTCTGTGTGTGACTGTAGTGTTCTGTGTGTGACTGTAGTGTTCTTTGTGACTGTCGTGACTTGTGTGAGACTGTTGTTTTCTGTGTGAGACTGTAGTGTCCTGTGTGTGACTGTAGTGTTCTGTGTGACTGTAGTGTCCTTTGTGTGACTGTAGTGTTCTGTGTGTGACTGTAGTGTTCTGTGTGTGACAAGTGTTGTTTGTGACATTAGTGTTCTCTTTGTGACAAGTGTTGTTTGTGACTGTAGTGTCCTCTGTGTGACAGTTAAATTTTCACTACTTTCTCTTCACTGTACCTTTGTGTATCTTCTCCTTGACACTCTTAAAGAATCCCTTCTTGTTGATCTTATCAAATCCTTTCTCTTCATTTTCAGAGAAATCCTGTATCAAGGCGAATAAAACAATTAGAAATAAGAAATGTACCTAAATCATGTAGATAACTTCCATTACTTACATTCAACCAACATGTTTTCTATCTTAAAAGCAATTAATGCAGGGGTCCAATAAATGTCTAAAGTATGGACAAGACTTGCCAGTTAAAACTTACATTGTGATGTTGCAATATGATGACGGTATAACCATACAGATAAAAACATACTGTAAATATAACAGCTGATTCAGTAATATCTTAGTAACATATATCATACAAGAGGATTGCAAACAATTATCCGAAAAATATCTTATACAGGTATAAGATTACCTGTTGCGAACACAAGCTTACCTTATCATCGGATCTCATCGATACATTGTCCCCATTGGATCTCATGGATAACGTGTCCATACTTGGTTCTTTGCTGGCACTGGCTGTATCATTGAGTCTCAAGGAGGCTGCGGAATGACTGCTATCACTACTGTCTCGACGTCCACCTCGCAAGTCCTCCTGGCTCGACGACTTCACCGTCTCCGCCGAACTCTGCAGCTGACCTTGAACTTCATCACTACTGGATACCGAGATAAGAATTTCACTGGTCGCCCTTTGAGCTGATGGTGCCGTGGGGACTGGGAATATCTGGGTTGCAGAAAATGAGGGTGGGGCGGACATACGGGAGGGGCAGGCTGCAGCAGGTAGGGTGGTGATGGGGTGCACTGATATCCCCCCAGCCCCCTCTAGTAGGTCGCCAGTACTGCTGTTCTCCGGCGACAATGGATCAAACAGACTCAGTGTCGCAGATAATCGGTTTTCATTGAATTTCACATTCTGCTGTTCAGACAGTCCAACAGCTTCGACTTGATCTACCAGACTGTTAACATCTACTGAAATCTCTATACCCTCATCAATGTCCTGGTCGTTGCTTGTGGTTGTTGTGGGCAGCTTCTGAGTATTGACTGGTTTGCCACCAGCATTTCGTGCCATCGACATACTTTCAAATTCTGCCCCAAATTTTGGTCCATCTTTGTTTCCCCCGATGCCATTACTTTTGGCCCAGGCTTCAACCTTGGCCGGATTGTATCCTCCATGAGACCTGTTGTGGTGGTGATGGTGATGACTACGTTTATGGAATTCTTTAGGTCTTGCTCCACAATGATGATCTTTGGGCAAAGAGAGGCTATCACTCTTTGAAGTCACAGTTGCATTCTGACGATTCTCAGACTCGTTGTTGGCCGACCTGCCTTGACTCTGCCTTGAGTCTGGTGATGTCCTATTCTGACCTTGGCCTTCAGCCTTGACCTCTGGTTTTGGCATTTTATCTGCTGCTGCAGCTTCCACTGTCTGATTCAGTTGAGATGTTTCAGCACTTGGAGTGATATCATCAGTAAAAACATCCTCTGAAAACACTTCCTCTGATCCCAGTGAGTCAGCTCTCTTCACAGAGGGTCCTCCTTCTGCTCCGAAACCCAGCAGGTCTCGGTCACCCGAAGGGCTGTGTCCTCCTGCACAAACAAATATCCATGATACATTTTGATGTATGTCAATAAATCAAAATATTGTTAAAACATTGATAGGTGTGGTGTCTATTGCTGATATTCTGAGGTAGGCGTTTCAGTAGGAATTTCGAGGGTCTTGATGGTGGTGGTTGGGGACCAAGGATCGCCTATATATACTCCCAAAATATATACAGTGCTGCAGTCTTCAACTTTAGCCACTAGTCCGACCTTGAGCTCAGCTAATAATAGTCCATATCAAACACTAACATCTAATGATAATGATGTTAAGAGCTGGTACTGGTAATAGTGGGTGACATTCCCAGAGACTCACCTGAAGCAAGGGGTGTGTCCTCCAGACTCTGGTCATCAAGGTTGTCCGATCGCTCCATCACAGAGCTCATGCTGATGTCATCCTACAAAGACATAGTGGAGGCAGGAGTTATAACACTTTCCTGTTATTCCATTTTGTAAGTTTGTGTATGATATTTTAAAGTTTGTTTTCTGTTTTATGTCTGTCTACAATATACCGGTGATATCAAGGATGTATTATTGCAGACTAGAAGTACTGTTCCCTACAACTTCTGCCTGTACAGGCTAGATGTACTAAGTTCCTTCCAACTTATGCTAATGAAGGCTAGAAAAACTATGTTCCACACAACTACTGCTATCAAGTACCAAGTTACCTTCAACTACTGGTTACAATTACTGAAAGTATGATGTTCCTTACAACTACTGTCAACAGGCTAGAAAAACTATATTCCCCTCAACTATGGATAACAAAAGCAACAAGTACTATGTTCCCTACACCTACTGTAACTACCTGATCAAGGTCTGTCAACAACTCTGACTGTTTCTCATCCGTGTCACTGGCCAGGACATCTGTGCTCCATGCATCACTAGCGGTCTCAGACATCTCGGACAAACTTGGGGGCTGGTTGGAGAGAACAAATAATAGCCTTCTCAAGTCTTTCATACAGTAGTGTGTGGTTTTATAATGTTTTATTTCAAGTCTTCTAAACTATTAATCTTTAACAATAGGATAAGACAGAAACCAACCAAACTTTGATAACTGTTCAGTATGTTAACACATTTAGTGGGAAAATACTTGTATTTACACTGTAAAGTTGTAATTAAGGAATGTGTGTTTGTTAGGTATTATTTTTTCTCTTGCCTTGTATATAGTGTGCAAAGGGAGTGACCTCCTTCATCCTAATGTTTTAAGAATAGGTAAGGACAGAGACGTCTTGACTTTCATTCTTAATCTGAACACAAATATTACATGCCACCTTGTCAATATTCTCACAACAATACTCACAAATGCATTATCTGAATCGGCGTCTCGTGGTGCTAACAGGAATGGTGGTGGCCTCCCCATCTCCTCCGCGACTTCCTCAAGGCGTTCCAGCTGGTTCTGCTCTGGAGGCTCTGAGTCACTTGCCAGAACATCGGTGCTCCAGGTGTCACTCACCGTTGACTTGGTTTCGTCTCCTTCAAGAATAACATAACAATAAGCCATTCATAAAGACTAGACCACTGAAAGATTTACATGAAACCAATGAAATTAACACTCTGGCTAATAATACAGTTATCATGGTTATCGTCCACAGAAAATCAGAAAATAAAGATCCTGACAATCTGACAATAGATCTGATTGCCTCGAACTTACTTTCCAGCTCTGCCTTGATCTCAAACTTGCCAAATCTCTCCGTCACATCCACACGGTTCTGCTTCTGTACAGTTTCTGGGACAGGGACAGCAAACTCAGCAGGAGCTCTCTCCTCCACACTCCCTGCCTGGGACAGGGGAGTGTCCCGCCCACTGATGCTCGGAGAGCCACGCCCACTCACATCAGCGGACATCATGTCGGATAGGTTGTCGTTGTCATTCTCCATGTCCACGGAATGGCTGGAGGCCGCCTCGGATATTGCTTCCTGATAGTCGCTGGTATTGCCTGCAGAAACTTATAGCTCTCACCATCACAAAATATTATCAAATAATAAGCAAAGAATGTAAAATATAACAAAAACTATGCTACAGAAACAACAGAATACTACATACAATGTTTCTAATAACGAAATGAATCTGGATGAATACTACCTGACATGGAGTTCACTAAAGGAAACTAAAAGGAGGCCATAGGCCCTTAATTATTTCTGCTTTAGATATTTAATGGAGGGATCCCTTAAATTTTTAATACTTAACATTATAGTTATGATAAGTTCCCCTTGACTTTCTTAAATTTAAAATACTGCACATCCACAAGTGGTTGATAGCAAGAACTTCAGCCTACACAGGTCAAGGTCAATAACCACACTACCCATGGTGGTCAATTTAATGTGCATAAGATGCTGGGGACTATTTCGCCTTGTAATCCAAATGTATTAGTTGCTTACTATCGTATTCACATAGAATGTTCACATCACAGCTGATACATCTCAGGGTCCAAGCACTAATGTCCTATTTCCTCGTCACATAAAGAGTGTACAGAAGTTGTATTTGCCCAGTAAGATAAAAAGTGCACTGACATCATATTTCCCCAGTGAGATCAAGGGTGTACTAACATCATATTTCCCCAGTTAGATCAAGAGTGTACTAACATCATATTTCCCCAGTTAGATCAAGAGTGTACTAACATCATATTTCCCCAGTAAGATCAAGAGTGTACTAACATCATATTTCCCCAGTTAGATCAAGAGTGCACTAACATCATATTTCCCCAGTTAGATCAAGAGTGTACTAACATCATATTTCCCCAGTGAGATCAAGAGTGCAGCAACATCATATTTCCCCAGTGAGATCAAGAGTGCAGCAACATCATATTTCCCCAGTGAGATCAAGAGTGCAGCAACATCATATTTCCCCAGTAACATCAAGAGTGCACTAACATCATATTTCCCATGTAACACCCACCCGACTTGCCAGTATAAAGAAAAAGCCTGCTCTTGTAGCTCACCTATGGATTCCTGGTCATGTGAGAGAGAGAACCGTGTCCTCTTCTCGTGGATCTCAATAGGGCCGCCATCATTGATGTCAGTGTTGTATTTCACCTTTCTACGCCGATTCTCCTGCTCCCACGACAAAATCTGGAAAAGTCAGAAGTCATTTAAGAATTGACTTCAATTTTTTTGCATTAATGAAATTATCGCGGGCTCCATATTATCGTGGTATCGGTAAATCTCGTAATCCACACCCCCTGTCAACTGTTTACTATTGCAAATCTTAGCATTATAATTCATCGCTTGATCCAATACAGGACTTGTTTGGTATGTCATGGTTACACTTCAGTGTACACATTAACTTCTTTATGATAGTTTCTGGAATGTTTATGAAGTGAAAAGAAACATTTGATTGGACGATGTCCCTTGGGTCCTAATGTTAACTCAATGGCCTTAATGCTTCACTGACTTGGTACCTTATTCTCAGCCATCATCCCTGGACAGTCTGTTCCAACTCCAAGGGAGATAACCAGGATGTCATCAATTGGCTCTCCTGTCTTGGAGTCCCCATCGGTTGCATCCCCATCTTCAGCAGACACCTGTAGATTCACCTGGGAATTCTTCTTCTTCAAGCCTGAGGAGTCAAACAAAAATCCATTAAAACATGAACTATCTCTTTTCTTCAACACACAATTCATTCTTCAAAAACCTGAAAAGTCAGTATGTGACAGTCCCTCGATCATGTATTCATGTATTGACGTCCCAAATTTTCAAAATCCTGGATCTCCCTCTGAATTTTGTCAGGAAATACAAAACATTTCCCATAAAATTAGTAAGATACACATGATACAATCATGACAATCATATCTTATTCAATGTGCAGCATGGCAATCAGCAATATTCCAGCAATACAAACAGGCCTGTGTTATATCTAAGTTAAACCAGTCATTGCTACTATTAGCAACGTCCCACCTCGTCGTGTACAAGTAATCACCTGATTACTTGTGATCAGTTTAGCCACCTCCTAAAACAAGTAAAGGCCTTCTAGAGAACAATTCTAATGCAGAATACTCCCACCTGTACACCTTCTGTCAGAAGATGTGGGTGGAGCCTGTGGTCTTACCTCTGAAGAGTTTCTTCTGGTTGTTGGGAGTGCCGGGCGGGGTGGGGGTTGGGGGGGAGGTGCCAAGAGCTGACAGGTGGTTGTCATGACCTTGACCTACGTCAGAGGGCATACACACAAGCAGTTCCTGCAGCGCTTTGCGACCTGGTACCTTGTCATCGAGGCTGGTGCTGGCATTCCGCAAACAATTCACCTGAAGACAGCAACAACAATTACAACATGTTCAGTGGTTACAGTGAAGGGAACAGGACAAACACAAACCTCACTGAGGCAATTCATAACTGGTACCATTGGGGTTGAAAATTAGTCATTTCTAGAATTTATTAATCACCATTAGCAATGACAGCATGATTCATTGCATGAACTGTTAAACATGTCATACATGTAACAGTCAATGAGGTGCAGACAACCATGACAACATGGTCTAAAACTAACTAATATAAGATATATTTTTATTAACTAGTTGTATATGCAACATTACTACCATGACTACTATTTGTGATGCTTACATGCTTATAACTTTTCTCTGGTCTTGAACCAGTGTAATAGCGACTGTGTCTAAACACTGAAAACGGTGCTTTATTCCATTGTTAGCACCACTTTAACTACAGTCAAACCCAGTTGACTTGATCACAGCAAACTGTTACTTATTTAACACTATTTTAAACCAGACGTGTTGAATTCCTGGTTGTCTTAAACTCAATTCATTGTTCCAATACTTAAAAATAACCAAATTACAACTTGGAATATGTATCGACCCTAATAATTGATAAGGCAAGATACATAAAAATATGAAACCGTTGACTGGTCTGACGCATCTTCCCGAGGCAAAGGAGTTAACTGACTATAAAAGTCCAGTTTCCACCCTTGCCGAACTAGGCTGGTATTAGGGAGTTACATTTTGGCTGGACTAATGAGTCTATGCATAGTCCAATCAAAATCGCGTACCGAAATCGAAATCCGGTTCGTAAACTGTCATGCAGATTTTGATTTATTGCAGGATTTGCAGAGCATGTGTACTGTCAACTGGGCAGCAATAGATATTGTCCAAATATTTTCATGTCTTTAATCCAGGTGCTCAGGTGATTTGATGCACCTCGCGAGGTAAGACCCAATTTATTACAATAAAGATCTTGATTATCGATCAGATTGTCTTGAATATTGTTTGAAGCAAATGCAAGCGAAATGAGTGGTGGAATTTGATAGATCACTTGGAGGGACATAGATGGGACATAACATGAAATCTCCACTGCTGGCAGTATGATCGAGCCACGAAATTCCAGCTTAATTTGGCAAGGGTGGAAACCGGACTTTTACAGTCAGTTAACTCCCTTGCCTCGGGGAGATGGGTCTAGTAAGCTCGGCTAATAAAAGTGTGTACCTTAACACTAGTTGAGTCTAGTTACATTCTGTTCAGTCAAGAAAGCTCAGCTATAAAAGTGTACATGTTAACACAAGAATGTACCAAATATTTAAGCAAAAAGCCAAGTTTGGGCTTGGAGAATAAAATGCACAAAATAAAAACGATAAACACAAAACAATCTAACAAATCGTACACAAGCAGGCAGTCGTTCTCTTACCAGGATGTTCAGCTGGGCATGTGTGAGGAGCACGGTGGAGCGGGCGGCGTTCTGGAACTGACTGATCCCCATGATGGGAACCTCCTCCCCCACTCCCTCCACCAGGCAGTCCAGGAAGGAGGACATGCACCCCTACAGAAGTGAATGTCACATCAGTTGTACACACATTTGATAGGGATCGTCTAGACACAGGCAAATAACTGTCATATCAGATGTATATACATCACATTGCCTTTACCAAGTACGCTGTTTGATAGGGATAGTACTAGACACAGGCAAATAACTGTCATATCAGATGTATATACATCACATAGCCTACACTGTTTGATAAGGATAGTCTAGACACAGGCAAATAACTGTCATATCAGATGTATATACATCACATTGCCTTTACCAAGTACGCTGTTTGATCATTTGATAGGGATAGTACTAGACACAGGCAAATAACTGTCATATCAGATGTATATACATCACATTGCCTTTACCAAGTACGCTGTTTGATCATTTGATAGGGATAGTACTAGACACAGGCAAATAACTGTCATATCAGATGTATATACATCACATAGCCTACACTGTTTGATAAGGATAGTCTAGACACAGGCAAATTACTGTCATATCAGATGTATATACATCACATAGCCTTCACTGTTTGATGGGGATAGTCTAGACACAGGCAAATAACTGTCATGTCAGTTGTATATACATTACATAGCCTACATTGTTTGATTGGGATTGTCAAGACACAGGGAAATAACTGTCATGCTCGTTGTATATACATCACATAGCCTACACCATGTACACTAAGTACATTGTTTGATAGGGATAGTCTAGACACTGGCAAATAACTGTCATGTCAGTTGTATATAAGTCACATAGCCTACATTGTTTGACTGGGATTGTCAAGACACAGGGAAATAAGTGTCATGTCAGTTGTATATACATCACATAGCCTACATTGTTTGATAGGGATAGTCTAGACACAGGCAAATAACTGTCATGTAAGTTGTATATACGTCACATAGCCTACATTGTTTGATAGGGATTGTCAAGACACAGGGAAATAACTGTTATGTCAGTTATTTATACATCACATAGCCTACATTGTTTGATTGGGATAGTCTAGACACAGGCAAATAACTGTCATGCTCGTTGTATAAACATCACATAGCCTATACCATGTACACTAAGTACATTGTTTGATAGGGATAGTCTAGACACAGGCAAATAACTGTCATGCTCGTTGTATATACATCATATAGCCTACACCATGTACACTAAGTACATTGTTTGATAGGGATAGTCTAGACACAGGCAAATAACTGTCATGTCAGTTGTATATACATTACATAGCCTACATTGTTTGATTGGGATAGTCTAGACAGAGGGAAATAACTGTCATGACAGTTGTATATACATCACATAGCCTACATTGTTTGATAGGGATAGTCTAGACACAGGCAAATAACTGTCATGTCAGTTGTATATACATCACATAGCCTACATTGTTTGATTGGTATTGTCAAGACACAGGGAAATAACTGTCTTGTCAGTTGTATATACGTCACATAGCCTACATTGTTTGATAGGGATTGTCAAGACACAGGGAAATAACTGTCATGTCAGTTATATATACATCACAAAGCCTACATTGTTTGATTGGGATTGTCAAGACACAGGGAAATAAGTGTCATGTCAGTTGTATATACATCACATAGCCTACATTGTTTGATTGGGATAGTCTAGACACTGGCAAATAACTGTTATGCTCGTTGTATATACATCACATAGCCTACACCATGTACACTAAGTACACTGTTTGATAGGGATAGTCTAGACAGACGGAAATAACTGTCATGTCAGTTGTATATAAGTCACATAGCCTACATTGTTTGACTGGGATTGTCAAGACACAGGGAAATAAGTGTCATGTCAGTTGTATATACATCACATAGCCTACATTGTTTGATAGGGATAGTCTAGACACAGGCAAATAACTGTCATGTAAGTTGTATATACGTCACATAGCCTACATTGTTTGATAGGGATTGTCAAGACACAGGGAAATAACTGTTATGTCAGTTATTTATACATCACATAGCCTACATTGTTTGATTGGGATAGTCTAGACACAGGCAAATAACTGTCATGCTCGTTGTATAAACATAACATAGCCTATACCATGTACACTAAGTACATTGTTTGATAGGGATAGTCTAGACACTGGCAAATAACTGTCATGCTCGTTGTATATACATCATATAGCCTACACCATGTACACTAAGTACATTGTTTGATAGGGATAGTCTAGACACTGGCAAATAACTGTCATGCTCGTTGTATATACATCATATAGCCTACACCATGTACACTAAGTACATTGTTTGATAGGGATAGTCTAGACAGAGGGAAATAATTGTCATGTCAGTTGTATATACATCACATAGCCTACATTGTTTGATTGGGATTGTCAAGACACAGGGAAATAACTGTCTTGTCAGTTGTATATACGTCACATAGCCTACATTGTTTGATAGGGATTGTCAAGACACAGGGAAATAACTGTCATGTCAGTTATATATACATCACAAAGCCTACATTGTTTGATTGGGATTGTCAAGACACAGGGAAATAAGTGTCATGTCAGTTGTATATACATCACATAGCCTACATTGTTTGATTGGGATAGTCTAGACACTGGCAAATAACTGTTATGCTCGTTGTATATACATCACATAGCCTACACCATGTACACTAAGTACACTGTTTGATAGGGATAGTCTAGACAGACGGAAATAACTGTCATTTCAGTTGTATATAAGTCACATAGCCTACATTGTTTGACTGGGATTGTCAAGACACAGGGAAATAACTGTCATGTCAGTTGTATATACATCACATAGCCTACATTGTTTGATAGGGATAGTCTAGACACAGGCAAATAACTGTCATGTAAGTTGTATATACGTCACATAGCCTACATTGTTTGATAGGGATTGTCAAGACACAGGGAAATAACTGTTATGTCAGTTATATATACATCACATAGCCTACATTGTTTGATTGGGATTGTCAAGACACAGGGAAATAAGTGTCATGTCAGTTGTATATACATCACATAGCCTACATTGTTTGATAGGGATAGTCTAGACACAGGGAAATAGCTGTCATATCAGTGATATATCCCTCTTCAGTGTTTAAAATGGTCCTTCAGCTAGTTTAGCATGTTTAGAAATAGTCTTGACAGAGAGAAATAAATGTCATATCCAGGGAAATAACTGTCATGTCAGTTGTACAGTCATGCTCCGCTTATACGGACTTCAGATATCCGGAAACCTCGGTTCCTGGACGATTTTCATTCAAAACGAAATAATTACTATATAAATTTACCCGTATATACGGAAATTCAGTTTCCGGAACCGGACGGTCATTTTCATACACAAAACACTGAAATGCACACAAAATTATCTCACTTATCCGGACAATACACTTCCGCTGGTGGTAATCCTTTGATTCGTGAGAAGCCAATTAACCAAGTGACACTGAGTTACGTTTGAGACGAGCTTGTTTATTGTACATGTAATCCCCTTTGATAAATATGGCATCTGTGGAGGTCAGAGGTCAAAGTTGTGTAAGTATGGCCTGTCAACCAGCGAAACGTAAGCGACACGCAGTTACAGCACGCGAAAAAAGGGAAATTTGTCTGTTTAAGGAAAAAACACCCGTCAGCAAGTTTAGAAACCATCAGTAAGCATTATGGCACTGAATTTGGACATACCATAGGAAAATCAACAATTGGTGAATAAAGATTGAGTGGATGTGTCTGTTTGCTCTTTCATCTGTCATGAGTTGCATAATTGAAGGGAAGTAACTCTTCCAGTAAGAAGCTGGTTTCAGTTATATGGAAATTCGTTTATACGGACGCATTGTGAAATGACACAAGTGTCCGTATAAACGAGGCACGACTGTATATACATTACATAGCGTGCACCTAGTACAATGTTGGATAGGGATTGTCAAGACACAGGGAAATAACTGTCATGTCAGTTGTATATACATCACATAGCCTACATTGTTTGATTGGGATTGTCAAGGCACAGGGAAATAACTGTCATGCTCGTTGTATATACATCACATAGCCTACACCATGTACACTAAGTACATTGTTTGATAGGGATAGTCTAGACACTGGCAAATAACTGTCATGTTCGTTGTATATACATCACATAGCCTACACCATGTACACTAAGTACATTGTTTGATAGGGATAGTCTAGACAGAGGGAAATAACTGTCATGACAGTTGTATATACATCACATAGCCTACATTGTTTGATTGGGATTGTCAACGCACAGGGAAATAACTGTCATGTCAGTTGTATATACATCACATAGCCTACATTGTTTGATTGGGATTGTCAAGGCACAGGGAAATAACTGTCATGCTCGTTGTATATACATCACATAGCCTACACCATGTACACTAAGTACATTGTTTGATTGGGATTGTCAAGGCACAGGGAAATAACTGTCATGTCAGTTGTATATACATCACATAGCCTTCACTGTTTGATAGGGATAGTCTAGACACAGGGAAAAAACTGTCATATCAGTGATATATCCCTCTTCATTGTTTGAAATGGTCCTTCAGCTGATTTAGCATGTTTAGGAATAGTCTTGACAGAGAGAAATAAATGCCATATCCTACCATGCTTAATGGGCATTTTGAGGATAGTAGACACGGCAAATATCACATCAGTTGTACATTCTAAAATGCTTGCTAGGTATATTCCTGTCATTCCATTAACAGTCATAAACCAGTATCTAACACAATATAAAATGCATGCATAAAATCAAAGGGACGCTTACGTTATTGAGGGAAAACAAAGAAAACCAACATACAATAGTAGACACTCGGACTCTGCCACAGGCAGGGTTGTTCATGACATGATCTGACAGGATTTTCACCGTTTGTTCATCCCATTCACTCCTTATCAACTTATCGATAGTCATATTTGATGTAAAAACAAATTATCATACAGAATATTCAGTCTCTGTCCAGAGAGAAATGTTTCAGAAACTAGACAATAGTAAGTGAATGGCACCGCATGAAACACTCACCTTCTCAAACCTTCCGTACAAGTCCCGCAGTTTAGGATCAATCTCATCCCACTGTGAAATGGCAAGAACCTGGACGATCTGGGCCATCTGCATCAGGTTGTGTCGTGCGATGTGGCTGATCGGGACATCGGATGTGATACCATACGGCTCAGGATCACATATAGCCGGACAAATAAATAGGGCAAAAATAAGATCGGCACATGTAGCTCGCACTTCACCTGTCGGGAGTTTGTTCCCCTTGGTGAGTGTCTGGAACACCTGTGCCACAATCCAACTGATGCTGGCAGGGAAGCAATGGATGTTGCTCTTGATAGAGTTGATGAACCGTGTACACAACAGCACTAACTTGTCAACAATAAATTTACGGTAATTCTGAACTTTCGATTTGTAGTCATCACTGCCTGGTTCACCAAACCTCTTCTGTCTCTCTTTTGGTGGAAAACGAACCAAAGCTTTGTCTGGATCAATATCATAGAACCATTCGTCTTCCATCAAAAGTCTCATAACCGGGTCATGAAGAGCGGCTGTGAGAAAGAGACGGGTCGAGAACAACATATCACTCAGCTGCTTGAAGATGAGGCTGAATGCACAGTTCCCTCGTCTAATCAGTCTTCTTGGGTTGTCATGACCACCAAGCTGAACATCGATCAGCGTCTTGAGTAGCTGTAACACATGGTGCTCATCTTCTTGTACGACACAATTCCCGTATATGGCTGACATGATGCTACCAATTACTTTACCAGTGGTTATGATGTTCACCTTCTCTAGTGTACAGACACAGTGGGCTAGGAGGATCGGGTTTTCATGCAGATATTTAAACAAGTCGCCATACTTTGAATCATGGTGTCCGAGAACCTTATAACTATCCTGAAAATTGACACTCTCGAGCTGGTTATTTTTGGCGCAGATTTCCTCTGAAGGAACATCATGGCCCATAGCCTGCAGGTGGTCCAGATTCAGTTTTTGTTGCCTTGAAATCCACGAAGCATGAAACAGGTCTTCGCCAATTTTGCGTACTTCTTCGTACAGTTTTTGAAGCTGTTCTCGCTCCATGCCAACAAAGAGTCTCTCTTGTCGGAGGTGCTGTCCCAGCTCGAGAAGGTCGTGTAACACACTCATGGCTGCTGCTGCTAGTGCTGGTGGTTCTATAGACTGACAGGCAATCCTGATACTGCTAACAGGGCATTTCAGTAGTTGCCCATCATCAAGTCAATTACTGTTCGTTTTCCTGCAACAAAAGCAGAAAGCCGGTTTAGAGAATAAAAACATGTCAATGTGACATAAACAGGAACTTGGGTCCATTAGGAATCCTAATTTGGTAATTCAAACAGCACCTTGTCCCTTCTATGTTATGATTGTACGGGTTAGTAACCGTTGAATTGCATCCCTGTGGAATAGAGGTGTAACGATAAGGTGGGATCACGGTAAGATATGTATCCCAATACTATAGCTGAGATACAATTCATATCCCAATGGGATATTGTAGGGCTGAAACATATAGCCCTGAGATTCTGAGATTACGCGATTGTGGAAAGATTTGCAGAAAATGTAACTTACCGCAGAATAGCAGAAAAGTCACAGAAATCACCTTTCTTGGTCAATTTTGCACTCGATTAATGCCCAGATATTTAGCATGCAATTCAAACATACAAAATATGAATCCTACAATAAACAATATTGAAAAAGAAATTCTCACTTTTAAATGTTCTTGTGGTATAATCATGATAATGATTACATAAACTATGTTCACATGTAACCATGAACATAAGTTACATTATGACTATTTATTTGCACAATGTTATGTCTAGATGCAAAAGATTAAATTTTTTAAAGAAAAATATGAGTTTGCATAAACTATTGAACGAGAAATAGTTATGTTTTTACAGCAGAATTGTGCAATTTTAGTCACAGAAGTTTGGTAATTTTACTGCAGAATTTTTATCATATTACCGGAGAATTCATCTGGGATTGATAAGCTAGAGGGCACTGTGAATGTTATATTATGTTTAGCCGACCGGGAAATACTACAGAATGTGCATAAGGTGGTTGTTGAACTGTCTGTTATTTTCATGATATTTTTTTACATTTTTAAGGGGTTCTTTTTAAATACAATGTATTGTATGTGTTGCGATACAGAGGTTGTAAATCAATATCAATACCATATTACCGTATCATTATACCACTACTACTATGCAGCCTATGTCCATGTAAGATATGAACTACAATATTACACAACTTCAGACTAATCTGAATACAGATTGGACAAAAACTTGGGGTCAGGTATGAGAAATATAGCATCAGAAGTTGCTCAGATATGAAAGGTCATGTGTAGTTTAGAAGGGACAATTACCTCAGTCCCTGGCTATATCAAGTGTTACAATGCAGGATTTCAGATCAGTCAATTTTCTAGGGCATTGCTCGATTGTTATTCAATATATCCAAAAGATTTTCTCAATTTGGTGCTGGTATAGACATGATAGAATAATGTTCAATCAAAATTTGCTAAAATCATGAAAAATGTCCTTTGGAAATTTACAAAACAAAATCCCTGCAAAATAATATGAATACATTTTGGAGGAAATGAAACAACTTGTTTGAAGACTTCAAATGGTTTAATAGTTTTCCTCTTATAAAAACAGTTGTGTTAGGAGTAACCTGACAAAAATTAACACAATGGACAAGCCAACTCAAGTGGCTAGAATCAATATGAACAGAAAGAAAATCAGGGGTAGAAATAAACCAAGAGGGTCGACTTGCCCGAACAGGCAAAGATATACATGTGTAGCAATGTCCCCAAAATAAATTGTCCCAGAAAATGCTTGACAAAATTATTTATGCTTACGACTGTTAAAAAATGAATTCTCTGCTACAAAAACAACATGGTTGCAAGGTTATACTTGGCAAAAATATGTTTCGGTGCATAGTTTTAATTTTTTTTAGATATCTGGTTTTGCAGCTGTAGCTGAAAAAATATCTTATCTCCATCTCCAATTTCAGTTTTCCTCCAGAATATCAAAAGGTAACCTTTAACATGTACAAAACTGGTACAGCCTAGCAGGTCAGTGCCAAGTTCTATCCCTGAAAGCAGTATGTTCTGCGAACCAATTGGCATAATTATCTAAATAAAAACTAATTTACTCATAATCATGACAACACGCTGTGTGTATGAACAACACATGGATTTGACATTTGATACTTATCATGCTCATATGGAACAAAATTCAAACTGTTGACAAACTTGTACAAACTATACAGGTATCTTGTTTAGATTTTATCATGTTTAAAACCAAAATACAAATGACTGTTTCTGGTAATATTTAGATCATGAGACATATGGCTGGTACTTGCGGTGTAAACAAAATTCCTTTATTGTTCTTGCATTGCATCCAAATAATCCTTAGACAATCTCATTATAATCTGATCTTTTACTCCGATTTGATACTAACATCAGGTCAACTTACTTATCATCCAATCAGCGCCATCAGCGCCATTTTCAGTACGAGTATACTATGAGTGAGAGCAGCATTCAGACCTGCATAGCTGATTTCTGTATCTTGAAACAGAGTTTAAGCGAATTTTCCTAAATGTACATAATGAAATCTGCAGTATTAGACTCCATATGGTTGTGGATATTGCATACACCCTGTCATTTCTGAGCTCCGTCGTCTCTACACCCAAAAGGACGTACCATCAAAGTCATATTAGTGTCCCCACAATAGAGGTATTAAGAAAATTGTTTTAGAAAGCTGGCATCTGATTGGCTCAAGAACCCATGCATCCTTCATTTAGATTGGACTTTCAAAGGTCACTCTGGATTCACATAACATGACCTCATATGGAGGTGCCATCACAAATGAACGCAGAGAGATATGGTATCAAAGTATTAAAAAAACACCAACTTTTAATGCGGCAAATTCTTTGAAAACTAATATCCATGTATGTAAGGGTTATAGTTCTTTTCCTAAAATTCATCAACATAATGATCCTATTAACAGACATATAGCCACAAATTATATCTGATGAAACACAAACACAGATAAAAGTTGAAATATTAAATCTAGTTACACATTCATTCACAACAGGGTTTCATACTGTTTCAGATTGCATTGTCTGATAGTTCCAAAATGTCTAAAACATTAGATTTTAAAATTTGCAACCATTGCATATATATATAGCAGTGTCATATAAAAAATGATGAAAAGGTGAAAATGTTCTGGAAAGTAAAATGTACATTGCCGGATGCCATGTCCCTAGTACACCACAGCACCATGATCTGTCACCTTCAGTTGTTCAATTAATGGCGAAATGCAAAAAGGATCTACCATTGTTAAATCATTATCTGATACTCGTCCATCTTGCTATCCATAATGCCACTTAAATATCATCTCCCACATATTACCGACATTACCGACAGGCATATATGTAGTTCATTAGTTGTGTCTTCTCAGCTTGATTGCGCACTAGAACGCGGAAAAACTAGCAAGCACTTAAGAAATAATCGTCATGAACTTGCCCTTCACTAAATATCATGGTATAGGCAGTAAGAATGCGACAATACCGTGCTGACACTTTGTAAACAAACAAATAGAACAGTACAATCGCCACAACCAAAGGGGGAGGGGTGGAAATATGGCCAGAAGGTGCAAAGCCAACTTGTCAGATTATGGTGCATTACTGACAACTAACCAACTGACTCATGGTTATTAAGATTGCAAAGAGCATGCATAGAGTGTAGATGTTTATGTAACCCACAAAATAGCAACAAAATCCTTACAGTGCACTTTGAAACACTACGGACTTCGTCGTCCATTTTCGACTCTTATTTACTTCGTTTTACGCATGCGCAACTTTATAATGGAGCTGTCAGTTTTCGAAATTGTTTTGCAAATATAAAACTGTTTCATATTCGATGACAGCTACTATTTTTCATTAGCACAACAACAAAATTTAGGTATAGTTTAAGAAACATTTTGTTCAAAATGTCAAGAGCGTAAAAGTATTGAAATAGGACATATAAACTGTTGTATTAACACTACTCCCTCCACATACACGAACGACAACTCTTGTGATCGTATGAGTCATCGCTGAGGCCCTTTACAGGTTTGCTTCCCGAACCTTGTTGTATGTTTTTATTTTGTACTCATATGTAGATGTGCCTCAGTGCAACGATGAAGAAAAATACATTTAGAATATAGTTAACAGTTTTAGAGACGGAAACGTTATCACAGGTGTAATCAAAACCTGCTGAAGGATTAGTACTGTTGTTTTGTGTTCAGACGTAGTATCTAGCATCGTTACTAGAACTTAAAGGTCGGTGGAACTAAACAACGAAAATGTATCAATAAGCCGAGAAAATCCCTAACTATCTCATAAAAATAAATGTTTGCTAAACTAATTCCGTTCGATGAGCGTTTGGTCATCGTGCTGAAGACCCGCCGGGTTTTATTCCCCACATAGGTTCAATGTGTGAAGCCCATTATTTCTGGTGTCCCCTGCCTTGATATTTCTGGAATATTGCTAAAAGCGACGTCAAATCCACTCACTCACTCTATATTTTTAAGTGACATATCCTCGTTCTGAATGTCTAACATTTTGATAAATCATGTGAGGATGCAAGTATATGTAAGGATAGTCACTATCAGTGTACGGTACCGTATTCTATTAGTAGGCAGTACTACTGACGTACTGTAGAGCGCGTGCATGTTCAATGCCAATCCGCGTTACCTCACGAACTGACAGAGAGGCACTTGTTTATTTACGTCTCACCTTTGATTGAATCATAAATAGTGCAGTAGCCAGATACAAACTCTCTCTTAAGCCACTCACGGAAATGTCAATACGAATGCCCTTGGGTGAAATACACCGTATAACACAGGTCGTATCTTAAACGTAATTATCATACCAAAACAAAAAGCAGAACTACATACATACCTTTCCTCGTTCCTCTGACATGCTGTGTCTAATAGAACTCGGTCTGTAACCATAAATTACAATGGTTGCTCTCAATATTTAACAAAACGTTCCTTAAATAATAAGTGATGCTTAAAAGCCTAACATATTTCAAACCTGACCTCTTATGTAAATCCGTTTATGAGTGAAAATGGTGTAAGGGTAAAATTATATTATTGATCTTTCATTGATCTTTCTGTATTTCCGTAATTTACACAGCAGTCTGGTCATTCCCTTTGTAGGCGTATACACGAGCCGCGCTGTTCCGTTGTCCCAGCTATTTCATGGGATTACCGGTTCTATGAGGACTGTTGCGGTTTAGAACACGTACATGCGCGTATCCACGTGATTTTCTATTAGTTTTGAAGATAAGTCAGATAGGTTGGGTACAACAGACATACCGGCATGCATCTGTTCAGTGCCTGCTCGCGGCTAGTCTAGCAGACGACCTATTTTGTGCACACGAAGTAATGACGTCATATATATTACGCAATCTACATATGTATTACCTTAAGCTATTTCCCGACTCTCTGTGCGCGTCGTCAACTTGCGCAATCTATATATTGCAGTGTGATATTAAAGATCTTTTTCACTAGGAAAATATTGTAAATATCTGGAGAATGGCGTCTTATACATTTATTCGAGATACAAAATTGTGGTTGGTATGTTGCAAATGTAATGCCAACAGTTCGGCAATTCAAGCGGGGAGGGGCGGTCTACCGTAGCCCAGTGGTTGAAGCGTTCGCTCGTCACGCCGAAGACCCGGGTTCGATTCCCGACATGGTTACAAGCCCATGTCTGGTGTCCCCCGCCGTGATATTGCTGGAATATTTGGTAAAAGCGGCGTAAAACCATACTCCCTCACTCAAGCGGGGGAGATGAGCATGTACCTTACATGTTAGCGGGGTACATTGACAACAATGAATACAATTGGTCTCAGCGAATCAGAATCCGACACTCATGTGTAAGATAACGTAAAGAAGTCCTACTTATTTCGTTGCGAGACAAATTTACACATACTAACAATTAATCACACCTGAACGTGTTCTCTTTTCGCAACTCAGCTGTCTGCATCCATTCGCTGAAACAGGACACACAGCCGACAAAACAGTCAAGGCTTGGGTCCACACATTGTACCCATGTCGGGAATTGAACCCGGGTCTTCGGCGTAGCGAGCCAATATTTGAGTGAGTGAGTGAGTATGGTTTTACGCCGCTTTTAGCAATATTCCAGCAATATCATGGCAGGGGACACCAGAAATGGGCCTCACGCATTGTACCCATGTCGGGAATCGAACCCGGGTCTTCGGCGTGACGAGTGAACGCTTTAACCACTAGGCTACCCGACCGACCGCCAATATTTGAACCACAAGGCTACCCAACGTTACTACTTCTTCACGACCAAGGAACCTTTATGTTTGGGTTCGAATCTCGGTTTGCTCTGATTATGTTTTTAGGTTTGTCAGCACCAAACCCGAGCTCGCCCGTTTCACCAAAGTGGTAAACGTCTAAGACCTGCATCACTTCGGGTTCTCCTCCCACGCCAAGCTGGTACGCTGTGATATAACTGAAGTAGAGTTCAAAGCGGCGTTGAACCAATCTCAATCACTCACGCACCACTCTTCACGATCACTTGCATAAGCATTAAATACATCACTTTACGTACATTGCTACATTTCAAAATAGACCGTATTATTCGACTCGTAAAGATCCGGGGTAGAATAGGTCTTCAACAATCCATGCTTGCCGTTAAAGGAGACTCTGCTTGTCGTAAGATGCGACTGACGGGATCGAACGGTTAGGCTCGCTGATTTGGTTGAGGCATGTCATCGTATCCCAATTGCGTGAATCGATGCTGATGATGTCAATCACTTGAGTGTGGTTCAGACCTCATTATTTACAGACCGCCGTCATATAGCTGGAATATTGGTGAGTGCGGCGTTAAACAACAAACAAACATTATTATTCAGATGACATAACGTGGGGTGACGCCGTGATCTGAAGATGAAAGCATCCCTGGGGATTCCGGGTTGCAATCTGGATATTTGTTTTACTCTGAAAGAATTTGAACCAAACATGTTTTTGGACGCACGACACGAATGTTTGCCGAATGCTCAGTGAACAGTTACTGTATGTAACACCTGTGAAGATCCGGGTCTTCAGCAACCCATGCTTGCCGTAAGAGGCGACTAACGGGATCGGGTGGTCAGACTTGCTGACTTGGTTGATGCATGTCATCGTATACCAATTAGATGCTCATGATGTCAATCTACCCGTGAAGCTCCGGGGTAGAACAGGTCTTCAGCAACCCACGCTTGTCATACGAAGCGACTATCTTGTCGTAAGAGGCGGTCTGTAAATAATCGAGTCTGGAACAGACAATCCAGTGATTGACATCATGAGCATCGACCAACGCAATTACGACAAGCATAGTCGCCCCGTATGACAAGCATGGGTTGCTGAAGACCTATTCTACCCTGGATCTTCACGGGTCTAAAATTATACTAAAGAGGAGACATTTTGATCGTTTTAAATCAGTACAGCATGCACAGTAGAAACAAATACGCAAACAATCGATGAATATATTAAAGTTCACATTGGCAGGGATGCAACTGAACCCGAAACATGTCCTAGCCCCAATATTGATGACATATAAAGACACCCTAAATTACAACAAGACCTGAGGGTAGTCAGGATACCAATAACACTACACACACTAGACAAACTAGCTCGGGCTAGCGGGTAAGTTCCTAGTTGCATCTCTGTATTTGTGTTCTCATTTATTTCATAATCCAAAGCACATGCATGAATACACATTCCCACAAAACACATGAATACACATTCCCACAAAACACTTGCACAAATTGTTGCAAGTCGAATCCCAGATTTACCCAAACAAAACAAGTATTTTTCTACACCCAGTTGATTTTAAATAGTTAGTTTTTCAGCTTCTTACACACACCGACTTACTAATGCTTGTCGTAAGGCCGAGCCAAGCTAGAAAGGCCATTATTCCAATCTATATTTTATTTCAACAAAACAGTTATCATTTTCCTGTGCGTGCAAAATACAATGTATTTTGACTCTAAAGTTCCACCAGTATTTTTATATGCATCTGAAATATGGGGGAATGAAATATCAAGGCAGTATTGAAAAAGTCCACGCAGCCCTCTTGAAGCGATTTCTGGGAGTTGGAAAGTTTGCTGCCAACAAAGTTAACCTTGGTGAGACAGGACGTCATTGTCAGTATATATCTATACAGATGAGAGTTGTTAAATATTGGATTAGATTATTAAGAATGAGTACAGATATCCCCATCAATGTTATATTATGCTAAGAAAATTGGATGAAATTGGGAAAACATATCAGAAATACGCTATTTTCTATTCTCTTGCGGATTTTGTATCATGGATTGCACAAGCCGTCGGTGATGATGAACAAGGGGGGAGGAGGGGGGTAAAAATAATACATAAAATAGGGGTGTGTGTGTTAGAAGAGCAACACGTGCCTTTATTACCCGTATTGTCCGGATAAATGAGGTTTCAATGAATCCAGTACATTAAGTATATACTGCAAGCATCACCAAAAGTATCCCGAATGTTAATTACTGAGTAGTGAGTTAATGTTTCACGGCTGTAGAGTTAGAAGCGCGTGTAGAAGCTGGTTTCCGTGAATCCAGGTCCGCTGGCTTCGTACACTTGGACTTTCCGTACCAGGTGAGGATGTCGCTGTAGGTTTTCCTGTAGTCGTCCACGTTCCACAGTCTCCGACAAATGTCACACATCATATTGTTCATATCCATAAAAATATTTCGAATAATCGTTTTATCTATCCATTGGACAACCTGGTGGCGCGAATACACTGAAGCATGGTATCGCTTCCTCTTCAAGATTTCTATATAAGCTGTGTCGTTCTTATCCAAGTATTGAATATATTTTCCTAACTCAGCGATGGACTTAAAATCTGCTGTGTTGATATAGGTTCCTTTAGGGACAACACTGGAGTAATCTCCCCCTCCACGGACTATAGGCACAGCGGCGGTCCCGTAAAAGCGGAAGAACACATCACTTATATATTCAGAGCAGAACACATCCTCAAACGCTAGATAGAATTTGTATTCTCGGCCGACCTTGACAAAACAGTCTAGGTCCCGATCACACAGGGTCCGGTTTACACAAGGTCCGTATATATCGACCTTCACATATTTTCGAAGTTGTTTCAGATAATCCTCCAATCGGCTCGGAGTCTTGCAACTCTGTTGAAATATGACAACAGTCCTCTCCTTCCTCGAAACAACGGTTGTTAGGTTATAGAAAGGAACCGCTTTTTTCTTGACAATAGTTCCATAAGATATTCCAATATCAGCATCGCGCGAGTAACCAATAGTCCAGTTGAACACTGATTTGTCCCTTAAAGTTGATTTGAGCTTTCTGGCAATTTCAGGAACAAGGGGTCGGTGTTCAAATAATATAAACACTTTACCATTTCTTTCCATTTGGGGAATTTTGTTTTTCTCAAGAAATTGGCCGGAAAATATTACCGCGTGGCTGTCTCGAAAATAATTTCCTCTCGTCGTGACAGCGCAGCGAACATCCTCGCAATTCAGGGGATAAATGTGCTCAGAGCGGTAGGCGTAGGTGACGTCGGGGGAGTACGCAAAAATTAGTTTACTTTTGTCCCTACGCTGGTCGCCCGAAGGGTGGTATTCCTTGAAGGCTAACCTAGCGATACTGGCAGGTAAAGGGTTAACTGTTTGGACAGATTCATGCCCAGTGGGAAATGTAACCTTGTGGAATGGTTTGTTAGGAGAGTTGCTGATGTAGAAGTAACGACAGATGAAGATGGTGACGACCACACACAGGAACATCTTCATTGAGGTTGGGACGGAACGCCTGAAAACCAAAAGAAGATATTTGGTTTTGTGTTATCATATACTCACCGTCATAAGAAACGCGAATACCATTGGTTAATATATGAATAATTACGCATATTCAGGAGATATTATATTGGCTGGAGGCACTAACGAACATACTAGTATGTTGTGTGAACCGACGCTCATGAACGATATCACGTGTGACGTCACAAATCCATGACTCGAGATGCACCATTTGTCTCGTGCAGGATTAGTGTACATGTGTAAAGTTTGGAAATCACGTGCAGCATATCGTGGTTGGTTGGTTGGTTGGTTTGTTGTTTAACGCCGCACTCAGCAATATTCCAGCTATATGACGGTGGTCTGTAAATAATCGAGTCTGGACCAGACTAATATCATGAGCATCGATCCACGCAATTGGGATACGATGACATGCATCAACCAAGTCAGCGAGCCTGACCACCCGATCCCGTTAGTCGCCTTTTACGACAAGCATAGTCGCCTTTTACGACAAGCATAGTCGCCTTTTACCGCAAGCATGGGTTGCTGAAGACCTATTCTACCCCGGAATCTTCACGGGTGCAGCATATGGTGACCAGAATAAAGACACTCTGTGGTAACACTTGACCGCTTGTTAGTTTTGTCATTAATTGGTTCACATTGGAAACATGTCTTTTTAACGTACATTCTTCTCTATGTTTCTATGGTTCGTGTTTCTTTAGGCGGTGAGTAAATGTTGACCCCGCTTGCATACTCCGGGCAACATAGCCGGAACGTGGAAGCCATAATTGTGTCATACAGTTACATTGATGCACATTTTGTAAACATACATAAAAATAGCTGTATGACAAAAACGTGTTCACAAAATGTGCATAAAAGTAGCTGCATGACAATTGTTTGAACCGTATCTCAGATTTATATGTCTGAGTGAGTGAGTGTTACCTTAATTTCTGCACTCAAATAAAATAATCGAGTCTGAACCAGACAATCCAGTGATTGACATCATGAAACATCGATCTACGTAATTGTGATAGGATGACATGCATCAATTTTTAATTAAGTCAGCGAGCCTGACTACCCGATCCCGTAAGTCGCCTCTTACAACAAGTATAGACGCCTTTTACGACAAGCATGAGTTGCTGAGACCTATCCTAACCCGGGTCACTGGTACTTAGTCAGACGTGGTGGTATTAAGACCGACTGAGCTGGTAAACATCTTACCTCATTTTGAGAGAAATCTATGTCGGTTTTGCCTTGTGTTCTATAATACTGGGAGGCCGCAGAACATCTGAAACAAATAGGCCAGGCATACACGTGTTAGGAAATTTGCTGGAGGCGGAGTCATGTGACTGTATTAAAAATACGTGAAATGTGTGTAAAACAATACAAGGATAAATTGTTTTATTTCCAGTAGTCGGATGTGTGTGTGTGAGTAGATAGGGCGGATGTGTGAGTGTGTATGTATGTAGATAGGGCGCGGATAAGTGTGTGTGTGTGTATAGGGCGCGGATGAGTGTGTGTGTGTGTAGATAGGGTGGATGTGTGTGTGTGTGTGTAGAGAGGGCGCGGATGTGTGTGTGTGTGTATGTATGTATATAGGGCGGATGTGTGAGTGTGTATGTATGTAGATAGGGCGCGGATAAGTGTGTGTATGTGTGTTGATAGGGCGGATGTGTGAGTGTGTATGTATGTAGATAGGGCGCGGATGAGTGAGTGAGTGAGTTGGGTTTAACGTCGCTTTTAACAGTATTCCAGTAATATCACGGCGTGTCAGCTTAATGTGGGAGGAAAGCCCGAGGTGATGCAGGTCTCAGACGTTTACCACTTCGGTCAAACCCGCGAGCACGGGTATGGTGCTGACAAACCTAGAAACATAATCAGGGCGAACCGGGATTCGAACCAACAATCATAAGTTTCTGGCGTGCCCAAGGGACGCAACTCTGCACAGCGAATCGCAGCACCTTAGACGACTGGGTCAGCCGTACCCCCTGGGGAATAGTAGCACAATGGAAGGGTATTGGTTGAGTGGACGGCGTAATTTAATTGGGTTAGGGCAGGTCTTTTGATCAATATAGTGGGTGGGTGATACGTGCTTTTTTGCCTAAAGGGACGTTTACAGTGTAAAATATAACTGATAGACAACGAAACAGACGTTATGTCTACACAAAAATCCATGAAATAAACGGCGTGCAGTGAGTGAGTATGGTTTTACGCCGCTTTTAGCAATATTCTAGCAAAATCATTGCGGGGGACACCAGCAGTGCGATTCACACATTTTAATGAGGGGAATCGAACCCGGGTCTTCGGCGTGACCAGCGAACGCTTTAACCACTAGGCTACCCCACCGCCCCGTCATAGCTATATAAGGGATGCTGAACGATACCATATCAAGCTCTGATACCAGTTCATGAACGAACAGGCTTCGCTCGAGTGAGTTGCAAGTTTCAATCAGATTTTTCAAAATAACCCAGTCGACTTCTCACACTGTTGTTATCAAAATTAACCTCGCGGTAACTAAATACTTTAGACACAGACACGACACGCCAATTTCACACTGGACACAACACGCATCTCGCACAGCAGGTTCATGGCGTGTGGACGCCGATAGTCTCCATGTTTCTCCGTCATAGTCAGTGAGTAGGTTTTAAATAAATGTACTTGCACTTAAACATTCTACCGTATCCACCATGCACAGTACCGCATGTGTGACCTGCGTGGGTATATCAGGAGGTATGTCTACAACTCGGACACGGCTAAATGATAGCCACAGATAGGCAGACAAACAACATGTAGGAATGTTGAGCGTCGTCGGTGAGCTGATAGCTGATCTCACCTGATCAAGTTTGCGATGCGCTTACACTGTTCACGCCCTTAGGTGGTCATTGGCTGGCTACGGTCGTCTGCTGGTGGCATTGGCTGAGGTCTATTCATGACGTTGGGAGGATAAAGTTTGGACCGAAATGACCAGTATCCAAACTGTCTACAAGTCATAACAAGACTTACATCTGACGAACCTCGCCATGAGGAGTAAGCTCACCTGCTATTGTTCCGGGTAGGCTGTCGATTTACTAGCCCCGTTAAAACGCTATGCAAAAACTAATATTAACCGATTCACAGTTTTAACTTTCGTAGATTCAGTTCATATACCAATATGCTGCATCGGCTTAAGTATGAAGATCAAGACGGGGAAATAACGTATTGACTTTAGTAATGTGCGTTATAGCGAGGTTATGCGGTGGTCCACACCCAGGCCTTCTTACAATTTGCACGGGATACACCCTGCGAAGGCAAGGTTGTACTCCACATAAAGGTCACACCAACCCCGGTACACACATTAGCACATACAGTCAAGTCTCGTTAATCCGACACACGTTAATCCGACAATCGCCGACAATCGGCTTTATCCGACACAAATAATGGGAACCGTTTATATCAGTGCTATAAGAACGTCCTTTCCAGACTATGCTTTAAAACGTATTTTGAATCAGTCAGACAGTCCGTAACAGTAGTTTTGTGGTAAACTTTAGAGGTTGCATGATTAGAAAACATATTCCGCTAACAATGTAACTCAACAATATAAATATTTCCTTTTTCCTTTTTTTAATTAAAACATGTTTAATCGTTATCTCTACGTGCGATCACGAACGTTGATACTTCCTTATTTCGTTTATCCGACAAACTCATATGCAACCAACAATGTCGAATTAACGGGACTTGACTGTTATATGATGTACGTCTATTATCAGAAAATAGACAATGTATAATCACTATGTACAGAAATGTCGCGCGTGGCTACTTTGAGCGTGTCACCCAACTGCTATTTATCCCCAATGCAAAAGACATATATATCTTTGACCCATGTACCAATAATAAAACACGTATTCCTGCTTTGAGGATTTTATGGCGTTACACACTAGTATCCCAGACGTTGTTCTTCGACTGACAGTTTGTACGCGGCCAGTTAACGCTCGCTGTCGACGTCATCGCCACAAAACATTTCCTCGGATGAATCAGGCGCATATAAGTCTTCGCTGGGGTCGTGACGGGTGATCGACCTGGTGATTGTCGGGCGGGTACAGCTTAATACTCTCTCTCTCTCTCTCTCTCTCTCTCTCTCTCTCTCTCTCTCTCTCTCTCTCTCTCAGAGAACAACTCAATCTATTCCATGTGTGAAATTCTTGGGTAAAAAAAACTCTTGTTAAAATCTCCTTAGTAACTACCAGATCTCCGAATGATTGGATGAACGAATACAGAAGGCTCTCGGAATCTTCATCACCTCCTTTACACAGAATGAAATCACAGAGTATGTCATTGAGGATTATTTATTTACAACAATTAAATATTTGACACAAAAATCTACTTATACATTTACAACAACATAACTGTCCACGATGTCAGTCTACAGGACGACCGAGTTACCACACCGTGTGCACTGTAGTTCCACTGACAAAATGGTCTGTTCCACCTCGACATAAAAGTATAAGTTGGAACTTCGAGCTGACGTTATCAAACGCAACTTTGAAATCACATTTTAATAATTTCTATCGAAAAAGATAAATTTTCCTTGAAAACATTTTATACTTTGGATTGCAGGAAAGAAATGGGAATTGCCTGCCACAAAACGTATTAAAAAGAATTTCTGAAATAAATATCTGTTTTGAAGCTGTCTTTCGATTTAATAAACAAGTTGACCTAAAGGTAATAGGAAGTTCAAAAGGGCTTAAAAACATCAAAATAGACGAACTATTGAATTTAAAGATTAGAAGCCCAAAATAAATTATAAATAAACATTGACTTTCGTTTTCTTTAATCCTATCATTTTTAGTCACTTGGTGATGAAGTTCAACATCAAAATGTTTTGAATTCGTTATCATAAAAAAATATATCGAAAGGCTTTTTTTCATCAATGTGAAAAGTGACCGAATTATTTAGGCATTTTGTAAAGAATTGCCTCAGTGAAGATTTTACACAATTACTGTCACATACAGAGAACCGCACATGGTTAATCTGGTTCAGCCGTGCTGAGCTTTTGGAAATACAGTAAAGTTCGTTTATAACGAACTCAAAGGGACTACTAATTTTAGTTCGTTATAACCGTAGTTCGTTATAAGCATATATACAGCATAACTACAGCAAATAGTCGGGACCAAAAATGTAAGTTCGTTATATCCGTCAGTTCGTTATAAGCGTGTTCGTTATAACCGTAGTTTACTGTAGCGGCTTACGTCCTAGCTTCTCCAACACTCTCATCGCGATAGAAGACGAGGTCCTCCTAGTTCCAAGAAACAAGCGTTATCTGGATGGCCCCCATGTACTGACACTAAGTTGAACACAACTGCCATACAATTCAGTAACCACTGTATGACTAAAACATCCCACGTTTATACATTTGGCCATAACAACCCCAAAGGTCATATTAGTAGCTTACTCACCACTCTTACTAATTTCTCTCCCGATTTTAGCACTGAGAACCTTGTAACTACTGGAACCACTTTCACAGAAGACCCATGAAGATCCACGGTAGAATAGGTCTTCAGTAACCAATGCTTGCCGTTAAAGGCGGCTATGTTTGTCGTAAGAGGCGACTAACGGCATCGGGTGGTCAGGCTCGCTGGCTTGGTGGATGCGTGTCATCGTATCCCAATTGCGTGGATCGATGCTCATGATGTCAATCACTGGACTGTCTGGTCAAGACTCGATTAGTTACAGACCGCCGTCATATAGCTGGAGTATTGATGAGTGCGGAGTACAACAAACAAACAAAGTAACACTGATTTCTTATGATCACTAAACTAATTTAGTCCTAAGCCTAAACGCGTGTATTCAGAGTAGAAGAACTCAATGTCAATATAACCACATGTAAAGATGTAAGATGTTCCAGGTTTTGAAGTGGATCTTCAACCGATAATCTCGTTTTGTCCTTGTTGAATCTCAAATATCACTTCAGTGACTATCCTGAAGAAAATTCAAAAATTGTAACTTGATATATGGAGAATTAAATTGTCTGTGTCCACTCCACACTGATGGTCAGCAGAGACCGCCTACGTGGAGTAGTTGATTGAGCGCCTGCCGGAGAGCGGATGATCGGTGGTTCGATCCCGTTGGCGTACCAAAAGAGTCGGATGTTAAGAGATGGGACTTGTTGATGGCGCAGGGTTTTAGGGCTTAAACAAGGACTGGTCAGCTTGGAGTCAGTATAATATGTCTGAGTGCGGTATCAATGTTCAACTGTGGTACAGGGTCTGCCTATGTACGCCTACGAGGACAGTATGAAGCCCTGTACACCCACTGTTATTTCGGTGTTTATTTAACACTTAATTTCCCTATAAAGGGACTGTATAGCACGTAGATTGTGTCCTGTACTGCAAAAGGGTTCTTTCATTTAGGCTTAAACACGGCGTGGATAAATTGTGTCACGTCGGTTCTCACATTAAGCCTTGCTTTACCTATACTCATGCTCAAAGCGGCTTTGAAACCAACTGACTCACTCACTTTGAATGTCACCGTCACATTGTCAATCAGTGTTCGACCCTCCATCCACCCTGCAGAATAGTTTAAAAACTTGCTCTCGAAACGGAGGAAAAGATCCTGTAAAAATCAAAATGTTCCACACAGAATACAGGTGTCTTGTAATGTCGGCCACCATCCACGAGCTCTCTGACATTGGCGGCGTCGAACTGTCGGCCATAGAGTTCAACATGGCCGCTAAAATTGACGGGAGGTAGCAGACGGCAAATGAAATCAGAACCCAAACTGTCATCCAGGGAAACTTGAACGGCAGCTCCGTTTCGACAGGTGCGATTTCGCAATATCTTCTAATGAATTCCTTTATAATACAAACATAACAACCTACAATTACTACGATAGGTATCACAATTACAACGAACGCGACAACGGGAAGAGACTTGGTGTTAGCTAACACGGGAGAACACCCAAACCACATCTCATCAAATCTTTGGATCGACTGAAAATACAAGAGAAGTAAAGCCCCGCCACAGAGCAAGAAGGACAGAGCCATGGCCCCAATAATCCCGGGCACTGACGTCAGCCTTGTATAGTGCCGCGGTCTACATAGGAACAGGTAAACGTCCACCACACACAGAACCCCATGGTAGACGTTCTGGAGATGGAACGTGAGGCGCACGAGCTTCATAGCCGTCACGAAGGAGTCAGTGCAAGACAAAAGAGGGTTGAGGCTGTAAGGGACCTCGTACAAGTTGATGGTTAACCCTGACACAAGATTCGTGATAGCGATGCTGTTCAAGCAGCGCACGGTTGGTGTGAAGTCCTTGGTTTTCGTGTTGATGAAGATGGTGAGGCTGTTGATGACGACGATGGCGATGGAGAGAGTGATGTAGACGGCTCCTAGGAGTGGGCTGACCTCTCTTTCGTGGGACACTGACGTCCAGGGGGATGCATTTATACGAGGGGGGTTCATCTTCATTAGCAGGACGTTAGGGGATTCCCTCGCAAGAAGTCGTGACGTCAACAGGATTCCTCACACAGATGATTCATGACGTCACAGGACTTCCCTCACACAAGGATTTCGTGACGTCATATGGATTACTTCAATCAGATGAGTCGTGACAGAGACGTTGTGTCGTCAGAGAAATTCCCTCACACAGAGAAGTCGTGATGTCAGAGGCTATGCCAATTCGCGTTCTTAGAGGTAAAAAGAAGTTTTTAAAGTTAGTAATAAACTTCTGTCTGTCGTTTCATAAGTTTTTTTTACCACAGCGGACTGAACGTTGTAAGTAACCCTCGTTGTCTATGCACATGGAGCATCAATGAAACATCGCCGCTGGTTGTGGAAAACTCTAGGTAAATTACACCCAGTAGAAACTTATAAATCCATTATGTTAGCTGACTTGGCATTATTCATCTGAAGCCTTAAGCGCCAAGCGTCCAGCGATCACGGCGTCTGGTCATCTGTGCTTCATGAAGGTGGTGAACTGAAAGCCTAATAAAACATTGACACTATTGTACATCACCAGGGAAACAGCTGAAACACTGTGGCCACGTGTTTCACTTTGTTGAGTGCGACGTCCACGTGAGAACTTCATCATCACTCTCTGTTAACACAACAACAGGTGCGCGGAGCTTGCGGTCATCAGTACGCCACGACTCCTGTTGACACCTTCAACAAAACTGTTAAATGATCAATGTACAACACACATCACATAAGATAATGGCAGGTACATCCTTACCTAGCTCTACAGGTCAGCTAATTATCGATGAATTAACACCTTGATATTGTAATAATTCCCGCCTCTCTGCACCGGGATAAACATCATTAACAACGCAGTGTTCCAGCTAATCAACACCCTATTGTGACGCATGTCGTTGAGATCACAACAATGGACATAACACGACTGTCAGCAGGTTATATGTTGTCAGTTCTAGTGATTAACCTCCAATCGCAATGATATTGCTTGAATCTTGCTAAAAGCGGCGTGAAACCTTAACGCTCACTCATTCCCGATCCTGTTAGTCGCCTCTTATGATAAGCATAGTCGCCTTTAACGGCAAGCATGGGTTGCTGAAGGCCTATTCTACCCCGAATCATCACGGGTCGCCTGACAGTGTTGAAAGCCTGAACTACCTGTGCAAAATAGCACTTCACCAAATTCTCTGATTCGATTCATGATACAGTAAGGGGACGTAACGGGCTATTCCAATGTCCGTTTGCTTTCTCGTCGGAGATTACCGGTGACTGCCTGAGCAAGATGTGGTCTGGCTTTGCCATCTTGCAGTTCAAAATTTCTGTAATTCTAGCGAATGGAACAACGACAGGACGCAAAATGTCGTCATCATATTGTGGCCAGCCACAATAACCTAATCAGTTCGCCTGTCATGTGTTATACTGCCCCACACCAAGACACTACCGCATCCTTACCGATTATGGTCAAGAATTGTTGACCTGGAACACCTCTCGACATGCTACGTGGGCAACAACGTTTTCTGCCATCTTTGAATTGGAGGCAAAATCTTGATTCGCCTGTAAACATGGTGTAATGCTATTGGCGCACGGCCCGTTCTTTGTATTGCCTAGGCCACCCCAATCTTTGCCGCCTGTGGTAAGCTGTTAGGAAAACTTCCTGTTTTTGTACAGAATTCTTTATTGATAACAGGAGCAGATTTGAATATATTGCGTTGAGCCTGACGTCCAGATCAAATTGGAACCTAACCCGTTTGAAATTACACTTTTTGATTTGCAAAACATTCGGGCAACATGGAATTCGCCATTTTGTCGGTTCATGGAGATACTGTCACGGAGGCATTTTAAACGTGTGTTTAGCTCAGCTGCATTTGTGACTGTGACTTTCCTATAGGCCAACATAGGCGCACACACTTTGACATCACGTGCTGTTCATGATGTGAAAATTCATTGTGATGTAGGGTCAGATGCAACACCACGATACTGTAAATGTACACTTCAACAATAGCTACATTCTAATCATTAGTTCCCTCATTTATTGACGGTAGTAAATATGTAATTGACCAAGGTGTCGCCATCTCTTCTCGCGTTTCGAAAGATTTTTTCATATGACTATAATTAATCTGGCATGACCCGACTTTATTCATATGGCTAAAGTTAATCTGCCATGGCCCGGATTTTGACATGACATGACAGATTAACTATGGCATGTTCTTTAACTGCTTTTCTTGGGGCACGGTCGGCCCAGTCGTCTAAGGCGCCGCGATTCGCTGTGCAGAGTTACGTCTCTTGGGCACCCCAGAGACCTATGATTGTGGGTTCGAATCCCGGTTCGCCCTGATTATGTTTCTAGGTTTGTCAGCACAATACCCGTGCTCGTGGGTTTCGCCGAAGTGGTAAACGTCTGAGACCTGCATCACTTCGGGCTTTCCTCCCACATTAAGCTGACACGCCGTGATATAACTGGAATACTGTTAAAAGCGGCGTTAAGCCCAACTCACTCTCTCATTAACTGCTTTTCTTTGACATTTTGACATTGCGCTGAGTCCGTAATATCACAATCTCCGCTTATCCAATTGAGTTTCCAGAACGCGACTATGTCCCTGATGGTATTCCATACTAAAAGCTTCCCTCCTTGTTTGGATCTTCCCTCTGGTTGGTAGAACAACGTGTTTTTGTGTCTGCGGCGGCCAAGTCCTGAGATCTGGATTTGGATACTGTCATGGACATGTTTTTGTTCGAGTTGATGGATGTGTGTATACCATTACCTAACAAACACAGGAGGTGGTGTATAACCTGTCCCATCACCGACCCTCTCATCTGGCGGTAATAACCGGACACGTGGAGAAAGTGCACCACAAAGACGGCTTCCATCATTGCATCCGGGTATTTCTTTTATAGTGACTCACCCAGACATGGACGAGAGCATCAGGCCGCTACCAATTATTTCAGTGAGTGAGTTATGTATCTCAATCACGCTGATGTTTAAGTTATCGAACGCCATCTAGCGGTCGATACTGTGAGTAACGAATCACGTTGGTACATCAACAATCGTCGTGGAAACAGTTCTGTTAGCAAAACGATTGAGGGAAGTCTATATTATACGCATGAGAATTAAGTTTGTCTTTGAGTTAAGATCGCTTTGTGGAACGGGGACCAGTTTGGCCGCATGCACAAAGCGATCTGTGTGCTACAACTATTGTAAGTCTAGTTAGTGTTGCTAAGGTCGTTCTGTGAAAATTTGATTGTTTGTTGATTAGCGCCGCATTCAGCAATATTCCAGCTGTATGACAGCGGTCTGTAAATACTCAAGTCTGGACCAGATGATCCATCTATTAATATAATAAGCATCGACCCACGCAATTGTGATACGATTACATGCATCAACCAAGTCAACGAGCCTGACCACCCGATCCCGTTAGTCGCCTTTCACGGCAGGCATGGGTTGATGAAGACCTAAAAATTCTACCCCGGATCTTCACGGGTCTTCTGTGAAAGTGGTTCCAGTAGCTACAAGAGTCAATGAGCAACACTGGCATCAGTGTTAATATCGGATCAGTGTGTATTCAAACTGCCTCCTCAGATCCCTTTCCAGTGAGTGAGTGAGGTTTTACCCCGCTTTTGGCAAAATTCCAGCAATATCCCGGCGGGGGACACCAGAAATGTACCAGATTGTACCCATCTGGGGAATCGAAATCGGTTCACAGTCGGACGAGCGAACGCTTAAACCACTAGGCTACCCCATCCCCCCAAGAGATCCCTTGGGAATATATCTATCTATATATCTATATAACTACATATACCGATTTGCTAAACATTTGCTAAAAATTGTACCGAAAAACAAACACAAAATCATGGCCTTTCAGAACCATACCTAGAAAGCAAATAAAATCAGCTTAAAACAGTCGAGTTGTGATGAGATACTCAGTTGTCCGTCGCAACGGAACCTTAAAGATGCTTACCGCAGTCGTCGTGGTAGCGGTCTTCAGCCTGCCAGCGACATTGTCCGGTGTGTAAGCATATGAGACTAAGCATATGATTCCTGCAGCAGGAAAAAAGTGACCAGAGATCACGATGATACACGAAGAGCCAGCAGAAGATTTGTCCCTCCGTGCTCTGTAGTATTTTCGTAACAAACCCAATTAATCGTTTGACAACTCCCCTCTCTGATTGGCCAGCCGTCTTGTTAATAATAATAATCCCAATTGGGTACATCAAAACAGGAAAACCTCATTATTCCGCACGAAACCGTTTTCAGCAATATCTTCCGTAATAACGAAGCATTCCCCTGCTATTTGTATTATGACGTTTCCGACAGAATTGTCCGGACAGAGAGCTTTCCAGATTGACGGGGTTTCAGTGTAAACAGTTAGAAATGGCTCACGGTTTCTGTTTTTTGTCGCAGCTGCGCACGGGAATTGTAGCTATCTCCTGACCAACTCCAGCGACTTCATCGACAGCAACGACTACATGGGCCCAGATCCGGGGGAAAACGAATGTTTCTTCCAGATTCAGAAACCCTCAGGGTTGTCCAAAGACTGGTCGGTCCAGCTGAGGTAGGCGTTTCCCCTACTGCAGTAGTTTCTTCTTCCTTGTATTGTTTTGTGAAAATGTTAATTCTGCTGAAAAGTGAATGTACTTTTGAGATACCTTTGTGTGCATAACGTTGAGTATTCTCAGCACTTAATTTTGGTTTGAAATAGAGGTGTCAAAGTGGGTATGGCGCTGAAAAGTTAATTTACTTTGTATATAGAGGTGTGCACAACATTGCTGATGCTGAAAAGCTTAGAGATAGAGGTGTGCAAAATGTTGGAAGACGCTAAAGTTTATTTGGTTTGATTGAGCTAGAAGTGTGCAAAACGTGCACGTGAGAGAGAGAGAATATTAAGCTGTACCCGCCTGACAATTAGCAGGTCGATGGCCCGTTACTTGACAGGCGATCCACGCAATTGGGATCGATGACATGCATCAACCAAGTCAGCAAGCCTGACCACCCGATACGGTTAGTCGCCTCCTACGACAAGCATAGTCGCCTTTTACGGCGAGCATGGGTTGCTGAAGACCTATTCTACCCCGGATCTTCACAGGTGCCTCAGCATGACGTAAAGCGAGAGCCTGCATTTATACCCGAGGCTATCACACACAGTAATGGCCAACCCATGAGACCAGTTTCCTAATAGTGCCCTTGAATCCCTCATCGTTTGATCCTGTATAACAAACACCACTTACAATGTGTTGCATTGTGATTTCGGATGTGATTACACATATTACATTCAGTAAACCTCGTCTGTTTTTTTTAAAGCGACATACTGTTTTAGCCCTCAGTTTACATTAAAAAAAAGAAGGTCCAGGGTTCGCGTCATACCAAAAGACGTTAAAAGATGGTACTTGTTACACTGCCTGGCGCTCGATATCAAGTGGCTAAACACACACTCATGCATGTCGCTATATAAGTGCAATAATCTTGGGTGCGACGCTAAACCTCATTTCACCTCACCTCATCACATTATAAACTGTGAACTAATAGACCAAAAACATATTGGTTGAGGGATTTTGAATCAACCTATTAAACCAGTTTCAGTGAATTGGACATGGAGAAATGCGCTGAATGTTCTTGCGGGTACCTGCGGTTCGTCAACGGCCACGTGACACACGACATGATCTGCGACGTCGCCGCTGTGTCGCTAGGGTACGTCTACAACAGTAAGTGAAAAGATGTGAACTGGGTGACGTTTTAAAGCTTTCAGTAACAGTCGGCATGTACACGCTGCTATGGGGAATATACCGGGGTATTCTCTGTATTTACTACTACTACTACTACTACTACTACTACTACTACTACTACTACAACTACTACTGCTTCAGCCGCTACTACTACTACTACTACTACTACTACTGTCATTACTACTATCACTACTACTACTGCTGCTACTGCCACTGCTGCTGCTACTACTACTACTACTACTGTCATTACTACTATCACTACTACTACTGCTGTTACTGCCACTGCTGCTACTACTACTACTACTGCTGCTGCTACTACTACTACTACTACTACTACTACTACTACTACTACTACTACCACTACTACTACTACTTACTACTACTACCACTGCTTCAGCCGCTACTACTACTACTGCTGCTGCTGCTACTACTATAATTACTATTATCACTACTACTATTGCTGCTACTGCTACTACCGCTGCTGTTGCTACTATTAATGCAGCTGCTACAACTACTACTGCTGGTGCTACTACTACTAATAGTACTACTACTACCAGCACTACTACTACCAACACTACTCCTACTGCTACTACTATTACTTATACTACTACTACTACTACTACTAATAATAATAATACTGCTGCTGCTGTTGCTCCTACTACCACAACTACCACTGCCGCCACTACTACGGGTACATAACTATTGCAACTACTACTACTACTACTACTACTACTACTACTGCTTCTGCTACTACCACCACTACCACTACCGCCACTAATACTGGTACATAACTATTGTTACTACTACTACTACTACTACTACCGCCACTACTACTGCTGCTGCTACTACTACTACTACTACTACCGCCACTACTACTGCTGCTACTACTACTACTACTACTTTTACTACCGCCACTACTACTACCGCTGCTACTACTACTACTACCAGTACCGCCACTACTACTGCTGCTGCGGCTACTACTGATACTACTACCACTACCGCCACTACTACTGCTGCTGCTACTACTACTACTACCAATACCGCCACTACTACTGCTGCTGCTACTACTACTACTACCAGTGCCGCCACTACTACTGCTGCTACTACTACTACTACTACTACTACTACTACTACCGCCACTACTACTGCTGCTACTACTACTACTACTACTTTTACTACCGCCACTACTACTACCGCTGCTACTACTACTACTACCAGTACCGCCACTACTACTGCTGCTGCGGCTACTACTGATACTACTACCACTACCGCCACTACTACTGCTGCTGCTACTACTACTACTACCAATACCGCCACTACTACTGCTGCTGCTACTACTACTACTACCAGTGCCGCCACTACTACTGCTGCTACTACTACTACTACTACTACTACTACTACTACCGCCACTACTACTGCTGCTACTACTACTACTACTACTTTTACTACCGCCACTACTACTACCGCTGCTACTACTACTACTACCAGTACCGCCACTACTACTGCTGCTGCGGCTACTACTGATACTACTACCACTACCGCCACTACTACTGCTGCTGCTACTACTACCACTACTACCGCCACTACTACTGCTGCTACTACTACTACTACTACTACTACTACTACTACCGCCACTACTACTGCTGCTACTACTACTACTACTACTTTTACTACCGCCACTACTACTACCGCTGCTACTACTACTACTACCAGTACCGCCACTACTACTGCTGCTGCGGCTACTACTGATACTACTACCACTACCGCCACTACTACTGCTGCTGCTACTACTACTACTACCAATACCGCCACTACTACTGCTGCTGCTACTACTACTACTACCAGTGCCGCCACTACTACTGCTGCTGCTGCTACTACTGCTATTACTACTACTACTACTACCAGTACCGCCACTACTACTGCTGCTACTACTACTACTACTACGACCACTACCGCCACTACTACAACTGCTGCTACTACTACTACTACCAGTACCGCCACTACTACTGCTGCTGCGGCTACTACTGATACTACTACCACTACCGCCACTACTACTGCTGCTGCTACTACTACTACTACCGCCACTACTACTGCTGCTACTACTACTACTACTACTACTACTACTACTACCGCCACTACTACTGCTGCTACTACTACTACTACTACTTTTACTACCGCCACTACTACTACCGCTGCTACTACTACTACTACCAGTACCGCCACTACTACTGCTGCTGCGGCTACTACTGATACTACTACCACTACCGCCACTACTACTGCTGCTGCTACTACTACTACTACCAATACCGCCACTACTACTGCTGCTGCTACTACTACTACTACTAGTGCCGCCACTACTACTGCTGCTGCTGCTACTACTGCTATTACTACTACTACTACTACCAGTACCGCCACTACTACTGCTGCTACTACTACTACTACTACGACCACTACCGCCACTACTACAACTGCTGCTACTACTACTACTACTACCAGTACCGCCACTACTACTGCTGCTGCGGCTACTACTGATACTACTACCACTACCGCCACTACTACTGCTGCTGCTACTACTGATACTACTACTACTACTACTACTACTACTACTACTACTACTACTACCACTACCGCCACTACTACTGCTGCTGCTGCTGCTACTACTGCTACTACTACTACTACTACTACCACTACCGCCACTACTACTGCTGCTACCACTATTACTGCTGCTGTGACAAAGCTTCTTTTCATGACATAAATTATTAATATGCACTGGTAGGGGAAATATAAACTGAAAATAGCGCCATGTGTTAAAGTGGTCTATTCTGAGAATGTATTGACACAATATCACCTGTTTGTTCCTAGTATTCATGGGCAACGAGGTGTCCTTGACCTTCATGTTCCGGTCCGAGGGGCTGCCAACACAACATCACAAGGGGTTCGCCCTCAAGTACCACGTGACCCCGGGCAGGGGCGCCCTTTGCGAGGGGGATGTCTGCCAGTGCGACGATGACGTCATCCCTGACTTTATGGGGTGCTGCGCGTGTAACGGGAACCATTCCGGGAATGGTTCGGAGCCTATTCCAGTTCAGAAATGTAAGTTGATGGACGTTTTTTCTTTACAGACGAGTGAGACGAGTACGGTTTTACGTCGCTTTTCAACATATACCAGCAATATCACGACGGGAGACACCAGAACTGGGCTCTACACATTGTGCCCATATGGGGAAACGAGCCCGGGCCTTCGGTGTGATGAGCGAACGCTTTGACCACTGGGCTTTATCCACCGACCCTATTTGTTAAGGTACAGAAATTTTTTTTAAAATTCTACTCGTATTTAGGATCTTTACTAAATTATGTGGATGTCCCAGCTTGCAGCAGGATTTACGACAACAACGCCGAACCGGACGGCGTCATCTCCAATCTCCAGGGCAACAGCACCTTCGTCAACGAAAGTGAATGCTACTACACCATCAAGATGCCCAACATCTCCTACTACCACGGGCCCTGGACTGTCAACATCAGGTATATTCCTACACAACACCCTATACACTGTACACTAAAAAATACATTTAAAAATCTTTGTTTTCGTTTTTGCATGTGAAATTTGACGGAAATTTGTTGTGTTCATGTAGCACTTTCAAAGTCACACGGAAGCACGGGTGGCCCAGTCGTCTAAAGCGCCGCGATTCGCTGTGCAGAGTTGCGTCCCTTGGGCACGCCAGAAACCTATGATTGTGGGTTCGAATCCCGGTTCGCCCCGATTATGTCTCTAGGTTTGTCAGCACCATACCCGTGCTCGTGGGTTTCCCCGAAGTGGTAAACGTCTGAGACCTGCATCACTTCGGGCTTTCCTCCCACATTAAGCTGACACGCCGTGATATAACTGGAATACTGTTAAAAGCGGCGTTAAACTAAGCTCACTTACTCAAAGTCACACAGTTTTAAGCACCCGGGAACTATGAATAGTATTTGAGCAAACAGTTACGGATCATTGAGCACACATCACTCAGTTAAATGAACCAAGTAGTACATAACAATTGCCGTATTCTTGTGTTTGACCTTTGTGGTAACCATCTACGATCTGCCTCACTGGATGTCTCTCGAACAATTTTTACCACTCACTTTCTCACCTACACTCTCTCTCTCACACGCGCACTCACAATTACATACTCTCTCACGACTCACGCACTCACTCACTCACACGTGTACATACACGTCGCTATGGAAGTGCAATTACCTTGACATTAAACCCTATCACCCCACCCGTAACTGAGATTCCGCTCAGTGGGGCGGTAACCATCTTCGATCTACGATCTGTCTCATTGAATGTCTCTCTTACAATTCATATGACTCACTCACTCACTCACTCACTCACCTCCACACTCTTTCTCACATGCACACTCTCCATATCACCTCACAGATAACTGAAATCCCGTTCAGTGCAGCGTTAAAGTCAACTCCCCTCATCACATTACAACGATAGAGATGTAGTCAGTGTGTCTGTGAAATGTGGTTCATCGTGCGATGTTTGGTGTTCAGGTTTCTACGCTTAGATATGGAAGGGTGTGGCAGCACGTGCGGGTGTGGCTACCTGGAATTCTTGAACGGCGAGGTGGACGTCCGTAGACTGTGCGACTTCTCTTACGTCGATCTGAACCACACCTACAGCGGTGAGGCAACTGTCTGCAAACATTGGAACCGTTTCTTTGTGGACGTTTGTGTTTGAATGGTTGGGCTGGTATTGTGGGGGTGGTATTGTTCGGGTTTTATAGTCGGGTTTGTATCGTTGGGATGGTATTGTTTTGGTGGTATTGTTCGGGTTTTATAGTCGGGGTTGTATCGTTGGGATGGTATTGTTTTGGTGGTATTGTTCGGGTTTTATGGTCGGGGTTGTACGGTTGGGATAGTATTGTGGGGGTGGTATTGATGGGGTTTTCTAGTCGGGGTTGTATGGTTGGGATGGTATTGTTTTGGTGGTATTGTTCGGGTTTTATGGTCGGGGTTGTATGGTTGGGATAGTATTGTGGGGGTGGTATTGATGGAGTTTTATAGTCGGGGTTGTATGGTTGGGATGGTATTTTTTGGGTGGTATTGTGCGGTTTTTATGGTCGGGGTTGTTTGGTTGGGATGGTATTGTGGGGGTGGTATTGTTCGGGTTTTATGGTCGGGGTTGTATGGTTGGGATAGTATTGTGGGGGTGGTATTGATGGAGTTTTATAGTCGGGGTTGTATGGTTGGGATGGTATTTTTTGGGTGGTATTGTGCGGTTTTTATGGTCGGGGTTGTTTGGTTGGGATGGTATTGTGGGGGTGGTATTGTTCGGGTTTTATAGTCGGGGTTGTATCGTTGGGATGGTGTTGTTTTGGTGGTATTGTTCGGGTTTTATGGTCGGGGTTGTATGGTTGGGATAGTATTGTGGTGGTGGTATTGATGGGGTTTTATAGTTTGGGTTGTATGGTTGGGATGGTATTGTTTTGGTGGTATTGTTCGGGTTTTATGGTCGGGGTTGTATGGTTGGGATGGTATTGTGGTGGTGGTATTGATGGGGTTTTATAGTCGGGGTTGTATGGTTGGGATGGTATTGTGGGGGTGGTATTGGTGGGTTTTTATAGTCGGGGTTGTATGGCTGGGATAGTATTGTGGTGTTGGTATTGATGGGGTTTTATAGTCGGGGTTGTATGGTTTGGATGGTATTGTGGGGGTGGTATTGGTGGGTTTTTATAGTCGGGGTTGTATGGCTGGGATGGTATTGTGGTGTTGGTATTGATGGGGTTTTATAGTCGGGGTTGTATGGTTGGGATGGTATTGTGGGGGTGGTATTGGTGGGTTTTTATAGTCGGGGTTGTATGGCTGGGATAGTATTGTGGTGTTGGTATTGATGGGGTTTTATAGTCGGGGTTGTATGGTTGGGATGGTATTGTTTTGGTGGTATTGTTCGGGTTTTATGGTCGGGGTTGTATGGTTGGGATAGTATTGTGGTGGTGGTATTGATGGGGTTTTATAGTCGGGGTTGTATGGTTTGGATGGTATTGTGGGGGTGGTATTGGTGGGTTTTTATAGTCGGGGTTGTATGGCTGGGATAGTATTGTGGTGTTGGTATTGATGGGGTTTTATAGTCGGGGTTGTATGGTTGGGATGGTATTGTGGGGGTGGTATTGGTGGGTTTTTATAGTCGGGGTTGTATGGCTGGGATAGTATTGTGGTGGTGGTATTGATGGGGTTTTATATTCGGGGTTGTATGGTTGGGATGGTATTTTTTGGGTGGTATTGTTCGGTTTTTATGGTCGGGGTTGTATGGTTGGGATGGTATTGTGGGGGTGGTATTGATGGGGTTTTATATTCGGGGTTGTATGGTTGGGATAGTATTGTGGGGTTGGTATTGTGGGTTTTTTATAGTCGTGCTTGTATAGTCGGATGACATTGTCGGGTGGTATTAGTAGGTTGTTATTGTTGGGGTTTACCTTACGACAATTACCTTACGAGGTGATAATAGTAGGATGATTTAGTGAGTAGTGACTGTTTTACTTAAGAGGTTATTGCGTGTCATTTGAAGTGGCTTCATTTAAATTGTATGACGTTAATACCCTCCACCGTAGAACAGTGTGGGCAGTGTCCTGTACCATGTTTTACAGCGGTGGGGCAAATGTCTGCAAACATTTAAACCGTTTCTTTGTCGACTTTTGGGAAATTTTTGGGGTTGTATTGTTGGGTGGTATTGTCGGGGTTGTATTGTTTGGGTGTTTTGTCGTGGTTGTATTGTTTGGGTTGTATATTGGTGTGTCTTGTTGGGTGGTATTGTCTTGGTTGTATTGTTGGGGTGTATTGTCGAGGTTGTATTGTTGGACTCATGTCAAGAATGTATTGTTGGGGTTTGTTGATGGGTTGTATAGTTGGGTTGTATTGTAGCAGTGATGTTGTCGGGATTGTATTGGTCGGTTGTATTGTTGGGGTTGTATTGTCGGAGTGGTACTGTCGGGTCTTGATTTTTGGTGTTGTTAGGTTGGTATTGTTGGGGTTTACCCTACGATAAAAACCTTACGAGGTGATAATAGTTAGATGATTTCGTGAGTAGAACCTCCTCCACGTATGAGGTTGTTGCGGTGTCATTTGTTGTAGCTTCATTATAATTGTATGTAGTTAATACCCCCCACTGTAGGAACGTGTGGGCAGTGTCCTGTACCATGCTTTAAAAGTTATGTGTTTATGGTTAGTATTTATATTTAATTTATATGATTTATGTCTTATAAGGAATGATGAATTCTGTGCTCTTCATAACTAACGTTATGCTATAGAAGCACATTTCAGGTGCTATTATTTATAGTTTTTCCCTAACAGTGAACGTGGGGTATGACACTGATCTCAAGCTCCGCTACCACGCCGACCCTAACTACGGGATAACTGGATTCGAACTCGACTATGAGGTGTTGGTGGGCCACGCTAACCCTTGCGCCAACGACTCCTGTGACATCTGCTACTACAACCAAAGCATCGACTTCCTGGGATGCTGCCGCTGTGCCAGCTACGACATCTCCACCGCCCACATCGTGCCACCGACATCGCCGACACCGACATCGCCGACATCAAGTAAGAAACTGAATGGGAACCTTCCCAATATCCGATTAGCGCCAAAGCTACGTATGCATTTTAAAACATTATTCACTCACTCCCCTTTTGCAATGTCATCAAAATCGATGTGGAATGAAGTACACGTATCTCTTTCCTTTAAGCTGGGATCGCCTCTTTTATAGAGTGTCTGCTGGAGAGCGGAAGGTCGGTGGTTTTATCCCGGTCGCGTTATACCGAAAGACGTTAAATGATGGTATGCCGGGGATTAAAGGGATAGCTCAAGGACTGGTCGGTTCGGATGTAGTACACTGTGTCAATGTGACAAGCCACACACACGTGAAACTCCCATTAATATTGACGTTCGTCCGGACACGGGTTCGGCACTGTAACTCGAAGTCCTCGGGGCCTTCACAACACACATGCACTGTAACTCGAAGTCCTCAGGTCTTCGCAACACCCATACACTTTAACTCAAAGTCATCGGGGCCTTCACAACACCTATACACTGTAACTCGAAGTCCTCGGGGCCTTCACAACAGCTATGCACTGTAACTCGGAGCCCTCGGGGCCTTCACAACATCTATGCACTGTAACTCGAAGTCCTCGGGGCCTTCACAACACCTATACACTGTAACTCGAAGTCCTCATATGACTCACTCACTACCTCACCTCCACACTCTTTCTCACATGCACACTCTCCATATCACCTCACAGATAACTGAAATCCCGTTCAGTGCAGCGTTAAAGTCAACTCCCCTCATCACGATACAACGATAGAGATGTAGTCAGTGTGTCTGTGAAATGTGGTTCATCGTGCGATGTTTGGTGTTCAGGTTTCTACGCTTAGATATGGAAGGGTGTGGCAGCACGTGCGGGTGTGGCTACCTGGAATTCTTGAACGGCGAGGTGGACGTCCGTAGACTGTGCGACTTCTCTTACATCGATCTGAACCACACCTACAGCGGTGAGGCAACTGTCTGCAAACATTGGAATCTTTCTTTGCGGACGTTTGTGAAATTGTCGGGGTTGTATTGTCAGGATGGTATTGTTGGTGTGGTATTGTTGGTGTGGTATTGTTGGGGTCGTATTATTGGGGTTGTATTGTCGGGATGGTATTATCGGCGTGTCTTGTTGGGGTTGTATTGTCGGGGTTGTGTTGTCGGGATGGTATTATCGGCGTGTCTTGTTGGGGTTGTATTGTCGGGGTTGTATTGTCGGGTTGTATTGTTGGGATTGTATTTTGGGTTGTACTGTTGGGATGGTATTGTTGGGTTGTATAGCTATGTGGTATATTTGAGTGGTATTGAGATTGAGATTGTACTGTTGGGCTGGTTTTGTTTGATGGTATTGTTGGGTTGTATTGTTGGGGTGGTATTGTTGGTGAGAAATTGTTGCGATTGTATTGTTGGATGGTGTTGTTAGGTTGGTATTGTTGGGAATTATGATGTAGAAGATTAAATCCTACCGATTAATTTTGATTTTATGACCTAATTACCTTACAATAATTGTAGTAATGTTTGTGCCTGTTTTACTTAAGAGGTTTTTGCGGTGTCATGTGTAGTGGCTGCACTGGAATTGTATGTAGATAATACCCTCAAATGTTCTTCTGTGTGGGCAGTATCCTGTACCATGTTTTAAAAGTTGTGTGTTTATGGTTAGTATTTATATTATGATATATTTCTTATAGGGAATTTTGAATTAAGTGCTCTTCATAACTAACATAATGATATAGAAGCACATTTCAGGTGCTATTATTTATAGTTTTTCCCAAACAGTGAACGTCGGGTATGACACTGATCTCAAGCTCTACTACCACGCCGACCCTAACTACGGGATAACTGGATTCGAACTCGACTATGAGGTGTTGGTCGGCCACGCTAACCCTTGCGCCAACGACTCCTGTGACAACTGCTACTACAACCAAAGCATCGACTTCCTGGGATGCTGCCGCTGTGCCAGCTACGACATCTCCACCGCCCACATCGTGCCACCGACATCGCCGACACCAAGTAAGAAACTGACCATGCATGGGAGTCACCCCGATTTCGATCAGCGCCAAGGCTGCGTATAATAGTATCCACCCACTCCCTGTCCCGAATGTTAACTATTCAATTCTGGGTTAATGCAGATTATATGTGCCAGGTCATCAAAATCGATGAGGTTTGGAGCATATGTATAAACTTGCAATAGTAACTGAAACGCACATAAAATATTCACACGCAAACTCGTTTTTTATTTGCAGCCAAAGAGGTTATCAAATGTGTTTAGGATGGTAAGTATCTTGTTTTAGGAACAAACATTATATTAATGAACTTAATGTTTATTCCTTAAATAATAAAGGATATTTACCATCTCAAAACACACAATAGTATTAACTGCCTCATCATATAAATATGAAAATGTCACTACAAAAGTGTTCTCAAATCTTACAACTAATACCTAAACACTGCCAGTTTTTTCCTGGAACTTGCGCATGAATATATTTGTATGGAGACTAGATATTTGCTTCAGCTACAGCTGTAGAATCAAAAAATTTTTAATTAAAACTATATAAACATAATGTAATTTTTGTGGCAGACAATTTCTCCTTGTTTTCAACAGTCTGAAGCAAAAGTATTTTTTGAAAGAACTTTCTGGAACAAATATTGTTTTCCGACAAAATCTTGACTCCCTCAATAGAATCCGACCGCGGCAATTTCCGACAAGTCATTTTTTATGCACAGGTAGGTATTTCTCACAATCCTCACGTACCTTTTCTCCCAATACGAATTTTCATATCTCTCACGCTTTGGGTTGGGATAGTTCTGGCATCGCCTCTATCTGTATCTCTCACGCTTTGGGTTGCGATAGTTCGGGCATCGCCTCTATCTGTATCTCTCACGCTTTGGGTTGCGATAGTTCGGGCATCGCCTCTATCTGTATCTCTCACGCTTTGGGTTGCGATAGTTCGGGCATCGCCTCTATCTGCGTTTCCCAGCTACATCTATGGTGAAGAATTCACTGGACACACCCCTCCAAAAAATAACGTCGTCATATATACGACGTCATCGAGTTGCGAGCGCAGGTTCGAATCTCCAGAAACAACGTCATGATAGAACAGTCAATCGTTTATTGTGAAATAAATCACGCTTCGTTCGTCATTGTTCTTTGCGATTTATCGCGTAGCTATCTTATATAAAGGTATATAACTAATAAACACTGGCATGACACTGAGTGACGTCATCTATGTTTCCAAGGCAACCGAACCACCGCGTTACTTGATCTTCTCTACGGCATCGTCAACAACGTGATAAGGATCGAGGATGATCTAAGGAGGGTCCGATACGACGTGTGGAAAGCCTACTACCTCGCTTCAAGCTTAAACATCACACGGGAGGACGACGGCGGTTATTAAGGTAAACGTACAAGAACGACTTTCATCAAAGTGCTACTTACAGATATTGTCATTATTCGTTGCGAAATTGTAAGACCGCCTAGTCTAGTGGTAGAACGTCGGCTCGGAGAGCGGAAGGTCCTGGGTTCGATCCCGGCCGCTCGGCATTAAGGGGATAAAACAAGGACTGGCCGGCTCGGTGTTAGTATACTGTGTGTGAGTGGGGTATTCATGTTAAACTGTGGCATGGTCTCTCAGTGGGCTAGCACTATACATCGGCATCAGTCCGGACTAGTACAATCAGAAATCGACATCAGTCCGGACTAGTACAATCAGACACGCACACACACACGCGCGCACACACACACACACACACACACACACACACACACACACACACACACACACACACACACACACACGTGCTTCCACGTCGCTATATAAGTGCAATAATCCTGGACGCGACGTTAAACCCCAATTCACCTCACTTATGAAATTATGTCCATTGTCTGGTCAATGAGATGTCTTGATTTTATGACGAGTAATGCTCATCTGTATTAGAATAATTAAACAGAAATATAAAGTGATAAAAAAAATCAAACAGTTTTAATTTCTAAGATCTTATATTCAAAATCTTTAAATGTTGCAACTCAGGAGAAAATGATAACAACTTCACTTCAGCTCATAATGGCAAATGCATTTTTTTTGTATTAGCTAGTTCAACGGGGTTTTTACAAAACAAGAGTTTTAATCCATGGTCATCTTTTATTGTAGCCCGGAGGGAGTGGGCGGCCTATGTTTCCACTGGAAGCATGAAGATGTCGCCGTGATGTAAATCTTCACTCCACAGCATCGTAATAAATGTTTGCACACAGTGTGACAGACCTTAGTTTTTGTCCATCGTTTTTCTCCATAAATTAGATCTATAAAGCGGCCGTGCCATTCATCTATTTTCACATGAATCAAGTTTCACCCAACGGTGGCTACCATGTGTCCTGCTTGTCATTCAGATACCCACTATCCCGTGGGGATACCGTGACATGATAGGTCCCCAATACGCCATGCTTTGGGGGCAAAATAGACCCCCGATAAGCCATACTTATCTCCCCGTTGGAATTTGAGGGCAAAATCGACCCCCGATAAGCCATGCTTGTCTCAACGTTGATATCTGGAGAATTCCGGGTTAAAATAGATCCCCAGTAGTACCCGAAGCCTGTCTCCCAATTGGAATTCCGGGTTAAAATAGATCCCCAGTAGTACCCGAAGCTTGTTTCCCAATGGGAATTCCGGGTTAAAATAGATCCCCAGTAGCACCCGAAGCTTGTCTCCCAATGGGAATTCCGGGTTAAAATAGATCCCCAGTAGTACCCGAAGCTTGTCTCCCAATGGGAATTCCGGGTTAAAATAGATCCCCAGTAGTACCCGAAGCTTGTCTCCCAATGGGAATTCCGGGTTAAAATAGATCCCCAGTAGCACCCGAAGCTTGTCTCCCAATGGGAATTCCGGGCTAAAATAGATCCACAGTAGCACCCGAAGCCTGTCTCCCAATGGGAATTCCGGGTTAAAATGGGTCCCAAGTAGTACCCGAAGTCTGTCTCCCAATGGGAATTCCGGGTTAAAATAGATCCCCAGTAGTACCCGAAGCTTGTCTCCCAATGGGAATTCCGGGTTAAAATGGGTCCCCAGTAGTACCCGAAGCCTGTCTCCCAACGGGAATTCCGGGTTAAAATGGGTCCCCAGTAGTACCCGAAGCCTGTCTCCCAACGGGAATTCCGGGTTAAAATGGTCCTAGTAGTACCCGAAGCCTGTCTCCCAACGGGAATTCCGGGTTAAAATGGGTCCCCAGTAGTACCCGAAGCCTGTCTCCCAACGGGAATTCCGGGTTAAAATGGGTCCCCAGTAGTACCCGAAGCCTGTCTCCCAAAGGGAATTCCGGGTTAAAATGGTTCCCCAGTAGTACCCGAAGCCTGTCTCCCAATGGGAATTCCGGGTTAAAATGGGTCCCCAGCTCCCTTGTACATATACTACTCAAAAACGATAAGAACCACCCGATTCTTTCATATTACTATGATTTATGTTAATGGCATGACAGATTAACTGTAGTAATAATTGGGTGGTTACCATATAATGCCATCTAAGCTAAACTATAGAAATATGAAAGAATTGGGTGGTTCAAACAAATTCAGTAGTAAACGTGACTTGTACTCCGACAGTGTTTAACTTAATGGGGGAGTGAAATCCCAGTGCAAAAGGCCTATGAATATGTGGGTGATAATGTTATTTACAGTGTCTCTAGCAACACTCCAGCAATATGACGTCAGGGTACACTATGACTGGGTGTCAATATACCCATATGGGGAATCGAACCGGGTTCCTGTGTGACAACGCTCTTACCACTAAACTAACCCATCGCCCTCTCACCATTCGCGTTTACCAATTTGGTGCTGACTGACCATGAATCAGATCTGGGTAATGGATTCGAACCCACTACCAGCAAACAATGGCCCTACACCACCATGCCACCCTTGCTCTGGTGTGCCAGTGACGCTTCATGCTAACGTCGGGACCAGCTTTTCTTGAGTGCGCGAGTGAGTGTGGTTTTACGTTGATTTTAGCAATATTCAAGCAATATTACGGCGGGGGAAATCAGGAATGGACTTCCCACATTACAACCACGCGAGGAATCGAACCATTGCTTTCGGCGTGATGAGTTGAATGATAAAAACCACTAGACTATCCAACATCACTTGAAATCGCCAACATGGTAATAATAAGACGATCAACACTACTAATGAAGAAAAAACATATTCCTCTTTATTCGTGAACGACATTAGTATTTCAATTTGAAACGTATAAATTTCGTAGCGTAGCAACTTATTTCGTGCTGCACACGCTGCTCTTGGGTTTGACGTAGGGCGTGGTCACGGGATCGGGGTGTGTCTTGACGGTGTGGGCCTGCGAATACAAATGGAATATTATTTTAGTAAAATGTATTGAGTCTGGTTTAACGCCGATTTGAGAAGTATTTCAGTGATGTCGCTGTGGGTGCAGACACACCAAGAAACATAATCAGGCTATCTTCCCGAGGCAAGGAAGTTAACTGACTATGAAAGTCAAGTTTCCACCCTTGCAGAACTGGGCTGGAACTTCGACGTTCTATTTTGGCTGAACTAACGAGTCAATACATAGTCCAATCAAAATCGCGTAACGAAATCGACATCCGGTTCGTTATCAACAGAGCGACTGCAATTTCGGTTTTTTGCCGGATTTGCAAAGCATGAGTCAATTTGTCGTCGACAGATATTTACCAAATCATTTCATGTTTTTTTAATCAGGGTGCTCAAGCTTGATCCGTAAGATCCGTTTTATTACCATATTGATCTTGATTACCATTCAGATCGTCTTTCCTGGGCGCCGCCATTTTGTTTGAAGCAAATGCAAGTTCTATGAGAGGTGGAATCTGATTGGTCAATAGGAGGGATATAGAAGGGACATAAGTCAAAATAACCACTGCTGACGCTTCGATCGAGCAAAGAAATTCCAGTCTAGTCCGGCAAGGGTGGAAACTGGACTTTTATTAACAGTTAACTCTCTTGATAAGGGAAGATGAATCAGGACCAACCGGGATCCGATTCCACTACAGGTTTTCTTAGGGACGCAGCTCTGCACAGCGAAATGACGAATAAGACGACTGGGCCGCCCGTGTCCCAATAGGTGTAATAATCACGAGGGGATATCAGAATGTTTTGAGCCTAGGATGTAAAGAGCTTAAATATTATCCTGATCTTTAGTTACTTTTTAAGATGCGACTAAAGGGATCGGGTTGTCAGGCTCGCTGACTTGGTTGATGCATGTCAATGACATTGTCATCGGATCCCAATTACGTGGGATCGATGCTCATGATATCGAATCACTGGATCGTCTGGTCGAGACGAGATTATTTACAGATGAGTTGATACCTGTGTATATACTACTACCCACCGACGAGAACCCGGAATAGTCAGCGCATTGAATGACGTGGATGGAGTCGTCAGTGTTCTTCTGGAAGACGTCTCTGAGTGTCTGGTTCCTCCAGTCTTGGTGTACGAGGTAATTGAAGAATGCGTGCTTCTCATGGTGGGGATCTTTGATGTAGGTGTCGTAGAGCGGGAGGCTCAAGCAGGAGGACATGGGACTCCGGGGGTAGTACAGGAGAAACGACAGGCACATCTCATCACTGGTCCTCACGCCACCCTACAACATACAGCACTGAATGAGTGAGTGAATGAATGGGGGTGGGAGGTGAGGGACGTATTTTGGATTGGTGGCGGGTGAGTGAGTGAGTGGGGTGGCGAGTAAGTTGTTGAATGAGTAACTTTGCTTGTCGTAAGGGCGACTAACGAGATCCGGCGGTCAGGCTCGCTGACTTAGTTGATGCATGTATATGCATGTCATCGTATCATCATTGCGTGGATGGCTGCTTGTGATGTCAATCACTGGATTGTCTGGTCCAGACTCGATTATTCACAGACCGCTGTCATATAGCGGGAGTATTGCTGAATGCGGCGTTAAACAACAAACAAACAAACAAACAAACATGAGTGAGTGAGTGAGTGAGTGAGTGAGTGAGTACGTTTTTTACGCCGCTTTTAGCAATATTCCAGCAATATCACGGCGGGGGCACACATTGTACCCATGTCGGGAATCGAACCCGGGTCCTCGGCGTGACGAGCGAACGCTTTAATCAATAGGCTACCCGACCGCCCCAACAAACATGAGTGAGTGGGAGTGTACTTTAAATGGGTGAGTGAGTGAGTCGGGCTATATTGCGAATTGCGGCCACATGCATTAACGCGACATAAAAATGACAAAATTGATCAAAGCATACATTATATTTTCCCCAGACAAAATGAGATGACGTTTGTGTATATATGGTTATATTGTCTTGCTGATCTTAAATTATAGCATATTTCATGAGCACATTTAGTTTATCGTATATCAGGTAGCATGTCAATCAATACGTACAAATGTGAATTTGTAGCTCCCCTTTGACCTGTAGTCGCACTCGGTGATGATAGCGTCTCCCTGGAAGAGTACAAGTCCACAGTGAGTGAGTGAGTTTGTTTTGATCGTCCAGTTCAGTTTTTTGGTTAACTCATACAGTGCAATCCCAAGGCTCTACTTTTATAAACGCCCATATCGAGTGTTGGAATGTACTCTCCGTGACCTACCACTTGCAGCTTCCTCTCGTGAGCCAGCAGTCTGGTTTCCTGGAAGTCAAAGTCGTAGTTGTCGTCCACGATGAGAGGTTCGATCTCTGTGCCGTTCCTGATGACGCGGGTCCTGATTCCTTGCCCGATAAGATGGGTGTGCTGGAACACTGCGAACACATTCATCTCCGGGGCAGTGGACCGAGTCAGGGACTGAAGATAGCAAAATATGTAACATGTTTAGAGGTATCAAATATGGAGGAACACACGCACTGTCGGGTGGGTGGCGTCTGAAGGAAAATATATGCCATAGCATTCCACGCTAGAGCATATGTTTGTTTGTTGTTGTGCTCAGAAATATTCCAGCTACATGACGGAGGTCTGTAAATAATCGATTCTGGGCCAGATAATCCAGTGATTGACGTCATCGGCATCGATCTACGCAATTGGGATACGATGATATGCATCAAGCAAGTCAGCGAGTCTGACCACTCGATCCCATGTGTCGACTCTTACGACAAGCATAGTCGCCTCTTACGGCAAACATGGGTTGCACAATATAGCAATATACGATGATCACATGTTTCAAAAGTGTTGCTTCATATGAAATAAACCCATACATTAGTTCATATTCGGCCACAGCATGCATTTCCTACTATATCTGCGTTTGTTTTCATACTGTGAAATCCGGCGTTTGGTCCTGTGTATGATGCTCCAACAGCGAACAAATAACACATGAAAACAGCAAATATTTTTACAATATGAACAGACGCCACTCCTCTCTTTGGTGGTGAAGCCTACCATTCAAAGATATAAAACTTCCAAAGAAAGAGCTAAAGATGCACGTACAGTAAACTACGGTTATACCGAACACGCTTTTAACGAACTGACGGATATAACGAACTTACTTTTTGGGTCCCGACTATTTGCTGTAGTTATGCTGTATATATGCTTATAACGAACTACGGTTAAAACGAACTAAAATTAGTAGTCCCTTTGAATTCGTTATAACGGTAGTTTACTGTTGTAGATCGATTTAAACTGATATTATCCATTTGCTGGGAGTATTGAGGCTAATATACCCGTCTTCTACCACACAAAGCAACCCTTTAATCTGGACCTCACATTTCCGGATTATAGGAAGGAATGGTTTTGCCCAAACGCCCAGGGACCGGTGAAGATCCGGGGTAGAATAGGTCTTCAGCAACCCATGCTTGCCGTAAGAGGCAACTAACGGGATCGGGTGGTCAGGCTCACCGACTTGGTTTGAGGCATGGTTGATGCATGTCATCGATCGCAATCAATTAATCACTGGATTGTCTGGTCCAGACTCGATTATTAACAGACCGCCGTCAAATAGCTGGAAGACTGCTGAGTGCGGCGTTAAACGACCAACAAACCAACCAAACGCCCAGGAGGAATTTCCGGGATTTCGAGTTCTGGACAAACGAAGTATTAATCTTAAACTCAATACATTACGGTTTTGACGAAACAACCCGCTATTTCGAGGTTTACAAAAGGTAAATATTTTACAGGTTCAAGGTAATAGCGTCCTAGGATATGAATGAGAATTGAAACTGGAAATTAGACAAGAAAGACGTTACCCTCTCCATACAGTCCATATTGCAGTACCCCCGGGATTTGAAGGATTCGTACTCAGGAGGGATGATCTGGAAATTGTCTACCATGACACCAGTCTCCAGCACCCCGGCGTCGTGAAGTCGTAACGTCGGCGTGTAGTGGATGCGGATACCGGAACTGTCGATGACCCCTGCGCCATGATAGAAAGATAGATGTTTAGATTTGATGAGAAGGGTGAAATCTGATGCGGAATCAGCAATGCTGGAAGCGATCATAAAATCTCCAACACAAAGATATACCTACCAGCTTTATGCGTGGGGTTGGTTATATGTGTGTCTTCACATAAATACACCTACCAGCTTTAAATGTCGGGTTGTATGTGTGCCTTCACATAAATATACCTACCAGTTTAAATGTCGGGTTGTATGTGTCTTCACATAAATATACTTACCAGCTTTAAATGGCGGGTTGTGTGTGTGCCTTCACATAAATATACCTACCAGCTTTAAATGGCGGGTTGTATGTGTCTTCACATAAATATACTTACCAGCTTTAAATGGCGGGTTGTATGTGTGCCTTCACATAAATATACCTACCAGCTTTAAATGGCGGGTTGTATGTGTGCCTTCACATAAATATACCAGCTACCAGCTTTAAATGTAGGGTTGTATGTGTCTTCACATAGATACACCTACCACCTTTACGTGTGGGGTTGTGTGTGTCTTCACATAGATACACCTACCAGCTTTACGTGTGGGGTTGTGTGTGTCTTCACATAGATACACCTACCACCTTTACATGTGGGGTTGTGTGTGTCTTCACATAGATTACCTACCAGCTTTACGTGTGGGGTTGTGTGTGTCTTCACATAGATTACCTACCAGCTTTACGTGTGGGGTTGTGTGTGTCTTCACATAGATACACCTACCAGCTTTACGTGTGGGGTTGTGTGTGTCTTCACATAGATTACCTACCAGCTTTACGTGTGGGGTTGTGTGTGTCTTCACATAGATACACCTACCAGCTTTACGTGTGGGGTTGTGTGTGTCTTCACATAGATTACCTACCAGCTTTACGTGTGGGGTTGTGTGTGTCTTCACATAGATACACCTACCAGCTTTACGTGTGGGGTTGTGTGTGTCTTCACATAGATACACCTACCAGCTTTACGTGTGGGGTTGTGTGTGTCTTCACATAGATACACCTACCAGCTTTACGTGTGGGGTTGTGTGTGTCTTCACATAGATTACCTACCAGCTTTACGTGTGGGGTTGTGTGTGTCTTCACATAGATACACCTACCAGCTTTACGTGTGGGGTTGTGTGTGTCTTCACATAGATACACCTACCAGCTTTACGTGTGGGGTTGTGTGTGTCTTCACATAGATACACCTACCAGCTTTACATGTGGTGTTGCGTTTGTCTTCACATACATGTAGATATACCTACCAGCTTTAAGGGTGGGGTTGTTATAATGTGTCTCCAGAACCACGTGACCAGGACCTTCCGACATTCCGAGAGGGATTCCAACGTCAGTAGGGAGATAAAACGCCTGCAGAAAGATAATATATTTATTTTTGGTATACCATTAATTCAGGTGGTGGGGTGGGCTGTTTGTCACATGAGGACAACATTATGTTCCGCCATTTTCGGGATCAGATCAGATGTTTCCCAATAAATTTTAATCGTTCACTAGATGTTGGATGTTGACATAACGGAATGTAAAACACGAGAGTTGGTACAGCAAAAGAACTCACCTCTCCACCCACAGCCCAGGCTAGGAACACAGCCCTACACGACATCAGCGTCATGTCCTTGATCTCGTAGCAGTGGTAGTCCACGTTGTTGTATTTGTCGTCCAGCTTGGTCGGACACGTGTACACCACCATATGGTGGACGACATCCTCGTTGCCAGGGGTGATGACGGGCTCGAACTGGATACGATAGTATAATGATGCAGACTAGTCACACGATGATTCAGTGTAATTATGAATTGATTCAACGTGATGACCAAGTTAAGAAATCATTTATTCAAGGGGATGATAAAACCATTCAGTATAATGACTAGAAAATACAATGGAATGACAAGATGATTCAGTGTAATGACTAGAAGATTCACTGTAATGGCAAGAAGATTCAACGTGATGACAAGATGATTCAGTGTAATGACTAGAAGATTCACTGTAATGGCAAGAAGATTTAACGTGATGACAAGATGATTCAGTGTAATGACTAGAAGATTCAGTGTGATTAGGTGCCTCACTCTGGCAGTAAAGTAATAGAATCTAAGAAAGTGTTATCCCAAATATAACACTTGTTACATTTGACCACTTTCTAAATGGCATTGCGTGTTCATAGCTTTCGGCAATGGGAGCCGTGCCAATTTACACTTGTCAGAAGGGTAAACAAAGTACGTGATCTAGACTACCAGTTGTCGGACTTTCATTTTGTATAAGTCTCGATGGGTTAGATCGCAGATTTTGTGTGCTGCGATTAGGTGCCTCACTCTGGCAGTGTGGGTTCGAATCCTGGATGTGACTCAATACCCAAAATGTACTACAATCTGTACTTTAGTAAGGAGCTATTATCCCAAATATAACAATTGTTAACATTCAGTGTAATGACAAGAAGATTCAGTGTGATGATAAGATGATTCGGTGCAAAAGAATATATGAGTAATATTAAGATCATGATTTTCATTGATATACCAGTAGTTTTCATCCAACTTAGTTTATGATTTACCAAGCAGTAAAAACGAGAACGAACGATGGGCGCACCAATTAGAGTGGGGATTGAATCCATGAGGAGATTGTCCACATACCATGATGAGGTGGTTTTTCTTCGGCGGTACGGGCATCTTGTGGACAGAGCAGTGGTAGTAGGTGTCAACGGCGGGCACTTGAAACTGGCAATACAAACAGGGAACGTTTCATCAATAGCATTAACATTAGATCAGTTGAACAAACAGTGAACGTTCCATCAATAACATAAATATTCGATCAATTGGACAAACAGTGAACGTTCCATCAATAGCATAAACATTAGATCAATTGGACAAACAGTGAACGTTCCATCAATAGCATTAACATTAGATCAGTTGGACAAACAGTGAACGTTTCATCAATAGCATAAACATTGGACGAATTGGACAAACAGTGAACGTTTCATCAATAGCATAAACATTAGATCAGTTGGACAAACAGTGAACGTTTAATCAATAGCATAAACATTCGATCAATTGGACAAACAGTGAACGTTTCATCAATAGCATAAACATTAGATCAATTGGACAAACAGTGAACGTTCCATCAATAGCATAAACATTAGATCAATTGGACAAACAGTGAACGTTTCATCAATAGCATAAACCTTAGATCAATTGGACAAACAGTGAACGTTTCATCAATAGCATAAACCTTAGATCAATTGGACAAACAGTGAACGTTTCATCAATAGCATTAACCTTCGATCAATTGAACAAACATTGAACGTTTCATCATTAGCATTAACCTTAGATCAATTGAACAAACAGTGAATGTTCCATCAATAGCATAAACCTTAGATCAATTGGACAAACAGTGAACATTTCCATCAATAGCATAAACCTTAGATCAAGTGGACAAACAGTGAACGTTTCATCAGTAGCATAAACCTTAGATCAATTGGACAAACATTGAATGATCCATCAATAGCATAAACCTTAGATCAATTGGACAAACAGTGAACGTTTTATCAATAGCATAAACATTGGACGAATTGGACAAACAGTGAACGTTTCATCAATAGCATAAACCTTAGATCAATTGGACAAACAGTGAACGTTCCATCAATAGCATAAACATTAGATCAATTGGACAAACAGTGAACGTTTCATCAATAGCATAAACCTTAGATCAATTGGACAAACAGTGAACGTTTCATCAATAGCATAAACCTTAGATCAATTAGACAAACAGTGAACGTTTCATCAATAGCATAAACCTTAGATCAATTGGACAAACAGTGAATGTTCCATCAATAGCATAAACCTTAGATCAATTGGACAAACAGTGAATGTTCCATCAATAGCATAAACCTTAGATCAATTGGACAAACAGTGAATGTTTTATCAATAGCTTAAATATTGGACGAATTGGACAAACAGTGAATGTTCCATCAATAGCATAAACCTTAGATCAATTGGACAAACAGTAAATGTTCCATCAATAGCATAAACCTAAGATCAATTGGACAAACAGTGAACGTTTCATCAATAGCATAAACCTGAGATCAATTGGACAAACAGTGAACGTTTCATCAATAGCATAAACCTGAGATCAATTGGACAAACAGTGAACGTTTCATCAATAGCATAAACCTGAGATCAATTAGACAAACAGTGAACGTTTCATCAATAGCATAAACCTGAGATCAATTAGACAAACAGTGAATGTTCCATCAATAGCATAAACCTTAGATCAATTGGACAAACAGTGAACGTTCCTTCAATAGCATAAACCTTAGATCAATTGGACAAACAGTAAATGTTCCATCAAAAGCATAAACCTTAGATCAATTGGACAAACAGTGAACGTTCCATCAACTGCATAAACCTTAGATCAATTGGACAAACAGTAAATGTTCCATCAATAGCATAAACCTTAGATCAATTGGACAAACAGTGAACGTTTCATCAATAGCATAAACCTGAGATCAATTAGACAAACAGTGAACGTTTCATCAATAGCATAAACCTTAGATCAATTGGACAAACAGTGAATGTTCCATCAATAGCATAAACCTTAGATCAATTGGACAAACAGTGAACGTTTCATCAATAGCATAAACCTTAGATCAATTGGACAAACAGTGAACGTTTCATCAATAGCATAAACCTTAGATCAATTGGACAAACAGTGAATGTTCCATCAATAGCATAAACCTTAGATCAATTGGACAAACAGTGAATGTTTTATCAATAGCTTAAATATTGGACGAATTGGACAAACAGTGAATGTTCCATCAATAGCATAAACCTTAGATCAATTGGACAAACAGTGAACGTTCCATCAATTGCATAAACCTTAGATCAATTGGACAAACAGTAAATGTTCCATCAATAGCATAAACCTAAGATCAATTGGACAAACAGTGAACGTTTCATCAATAGCATAAACCTGAGATCAGTTGGACAAACAGTGAACGTTTCATCAATAGCATAAACCTTAGATCAATTGGACAAACAGTGAACGTTTCATCAATAGCATAAACCTGAGATCAATTAGACAAACAGTGAACGTTTCATCAATAGCATAAACCTGAGATCAATTAGACAAACAGTGAATGTTCCATCAATAGCATAAACCTTAGATCAATTGGACAAACAGTGAACGTTCCTTCAATAGCATAAACCTTAGATCAATTGGACAAACAGTAAATGTTCCATCAAAAGCATAAACCTTAGATCAATTGGACAAACAGTGAACGTTCCATCAATTGCATAAACCTTAGATCAATTGGACAAACAGTAAATGTTCCATCAATAGCATAAACCTTAGATCAATTGGACAAACAGTGAACGTTTCATCAATAGCATAAACCTGAGATCAATTGGACAAACAGTGAACGTTTCATCAATAGCATAAACCTTAGATCAATTGGACAAACAGTGAATGTTCCATCAATAGCATAAACCTTAGATCAATTGGACAAACAGTGAACGTTTCATCAATAGCATAAACCTTAGATCAATTGGACAAACAGTGAACGTTTCATCAATAGCATAAACCTTAGATCAATTGGACAAACAGTGAACGTTTCATCAATAGCATAAACCTTAGATCAATTGGACAAACAGTGAATGTTCCATCAATAGCATAAACCTTAGATCAATTGGACAAACAGTGAACGTTTCATCAATAGCATAAACCTTAGATCAATTGGACAAACAGTGAACGTTTCATCAATAGCATAAACCTTAGATCAGTTGGACAAACAGTGAACGTTTCATCAATAGCATAAACCTTAGATCAATTGGACAAACAGTGAACGTTTCATCAATAGCATAAACCTTAGATCAATTGGACAAACAGTGAATTCGAATTCTTAGGAATAATAAGTTCTGTATCAACATATCTCCAATCTGTGTCGAAACCTCAGATTGACAGAAGAATGAACTGTTCCCCTTTTCTACGCAATTCATTTCATCTATTGAAAGAAGATATAGGGTCACGCCATTTTTACACAAGATTAATTTCAAAACACTGCCGCAAAAATCAACATATTAGAAAATGGGAGCACGAACTGCAGACACATTTCCCCAACGATATATGATCCCGTTCAGATGTACAGGGATCACCCAACTACAGTGGTTTCAATACAAAATCCTACGCAACATCCTACCAACTAACAATTTGTTAATTTGTCAACAATGAAACATGTGACTTTTGTAAATTAGAATTAGAAACAATACAATATGTGTTTTGGGAATGTAGAAAATTCATTCACTTTGGACATACTTGGAAAGTTGGTTTCTTGAGAAAACATAATTAAAAATCGTTCTGAACAAGAAAATTATACTTCTTGGTGACGCTTTAAAAAAATAGTTATATTTGCTAAAAAAACTCATCAACGAAAATAAACAGCAAAGACTGCCAACTTTCAAAATATTCAACTTAAACTGTCGGAATACTTTAATGCTATGACCAGCAAATATCGATAAATTTTACAGTTCTGGTCAACATGTCATATGCTTTTCATGTAATTGTGAAAAAGATCTACATGAATAAAAAATGTAAAGAAGAAAAAAATAAACCTTAGATCAGTTGGACAATCAGTGAACATGAGATCAATTGAACAATCAGTGAACATGAGATCAATTGGACAATCAGTGCACATTACATCAATTGGACAAACAGGGTACGTGCCACGGGGACAAATAGTGATCGTTGTATCAATAGAACACTAAGCATTGTATCGATAGTACAAACAGCCAGTCATAAAAGCTACAGGTTGATCTCATGAAAATCTTAAACGTGATTTAATATTTGTCTATTGAGGTCAGTCCTGTAGTTTCGAGGGAATATCATGGGTGGAGTTGTGTCCCTTAATTGTCCAAGATCCGCTCGATTTGCCCTGATAGCTATCCCAGGTTTGTTATACAACTGCTCCTGCTTGTGGGTTTCTCTAAAGTGGGAGGGGGCACGGGTGACCCAATCGTCTAAGGCGCCGCGATTCGCTGTGCAGAGATGCGTCCCTTGGGCACGCCAGAAACCTATGATTGTGGGTTCGAATCCCGGTTCGCCCCGATTATGTTTCTAGGTTTGTCAGCACCATACCCGTGCTCGTGGGTTTCACCGAAAAGGTAAACGTCTGAGACATGCATCACTTCGGGCTTTCCTCCCACATTAAGCTGACACGCCGCGATATAACTGGCATACTGTTAAAAGCGGCGTTAAACCCAACTCACACACTCACTCACTCTAAATTTGGAAATGTCTTGGAACTGCGTCCCTTTGGGCTGTTATCTCACATTAAGGCGGTGGGGTAACCTTGTGGTTGAAGTGTTCAGCCGTCATGTCGAAGTACCGGGTTCGATTCCCAACATGGGTACAATGTGTCACGCCCATTTCAGGGTTTCCCCGCTGGAACATTGCTAAAAGCGTCGTAAAACCTAGACTGTCATTCAGACCCTTAAACAAATATACCCAATACAGACCATGCAATTTTATAATATTTGGCAAGTCTAGATGGGCTGCTTTTCATCATATTTTATAACCCTAATTTAACAATTGTTTTTATCTGTAAAATATCTTCATTTAAGAGCCTAAATGTTAGTCTACGTAAAACCCTACAGACTCACTCATCCCACATTAAAGTGAGCGGTCATGCCGTCATAAAACAGACATGATGTTCAAAACGAATTAAACAAACCTTACTCGCTCCGGGCAAGTCTTAACTTGGGACATTGGTACAAATTTATATAAGGTAGCCTTCTCACCTTCTGGTTGGTTATGTCGAAGTGCTGGGAGTCAGCTGGCATCACCTTCAAGGTCGGGGTCATGTCCAACAGCAGGAGACTCTTGGAGCCCCGTCTGCCGGCCCCGTGGTAGGTCAGGCCAGTTTCGTGGATGGGGTCATCAGGGTGGTAGGCGAAGATGGCCTTTGTCGTTCCCTCCTGGGGGAGACAAACAAGGGGAGGATACTTTACACAGTGAACAACGAACTAAGATGAATTAACCTGCCTCGGGTGCGAATGAATGGGTGATTGAGTTTTCATGATTGTCGATATTTTCATTATTTTTATTCTGTTTTATTTTTTAAATTTTATTTATTCATTTATTTTTTAATATTTATTTTATTTTATTTTATTTTATATTTTATATTTTATATATTTTATTTTATTTTTTATTTTTTATTTTTTATGTTTTATGTTTTATGTTTTATTTTTTATTTATTTTATTTTTTTTTGGGGGGGGGAGGGTATATTCAGTATTTTCAGCATTTTCAATATTTACAGATTTTTCAGTATTTACAGTATTTTCAGATTTTTTAGTATTTCCATTTCTTACAGTGTTAGCAATAGTTTTTGCTTTGCAGTATTTTCAGCTTCTTCAGTATTTCAGCATTTTCAATTCTTTCAGTGTTTGGCCTAATAATAGAATTCAGGGTGCCGTTGTACAAAGTGAGCCTAGCGCTAACTCCCATACCTTTACACAGACACCCAATGGCACCCAGCACCACAAAGTTTACAAACACGTCCTAACACCCAAAACGTAATTGTCATAATCAACATGATGTCATATTATAATTTCAAAACAAACATGAACCTTAACATATGATAATGCAGAAGGGACATAGGAAAAGATTATTCTACCTTGATTACAAAGTCCTGTTTTTCATCACAAGTGTCGAGTGCTCGAGAAAACTTTAACACGGTGCCAAAGTCGTTCTCGAAGCCGGCGATGATGGCCCAGTCCTGAGAGTCGTCGATGATTGGTTCATAGAAACCGATTGTGTGGCGGTCCTGGAAGGAATAATGTACATGTGAGCAAATTATACAGGACGCTTTCAACTACTGGTTCCCGGGACTCAAAAGTCACAGGCTGCTGAAAAACAGAGGGGCAAAAGAAAGTATACCGAGGTTTTTTTATTTAATTGAAAATTGAAAGAACTGTTGTTAAATTCGTCATGCAACAGTTTGTAAAAAGTAATCTGTGGCTGGGTAATTTTGCGTAAAAATAAATTGGTTCAATGAAGTCTCCGGTTAGAAATGAATATGCCACCACGCCCCCTACCATGATTGAAATGTAAATTTGTGCCGAAAAAAGCAAATGTTTTGATTTTCAAAGCTACAACAGTTGTGTATTATGTGAAATTCTTCTTTTTTAATTTTTAAAGGTTTTTGAATCAAATTATTTTTTAATAATAAGACCATGTTGATGTATTCTTTCAGTGTCATGAGGACATCGCGCCAAACCGAATCATCACAAAATAACGATTTATAAAATATTTTAAAAATGGATCTATCTTAAAAGTCTTGATACACAGTTTCTGAAGATGAACATGACATGATAAGGTTGCCTGTGTTGCTATTCCGGCTTTTTTGTTTTGTATTAATTCTGATAATACATCATACAGTGCCAAAACGTCGTGGTCCCCTAGTGTGACATTGCTGAAATGTTGCTGAAGATGTATATGTATTGTTGTAACTGTGTATTGTTTGTTTGTTCAAGGCCACGCTCAGAAATATTCCAGCCATATGACGGTGGTATGTAAATAATTCAATCTGGACCAGAAAGTCCAGCGATGGACATCATCAGCATTGATGTACGCGATTAAGGATACGATGACAGGCGAAAAACCAAGTCATGACCAGCGGGCCTAACCGCCCGATCCCGTTAGTGGCCTCTTACGACAAGCATAGTGGCCTCTTACGACAAGCATAGTCGCCTCTTACGACAAGCATAGTCGCCTTTTTCGACAAACACATTCGCCTCTTACGACAAGCATAGTCGCCTTTTACGACAAACACAGTTGCCTCTTACGACAAGCATAGTCGCCTCTTACGACAAACACTGTTGCCTCTTACGACAAGCATAGTCGCCTCTTACGACAAACACAGTCGCCTCTTTCCACAAGCATATTCGCCTCTTACATAAGCATAGACTTCTCTAACAACAAGCATAGTCGCTTCTTTCGACAAGTATAGTCGCCTCTTATAGACAAGCATAGTTGCCTCTTACGACAAGCATAGTCGCCTCTTCGGACAAGCATAGTCGCCTCTTACGACAAGCATAGTCGCCTCTTGCGACAAACACAGTTGCCTCTTTCCACAAGCATAGTCGCTTCTTTCCACAAGTATAGTCGCCTCTTACAGCAAGCATAGGATGCTGAAGGACTATATTCCCCTAGGGGGTTGTAGTTGTCACCTGCTTTACGTCACTGACGGTTTTGAAAATGAATCCTATGCCATGTAAAAAGAATACAAACAGTAAAGAATTCTCACCTCAAAGTGCACCTTCCCGTCCTTCACCCAGCCAATCACCACATCAGCGGGGTACATGTTGCCATGGTTAGAAATACCGAAGCCTACGTAGCCCCTGGTTTTCACGTGAGCTTCAAACTGGATGTGCGTGGAGTTTGCCCACCAGAACAGGAAGTAGTTCCCCGTGGCGTCCATCTGGGCGAACCTGCTGTAGGTCTCCGTGGGGGTGGGGAAGTTCGGGGGGTACACTCCTGTGTTCTGAGTTGGCTTGTTCGTCACAGATTTAGGTGCTGCAGCTGACAGCGTCACCATTAAGGCAACGATAACGACCACGAGACGATGCATATTTCTGTAAGTCCTTCTGGAGCGTCAGGACTGAAAACTGATGTCTCTGCCGACAATGTCTACATGAGACCGACCCAAGCTGTCGGATTTTATATACGATGGGAAATTTCACGTTCCTGACCCTGATCTGATGCGGGGGGATATGGTGATTCGTCATTGTCATGGATCAGGACTGTCAACAACCGATAAGATACTATCGTATCTTCACTACACGACCCTATGTCACAACCTCGTGGTTTGTGAAGACATGACGCACACTTTCGTGTGGTGAAAATATTGCGACATATGTCAAAAACCTTTCCACAATGCGGTGTTCCCGGCTTGGTCGTCATGACGACGAAGTGTACAAGTCTACCATTTCAGTTCAGTAGGTTGTTAGGGAAATTAAGATAGCCTAGTTTGCGGTTATAAAGTCATGGCTACTCCATGGATAATTCATGACTGTCAGCTTATACTTAACGTAGTTCAGCGGTGGTGTTGGCCGGTTGGTTAAAGCATTCGGTTGTCACGCCTAAGACCACACTTCGATTCCCAACATGGGTAATATGTGAAGGCCATTTCCGGTGTTCCCCACCAAAGTGTTGCTGGTACATTGTCAAAAGGGGCGTAAAACCACACACACTCACTAGCCAACTTAATTTGGGTAACACCTAATAATGGGTAAATGCTTACAAAGGTTTGTTATTTAATTTCTCACATAGAACCTATCGTTGGTCAAGTGCGGTAATGTTATTTCACTCGGGTGAGATTTCATTTTTATTTTCATCACTAATAATACCATAAAATGTGATCATTGTACATATTGACACATTGAATACTGAATGGTTTTGAAAAATGGATTCTACATAATTGTTAACAAACACTTAATGTAGGTGGGTTGTGGGGCAGCCCGGTGTTTAAATTAACGCCTAAAACCAGGCTTCGATTCCCTACATGGGTAAATTATGTGAAGGCCATTTCTTGTGTTCCCCATCAAAGTGTTGCTAGTACATTGTCAAAAGAGGCGTAAAACCATACACACTCACTAGCCAACTTAACTTGGGTAACACCTAATGGGTAAATGCTTACAAAGGTTTGTTATTTAATTTCTCACTTAGAACCTATCGTTGGTCAAGTGCGGTGATGTTATTTCACTTGGGAGAGTTCATTTTTATTTTCCCAGATAGATACTCATTTCATCACTAAATATACAATAAAATGTGATCATTGTAAACATTGAATACTGAATGTTTTTGTAAAAGTGATAGAATAAATTTTGGTCTCAAGTCTTAATTCGTGACATGGCAAAAGTATTGCCGATACGGCGTTCAATTTTAACTCAATTTACCACTATTGCAATAATAGTCGTTTCGCTCGTTTCCATGGTCTTTGTGTTCGTGTTTGACTAACTTGGCCCTTATCTCCAATACATTACTGTAGCTGATAACGCATGTCCAGAATATGGGATACTCTGGGTCGCGTGGTGCTTGTCAGTTATTAACCTATACACAGCCGCAAGGAGGGGGGTTGGGGGAACGGGGTTGTAGTGAGTAGTGTAGGGCCCAGTCAAAACGGACCCGTTCGCCTTCAGCATGATTCAGTTTCCAGGACCAAAGTACAACTGTGAAATGATAAGGAATAAACAATGACATGTATTGGGAGGGGTAGGGTGATGTGTAGAGTATAGGTTATGGCTTTGCTGGGGTGCATTCATGTATCTAAATTTATGAACAGGTTTATTTTCCTTCTGGCTTTATTGACAGTAAAGACAAGATAATTTTATGAATGACAATTTCTTTATTATATTATGATATGACGTTTCGCTATACCGTTGTCAAGCAAGAGCCACCTTGTCTTCACTAAAGTGCCAATCAAACAGTGGTTTTAATGAGCTAAATAATTATGTCAGGTAGTTTGTGTTTTTAGAAATAATAAATAGAATGTTTCGGATTCTAATGAGGGAGATATTTGTTTTCGAATTACTCGCAGGCCAACCATCTCCACACGCATAAAAAGAAACACTAAAAGACAAACATCCAAAAACAAACAACCAATAAGAATCAACTAACGAAACAAATTCAAAAATAAACATCCAACAACTGTAGTGTTATATTGCAGTGGAGGCAGGAAGTTTATTTGGGATGATTGTTAGTGGCATAAAAGCGCTCATTAAATGTTACGTGTTTGTGATACTCCCGGCGTCTGAAGTTTGAGTAGGCTCCATTGTTGTTTACAGTCCAAGCTCTGTTCCAGCTCTTGTCATCTTCGTTCCTTTCCCGGTATAGAGAGCTCCGCCGTGAATAGCTTGATTACAATGGCACTCTCCTACCCAGAGTTCCATGCGGCCGGCAGCCAACCAAGCATAGTACCTCTGCCACAGGCCCGCGTCATGTGACGATTCGTCACATCTTTCACAGTCCATTCAAGATATTGCATATGCTTTTCATACGTTTCATGTTTGACAAGTCTACACATTTTCTAAAACAAATGTCAAAGAATGATTACGGTTCATGAAGAAATTATCCTAATTACGTGAAAATCTACTTGTTTTTGCGTAGGTATCCTTTGTTTACATTGGTTGTACGGCTCCACGTGCTGTCATCGAAGCCCAACGGAGAGCTAGCGATACAGTCACTTTGATGTATAAATATATATTGTCATGCAACTCACTGTCGCAGTTGTAGTAGCATATCTATATAATTATGCAAAACAATATGTAAAGCGCCCCCAAATACTTGCATTGGTCCGTTCTATACTGATTTCTGAAAAAGCGCGTTTGTTTACAAACAAGAGAAACGTACGGTCACGTGATATGCAAATTAGCCTGTGGCAGTGGCGTTATGCTGAGTCACCACTGCGCAGGAGCGTGTTACAATGGTTGATTCACTTCCGGGACTTACTTCGCGAGGTAACAATTCTAGAGGATTGGCTATACCTATATAACATCAAGGCGAAGGCAATTCGAGGCCGTCTAAGCTCAGACTTGTGACTTATCTACTTGCCCTGTGCCCACTGGAGACATATCGGAAAAGACATCGACTTTTTGCCGGTCTGCAACACCTGTATTCCTGCATTCAAGAAGGTAGCAAGTGCCTCCTTCAAAACATTCAAATGTGATAAATTCTGGACACTTGTGAGTGCTCTGACGTCAGTATTAGGGCCTGTTATTGTAGCTATTTGACCCATTGTGTTGTCTTTAATATGATTGTAAACCTCATCCTGTGTGTTTCAAGATAATTTGTATTCATTGGTATTGTGTGGTTAGGTACTGATTTCGCAATTTTAGTTCTGTACGAACCGATTTGTGGGTTAACCTTCGCGTTTCAACAACAAGCATCCCAAATTAAACTGATGCGCCGTGATATAACTGAAATATTGTTCAAAGCGGTGTTTAACCAAACTCACCTGCTCTTCATATTTGTCAGTCCAAATTCGATCACATGCTACATTTGCACATCAGCTGACGACAGTGTTAAGACCGCATCCATGGTCTTGTGGATAGAGCGTCTGCCATGAGAGCGGAAGATCATGGGTTCGATCCCCGACCGCGCAATACCAGAGGACGAGAAAAGATGGTATTTGTTGTTAGCCTGCCTGACACTCAGTGTTAAGGTTGTTTTGTTTTTTTGTTTAACGCTACATTCAGCAATATTCCAACTATATGACGGCGGTCTGGAAATAATCCAGTCTGGACTAGACAGTCTAGTGACTGACATCATGAGCATCGATCTACGCAATTTAGATCCGATGACCTGCATAAACCCGATCCAGTGAGTCGCTTCCTACGACAAGCATGGACTGCCTTGAATATAGCTTCATTGTCTGTAACAACGTGATCTGCGTTGCAGTATAATAGGTTTAAATCAACAGGTATGTTATGAACACTATTTGAAAGGTTGTTACACATAATTTCACGTTGATGACTAAACAATGTACATTCCGTGAGACAATGATAATATGCATTTTCGCATGTATATTGAACTTGTACAGTTCAGGTGATCTTTTATACCAGTTCTGTATATATCATAATTTAATTGACTGCACATGTCTCAGTTCTGTCTGTAAGATATCTTTCTCCCTTTTCCATATGCTAAGTACGCAGGTGACGTTGGGTGGTGCTTTTATAAAGACTTTTTAAAACAAGAAATCGTAGAATTTCAGTCTGATAACAAAATAGAATTCCACAATCGGAAAGTCGATGGGTAAAAGGAATCACACGAATGTCTTGTTAGAGGAATACTGATGTTTTCAGAGTTTCTGAGGCTTTATGAGTTTTTTCGCAGCAACGGTTCTTTGTAGAATAATCAGTTTGGTAGAGCGGAGCCATATTATGATAAATTTTAAAGAAAATATAAACTTTACGGGTTTGTTTTTGCTCAACTAAGGGTTCCCAACCGGTTTCGTAATAGAATGAATGCCTGGTGGCATATTTAGGTAGACAAGTTACAAAGCGTGCAACTTCTAATTGTTCTAATTTCTCACTGTGTTCTATGACAAGACCATTTGTAACTGGCTTCAAGTGTGATACCCAAGTGCTTATGACTATTTACAGAACTGATTTGTTTTGACATTATTCTCTTCACAGATGAGTCCAGGTTTCATCTGGACATCTCTGGTGGTCGTGCAAGGGTCGACAGGCGTTAAGGGGAACGTTTTAGCGACGCTTGCGTTACTCAACGTCGTCGTTTTGGGGGTGGAAGTGTAATGGTATGGGTTGGCAGCACAACTTATGGGAGAACACAACTCATCATCGTTTGAATGCCCTACGCTCCCGGCACCACATCGTTCGAGATCATGGTCTTCCCTTTGTGCACATACAGGGACGTAACGCTACGTTACAGCAAGATTCTGCCCACTCACACGTTCTACGTTTGGGAACAAACGTTTTGGGGCAGCATAACATTGCTGTACTGCCATGGTCGACTGTTTCTCCAGACCTCTCCCCCAGGATATGGAACGGCGCCTCAGACAGGACGGGAACCAGCCGGCATCGCTCAACTTAGGGTTCCCAGCCGGTTTCGTAATATAATGAATGCCTGGGGCATATTTAGGTAGACAAGTTACAAACCGTGAAACTTCTAATTTCTCTCTGTGTTCTATGACAGCATCTTTGGTTGACATTGATTGGGTTGTTACACCGCCCCTCTTGTGTCTCCTGTTACCGGGTATGGGTGTGTCAATACAAATGTTATGATAAAACATTGATCCGACGAATGATCAAATATTATGTTATTACTTTCAATTACTTATCATTTACACAATTCAGTGAAGCACTGTTACTTTTTCCCGTTGTACACACTGTTTCTGTAACCGCAAGAATGAATATACCATTGTCGAACATTGTTTCAATGGACAACAGTTAAAATTACTTTACATACTGTTTATATTCTAAAGCTTAATATATAATTTCTAAAGAGGACATTTTTTCTTATGACAAACAATGTTCCAAATTAATCCCACCCTCATAAACAAAAGAGAATAACCAGTATAAAATTATTCGCGGAAATAGATTCCATTGGGTGTAAAAGGCAATATAGCGGTTAAAAATATATGAGTGGATCAACGAAAATCAGATGTTCAGGAATAGGGTAAGCATGTCCTACCCAATATGCAGCAAAACAATATAAACAACATGGACCGCACGTACTATTTATTGGCAAGCAAAATTTTACATTTCAAAATATTCGGCATTTCGATTTTTGTATCTTCCATATCGACTTAGTTGGAGGCGCACTTGTCACTCATTGGCTTCACGTAGGGCGTGGTCACGGGGTCGGCCTGTGTCATTGTACTGAAGAACTGCAGACAGGAACACAGTGAATTGTCAAGAAGAGATGACTGGTCAGTTCAAGATAATCGTGACCCCACCACATTTCGTCACAAATAAATTCAACAAGTCTCATCATGTTTAAAGCAAACTAAAGGAGGACTAAAACGTTTTATAATATATTAGGGGCGGACCATTAGGGGGGAGCTCATAACAGCTCATAAGTTTGTGTAAATAAAATAAGTCCATCTGCTTGAACAAACATTGATCAGCCTCAACAAAAAGATTCGACCGCAATATAGCCATCCTCATCAATACAGAGTACTTCATGAGCAATCAAATCTCCCATTTGTCCATATCATGCAAGTCACTGTGTTATATCCTTGGACAAGGTTATTGACTCCGCTTGTCCCACTGAAACAGTTGCTGACTGTGATGGGAAATGAACATTAAGCATCATTTACCCTCACTTGAAAATAATACAACATAAACATAATTATATATTATTACAAATAGTTTATTGCAATAACCTAAACTGACGAGCAAAGAAAACCTTACCGACCAACATTGTTTGTTCCTAAAAACAGAACAGGACCAATTGTCAGGGAAGATACTTCTATTGTCAAAAGACATAAATTACCAACACCTTTACAAGTTATGCCATGAGAATCAAGCTGGCCACAAATGTACCCTATTGCAGTTTGAGATGCATCAGTTGTGCGGATGAAGGGTTTGTTTTGGTCGGAATATGCAAGGATGGGGGGCTGTTGTAATGGCTTGCTTTAGCTTTTCTGGTGCCTGTTGGCAATTGTTGGTCCATTCGAAAGACGCGTCTTCTTTCAGAAGATTGTATATAGGGGAGATGATGCCAGAAAGTTTTGGTACAAATCTGTGATAATGCCAGGCCATACCTAAGCAAAGGCGCATGTACTTGCATTGTCAAAAGACATGAGTTAATAACATCATTACAAGGTATGCCATGGTCTGTAAATAACGTCATGAGTATCGATCTTCGCAGTTGGATTGGTTGGTTGGTTTGTTTGTTGTTTAACGCCGCTCTCAGCAATATTCCAGCTATATGACGGCGGTCTGTAAATAATCGAGTCTGGACCAGACAATCCAGTGATTAATATCATGAGCATCGATCCACGCAATTGGGCTCAATGACATGCATCAACCAAGTAAGCGAACCTGACCACCCGATCCCGTAAGTCGCCTTTTACGACAATCATAGGCAAGCATGGGTTGCTGAAGACCTATTCTACCCCGGATCTTAACGGGTCTTCGCAGTTGGGATAAGATGGCATACATCAACTCGATGGTGCCTGATCACCCGATGGTCGCCTCTTATGACAAGCATGGGTTGTTAAAGATCACTTCTAACCCGGATGCGTCATACCACAATATGTAAAAAAAAGATACGAAGATAATTGTTGTTACCCTGCCTGGCGCTCGGCACAATAGGGACAAAAAATGACTGGTCTACTCGGATATATAATGTTTCTGAGTGGGGTATCCATGCTACACTCCGGCATGGTGTGTATATAGCACTATAAAACCGGAATTAGCCTGGACTAGCACAAACAAAAAGATTTGCTTAAATCAAATTCCCCAGGACTGTCAATTGACTTCCTCTAGCCTCATCTTCTTTTAACACCTGTTCAACGTTTTATTTGCTTGTAAAGCAAGAATAATATTCAGGTGTGGTATTGGAGCAGGTCCCGCTACTCACCGACATGGGCCCGGCATAATCCATGCAGGAGAGAGTGTAGACTGACTGGTCCGTGTTCTGCTGGAAGCTCTCTCTGATGGTCTGGTTCTTCCAGTCGAGAGTCTCCAGGTACTGAATCAGCGCCCTCTTCTCACCTCGATCTTTGATGTAGGCGTTGTACATGGCGAGACTCAGGCAGTTGGACATGGGCATTCGGGGATAGTACAGGATGAAGGTCAGACACATCTCGTCCTGTGTACTTAAACCTCCCTGTAACTCAGCAATTAATCAGTGTATCATGCGGGAAGAGTACAGGATGAAGGTCAGATACATTTCGTCCTGTGTACTTAAACCTCCCTGTAACTCATAGTCAGTGTATCATGCGGGGAGAGTACAGGATGAAGGTCAGACACATTTCGTCCTGTGTACTTAAACCTCCCTGTAACTCATAGTCAGTGTATCATGCGGGGAGAGTACAGGATGAAGGTCAGACACTACTCGTCCTGTGTATTTAAACCTCCCTGTAACTCAGCAATTAGTGTATCATGCGGGGAGAGTACAGGATGAAGGTCAGACACTACTCGTCCTGTGTACTTAAACCTCCCTGTAACTCAGCAATTAGTCAGTGTATCATGCGGAGAGAGTTCAGGATGAAGGTCAGACACATCTCGCCCTGTGTACTTAAACCTCCCTGTAACTCAGCAATTAGTCAGTGTATCATGCGGGGATAGTACAGGATGAAGGTCAGACACTACTCGTCCTGTGTACTTAAACCTCCCTGTAACTCAGCAATTAGTCAGTGTATCATGCGGGGAGAGTTCAGGATGAAGGTCAGACACATCTCGCCCTGTGTACTTAAACCTCCCTGTAACTCAGCAATTAGTCAGTGTATAGCAAACCTCCTCCTGCGTACTGACCGTCACCCAACCCATCCCCTATAACTCTGCAGCAAACTTCGTCATCCTGTGTACACATCAGTTAGTTTATTGTACAGAACATGTCTTCCCAAGTTAGTTCGGAAGAATAATCTCTCGTTACTTTAATATATGATTTTACGAAATAAAAAGTTTCGAAAACCTGCAGTATGTTTGTCGTAGTGTTAAAGTTTGTTTCCAATCTTAAGGACCCGAGGTCGATACATCACAAAACAGTATGGCAATCAATGCTTACAAATGTGAACTTGCCCTTCTCCTTTGACCTGTAGTCGCACTCGGTGATGATGGCGTCTCCCTGGAAGAGTACACAGTCAACAGTGAGTGAAAAAATGTAGTTCTACATAAGCATCATGGAGAAACATGAATTTTAAAGAGGGATGATGTTGAGCATAAATTTACATGTATGTTACCAGGACATGCAAGACCGGCAATATTTACACACTGGCTGGAAATAGAAACTGGTAGAAAACTTAATATCACTCGCGAAAAAAGATTTTGCAAACTATGTCAAGTTGGCCTAATAGAAAACGAGTTCATTTCCTGATAGTGTGCCCTGCATACACTCACCTACGCCATCTCTATATTCCTTCAAAATATTATTTACATCCAAATGTCCATAAGTTTAACATTCATTTACCTACAACCAACACAAAGCTGATTATTAATATCGCTAAATATCTGTATCACAGTAAAGAAGAGAGAACACGTATTTTATCATTGTGACTGTTGCCATAAATATGCCATACATTTTGTAAAAAGGGCCTGTGGCCTGTACTGTACTGAATAAAGATCTGAATATTTACTGCTTCGTGCAGATGTCTGAGATGTGGTTATCAATGGTTTAAATCTGATTGGTTAATTCGCGTTTATTGATTGGAGTATTACCACTTGCAGCTTCCTCTCGTGAGCCAGCAGTCTGGTTTCCTGGAAGTCAAAGTCGTAGCTGTCGTCCACGATGAGAGGTTCGATCTCTGTGCCGTTCCTGATGATGCGGGTCCTGATTCCCTTCCCAATAAGATGCGTGTGCTGGAACACTGCGAACACATTCATCTCCGGGGCAGTGGACCGAGTCAGGGACTGAAGATAGCCAAATATATACCATACACTGAGAGCCAAAGGAAAGTACACCGAGTTTGTTTTTCATGTAAATGAAAATTGAAATAGCTGTTATTAAATTTGATTATGTGTATTCACCATCACTTATTTTTTGTAATAAGTAATGTGTGGCTGGTTAATTGTGTGTACAAGTTGGTTCAATGAAGACATGGGTTATACTATATTTGGATATACCATGTAGTAGTTTTAAGTAGACTAAGCACCAATGCAGTTCCTTTTTTAATATAACATCTCTGACTTAAGATATTTTCAATTGATATATCATCATAAACTTAGAGGTATAGTTTCTTTTGATCCTCAGTTTAATTAGAGTTATCAAATACAGAGGTACACACACAACATCCTGTAAGCGATAGAGCCTGGTCTCGATAATATCAGGAGCATCAAATCATTGATCCTCATTCAAGTCAACACAATGACTGAGAATGGGAAAGTGGGGCAGGTGAATGAGTGAGGATTAAACGCTTATTTGGCCTGTGTATAAATTTATTGCTTTTTTCCAAGAGTGGAGTAGTGGGCACCTTTTTTCAGCGAGGATAAATACTGCTTTGACCTATATATCAATTGCATCGCTTTCTCCAAGAGTGTAATAATGGGTGAATGAGCGAGGATAGAAAGCTGCTTTGAACTATATACAAATCCATTGTATCGCCTTCTCCAAGAGTGGGGTAATGGGCGGGTAGGTGAGTAAGGACTTAACGCTGTTTTGACCTTCAGATCAGGTTTCTCGCTTTCTCCAAGAGTTGGCAGAATGAGTTAGTAAGGGAGGGTTTAACGCTGTTTTGGAGTATTTGTATAAGCTCGCCTACTGCTAGAGATTATAGAATGAAGACAGACTGGTGGACATGAAAAACAAGAAATGTGAAATTCGACAAGGAAGACGTTACCCTCTCCATACAGGCCATGCTGCAGTACCCCCGGGATTTGAAGGATTCGTACTCTGGAGGGATGATCTGGAAATTGTCTACCATGACACCAGTTTCCAGCACCCCGGCGTCGTGAAGTCGTAGGGTCGGCGTGTAGTGGATACGCATGCCGGAACTGTCGATGACCCCTGAGCCATGATAGAAAAATCTTTGTTTCACAAGGAGGCCGAAAATCCAGTGCGGAATGTTGGAAGCGCTCGTTAATGTTTCACATCGGTTGGGTGGTCATAAAAAAAACTTCTGTCGTCAGTTGTCGACTGTTCGCACACAAAAGTAACGATGGCGTTAACAGTTGTCTCGAATCATATTTCGAGGTTTGGGCATCATTAAGTTCAGGTTTGTTTTTAAGTGTTTAGAGACTGGTTAAGGGCTGAGGGACTGGGGTCTGTTGTCAGGGAAACAGTAGAGGGAGATAATCTCTATACGTACCTGCTTTAAGGGGTGGGGTTGTTATAGTGGGAGATAACCTCTATACGTACCTGCTTTAAGGGTTGGGGTTGTTATAGTGGGATATAATCTCCACATTTACCTGCTTTCAGGGTGGTGTTGTTACAGTTGGAGATAACCTCTATACGTACCTGCTTTCAGGGTGGGGTTGTTATAGTGGGAGATAATCTCCACATTTACCTACTTTCAGGGTGGTGTTGATACAGTTGGAGATAATATCTTTGGGTACCTGCTTTCAGGGTGGGGTTGTTATAGTGGGTCTCCAGCAGTAGGAAACTCGGGTCTTCTTTCGTTCCGAGGGGTAATCCCGCATCATCAGGAAGATAGAACGGCTGAAGAAATGGTAGGAATTATTTTTAATTAATTCATAAGTATTCCTATTATTTACCAGCATTTACACTGTCAAGTCATACATCAATATAATCTCAACATACACTCAACAGAAAACGAGAGCGTGACCAGACGGTAGAGGCAATCTATTTTCATCAGACAGCGAGTGTGTGATTTGGGCTTCACGCCACTTTTAGCAATATTCCAGCAATATCACGTTGGTTGACAACATCTTCACGCATTGTACACACGTGGGAATCGAACCCGGGCCTTCGACGTGTCGAAAGAACGCTTTAACCACTAGGCTACCTACCCACACCTCAGTGAGCAAGTGACGTCAAGCTGGAACACAGATGGCAAGTGACACTTGTTATTATCCGGGTTTTACAAACCATGCATCAGTGCACGTGTATTATCGCCAAGACACCTCACACAGTAGCAATGACATTATGTCTGGCCTCCTGTGTGGACGATCTTAGCGCGCAGGCGATCGCAATACCCATTATTTTAACGCGGCATGTTGGCATTGCGGAATGGTTCCAGGTCGCCAATCCGTGCTCAGCAATTCAAGCTGGAAGAACCTGCGTCTCCCTGGTGATGTATTATAAGTGCCTCTTCCGTTTGTTTATGTTTATGTTTTGTTCAGTTCCTTTTGTTCTTTAACGCCGAGCTCGGCACTATTCCTGCTTTAGTACGGCGTTCTGTAAATAATCGAGTCTGAACCAGACAACCCAGTAATATGAGCAACTCTCCACACCGTCCGGCTCCCTTGACAAACAATGAACCAAGTAACCGGGGACCTAAGCTACGCATAGTTGTAGTAGTAGTAGTAGTAGCAGTAGTAGTAGTAGTAAAAGTAGTAGTAGCAGCAGCAGTAGTAGTAATAATGATAGTAGTAGTAGTAAAAGTAGCATTAGTAGTAGTAGTAAAAGTAGTAGTAGTACTAATAAGAATAGTAGTAGTACTAATAGTATTAGCATTAGTAGTGGTAGTAATAGTAGCAGTAATGGTAGCAGTTAGTAGTAGTAAAAATAGTAGTAGTAGTTGTAATAATAGTAGTGGTAGTAATACTAGTAGTAGTGGTAGTAGTAGTGGTAGTAGTAATAGTAGTAGTAATAGTAGTAGTGCTAGTAATAGTAGCAGTAATAGTAGTAGTAATAGTAGTAGTAGTAATAGTAGCAGTAATAGTAGTAGTAATAGAAGTAGCAGTAGTAGCAGCACTAGTAGTAGTAGTAGTAGTAGTAGTAGTAGTAGTAGTAGTAGTAGTAGTAGTAGTAGAAATGTGCCACATCCATACCCTTAAGCATGCTCATAGCGCTACATAATAACCCCGGTCAATGAGTCACTGTGCACGCAATTTTCAGTCCCAGCTCCCTAGGGAGTATTCAACCAAAGTTTTATGAGAACGAGGCTCACCTCTCCTCCAACGGCCCAGGCAAGGAAGACGGCTGTACAGGCCCGAAGCAGGGGGTCTCTCTCGCGGTAGCAGTGGTAGTCCATCAGGTCGTACTTGTCATCCAGCTTGGGACACGTGTACAGAACCATGTGGTGGACGATATCCACGTTGCCAGGGGTGATGACAGGTTCATACTGGGGATTGCAGGGACACAATGACGGAGTGATTCAGTGCAGTGATAAGATGAATCAAGGTCATGACAAGATTATCCTAGGCAATGACAAGTTCATGACATTTTCATTTTACTTTTTGACATTTTCGCTTCACATTTCAGCGATTCAATAGCTACTTGAAAGTACATTTTCCATTTTTCCGGTTGTATTTATACATGATTTATCTCATATTTGTATGACAAATTGTGTTAATTTGCAAAAGGGTACGATAAAAGTAAGTGAAATATCAAAATATTGAAAAACAGACTCCATGTCCCTTATGGGCCACCGTAACAATAAGGGAATTCACCAAGGACGGTTTGGCTTGCACTATAAGACCAGCATACATCCGAACTAGTGAAAAAAACCACAAACACTATATTAGGTGATATATTATGTTTAGATATTAGGTGACAATGATAATCAATGCACCCACGTACCAATGTGGTGATAATCATTACAAATACTCCTACAGTCACGTGATCGTGATCGTGACACCATTTATTCAACTTACCATGATGAGGTGGTGTTTCTTTGGAAGTACGGGCACCTTGAAGACGGTGCAATGGTAGAAGGTGCCAACGGCAGGCACGTGGAACTGTTGGAATAAAGACATGCACGTTCTGGCATCAGGTATCATAAGTCAAAAGAAGACGGGAATCACAACAAATGTTGTTGCGGAAACATCTCGCAGATGAGGGCCGGGATAAACTGGAATGAATTATTTGTTATTTTACACTGTATGGTCTGAAGAAGGAGCAGGTACAGCTTTGCTTAACCGTCTTGCTATATTCAGGGCCCCGTTCCTCTAAGCGATCTCAGCGCTGAGACAATCTAACTCCCATAGACTTAACATAGACTTACGACAACGTAGTACTAAGACGATCGTAACTCCCATACTTTAACATAGACTTACGACAAAATAGTACTAAGACAATCGTAACTCCCATACTTTAACATAGACCTACGACACGTAGTACTAAGACAATCGTAACTCCCATACTTTAACATAGGCTTACGACAACGTAGTACTAAGAAAACCGTAACTCCCATACTTTAACATAGGCTTACGACAACGTAGTACTAAGAAAATCGTAACTACCAAACTTTAACATAGACCTACGACAACGTAGTACTAAGAAATCTGAAAATATAAAGATTCCGCAATTGAAAGATTTGAATAATTCCTAGAACATTTGACGTTACAAGTGAGGTACAGCGTGGTTGCATTATTGTGTGGTGAAGATGTCGTAGTGACGAGGTAGCCTCCTCACCTTCTGGTTCTTCATGTCGAAGTGCTGGGTGTCAGCTGGCATCACCTTCAAGGTCGGGGTCATGTCCAACAGCAAGAGACTCTTGGAGCCCCGTCTGCCGGCCCCATGGTAGATCAGGCCAGTCTCGTGGATGGGGTCATCGGGGTGGTAAGAGAAGATGGCCTTCGTCGTCCCCTCCTGGGGGAGACAATATATGCATAAGTAAGAAACAAATTGAGTGAGGGAGTGGCTGATTTGTTTTACGCCGCTTTAAACAATAATCCAACAATATCACCAGAGGGGAGAAGGGAAGGTGCGGCTCGGAATGGGTTTCAAATGCTGAATTCATGTTTGTAACCGAACCCGGGCCTTACGTCATATCTAAATATGCTAAAGGAAAAAAGTAAATGTGCTTCATATAAAGTTCAATAAAAATAAATATATTCTCAAATTAAATAATGCAGCTTGCAATACATATTAATGAAGATATATTTTCGGCTTAAAGGGCGTGATTCACGATGCAAGAAATTTCACCTGGACAGCGCGGATGGTCGTGCAAGGGTCTACAAGGGAGAATATTATAGCGCCGCTTGCGTTACACAAAGTCGCAGTTCGTTGCACGTGTTGTAACAAACTTTTTTGGGCAGCTTAACATTGCTGTACAGCCATGACCGGCCGTTTCTCCAGACCGTTACCCAAAAGAACAATTCTGAGATGAGATGGACCGACGCCTACGACAGGATCAGAACCAGCCGCTAACTCCAGCTTAGTAGGGCCAGTCTTCGGTTGACATTTGGAACAACAGGCTGCTTTCAATCAGCTGGTGTCTTCAGTGCGCCGCCGCTGACTCGCCTGTATCAACGCACATGGTGGTCACACCCAATATGGATTGATTTGTTTTAGGGCGTGTCTCTCTGTCTCTTGTCACCAGGTATGGGTTTTGACCATGAATTTGCTTCAATAAACATTGCTCAGACGGGTGACCAAATATTACGCTGCTGCTGTCAATAACTTAACATTTACAGCACTTTATTTATATGAAGCACACTTACCCTTTTTCGGCAGTATACATTAACAAAACAGACTGTTCCCTGTGCCAGATTCCATTACATCCGGTTTGATAACGAAGTGTTAATAATAATATCCAACTAGGTTACTCTACCTTGATTACAAAGTCCTGCTTCTCATCACAAGTGTCGAGTGCTCGAGAAAACTTTAACACGGTGCCGAAGTCGTTCTCGAAGCCGGCGATAATGGTCCAGTCCTGAGAGTCGTCGATGATTGGTTCATAATAACCGATTGCGTGGCGGTCCTGAAAGAAACCATACAATGATAACAGTGAGGAGTGAGCATTGTTTTACGCCGCTTTTAGCAATATTCCAGCAATATCACGGCGGGGGACACCAGAAAAAAGGCTTCACGTACCGTACCCATGTGGGGAATCGAACCCGGGCCTTCAGTGGGCGAGCAAACGTTTTAACCACTAGGCTACCCCTCCACCCCACCAATTATAAAAGGAAACACAGCTGTGGATCGCATTTAAAAACAACAACCGTTTACACACATTATAACATGCATAATTCTGACATTTACTACTCAAAAGAATTAGGGACCACTCAATTCCTTTCAATGGCATGACAGATTAACTACTATAATATGAATTTCAAAGAATCGGAGTGTCCGTTACTTTTATTAGTGGTATATATTTTTGTTTCACCTCAGCCCCATATATCTATACTTCATGGCGAGTAATCAATTGTACAAATTTGACTAACGATCTTTGCAACAATACAAAACAAGGAGAACCATAATTCCTCCCATAAACATGTAAATCTTGAGTCTGGCAGTAAACATCAAGAATAAACACTGTCACGTAACTCTTGATAAACATGCAAGTTGTTAATCGTGTTCTTTTACCTTAAAGCAATAACCAAGCGGTAATTGAATAAACAAGATTGGTTGGTTGGTTTTTATTTTAACGCCGCACTCAGCAATATTCCTGCTATATGACGGCGGTCTGTAAATAATCGACCAGACAATCCAGTGATTGATATCATGAGCATCGATCCACGCAATTGGGATCGATGACATGCATCAACCAAGTCAGCGAGCCTGACCACCCGATCCCGTAAGTCGCCTTTTACGACAATCATATTCGCCTTTTACGGCAAGCATTGGTTGCTGAAGACCTATTCTACCCCGGATCTTCACGGGTCGAATAAACAAGGAAAGCTTCTTATCCACGGACATGAATTCCTAGTATCCATTAAATGCTGATGCAGCACATCAACTTCGCATCTAAGCAAGTGTTTAAATAAATACAAGATCTCGACCAAAATTATTTGCAAATAAATACTTAACAATAAAAAAACATGAAAAAGATGACACAAATCTTACAGAAGAATATATAAACTAGTGTCCAAAAGAAACGACACCACCTGTTTGCAACGACATAAAAGAAAAACTAAACAATGCAGAAGTTTAGGATTGGTGTTATGCTTTTGAGAAATCCTTTCACAACATCTGTACAAAAATTTCATGTCAATAAAATCTGTACAACCAATATGACAAGCCTTTAAAGAAGGGTGGGGTCGAAAAATGAACATTTCGTTAGAGCACTGATCACAGAAACAACGGGAAATGTCACACCACACGACTCAAAGTCAAGTCAGTAGCGGGTATGTCCACCGTGAGCATCAATACATGCCAGAACACGCCTACGGACTGATGACGTCAAACATCTGATGACGTTGGGAGTGATGCGTTGCCATTCCTCGAGGAGACATCGTTCCAAGTCCTGGACGTATGGAGGCACACGGCGACGTCGGATTTGCCGATCGAGGTGGTCCCATAAGTGCTCGATGGGATTCATGTCCGGTGAACATGCGGGCCATGGCAAAACCTGTACGTTGGCGTCGGCAAGGAAGTTCTGTGTCAATCTTGCTGTGTGTGGCCTTGCATTGTCATGATGGAAAAGGAGTCCACGAGGCTGTTGCTGAATAAAGGGCACCACAACAGGCCGTAGGATGTCATCAAGATAACGCTGTGCATTCAGGTTTCCACGAATTACGACAAGCATCGTTTTGACGTCACCACATATGCCACCCCAAACCATTAACCCTCCACCTCCAAACGGCCGGACCTGTTGGATACAGTTAGGCGCCAAACGTTCACCAAATCGTCGGTATACAAGCTGCCGTCCATCGTTTCTGAAGATGAGGAATCTGCTCTCATCAGAGAACATAACACGTGCCCAGTCCCGCCGTTGCCAACGTCGAACTCGCCTGGCCCAGATCAGTCTGTTGTTCCGGTGTCGAGGCGTCAGGAGCGGTCCGCGGTAGGGATGACGTGGCCGGATACCATACTGCCGTAGTCTCCTGTAGACGGTCTGTCGACTGATCCTGTGTCCCAGTGCTGTAGCCGCCGTGGACGTCGCTGTTACGGTGCGGTTCCTAAGGTGTAATACCCGGATGTAACGATCTTCACGGGGCGTGGTTACTCGTGGTCTTCCACTCCTGGGCCTGTCTGACGTCTGACCTGTCTGACGTAACCGCTGCATCAACCTGGTGATAGTGATGCGTGCGCAGCCCAACCTTCTGGCGACGTCGACGTGTGACGCTCCTTGTTGGACCATTCCAACGGCTCTCTCTCTCTCGATGGCTGTCAAACGTGGCATATCTTGTGTTCTTTTTGTTGCTGTGATATCAACGTGTCTGATCAGCCGTTTTTTACAGTTTTTCTGCACGTGCAGAACATGCTAGAGAGGGAAATGTCACTTTCACGAAATTTACGTTTTTTCCCAGAAGTGATCACGTGTTCCCGGTATTTTTTATCGACTATGCTGTGTTTGGGATGTGCAATACAAATTGGCATGTTTTCATACTTGACAATTCACTTAGTAAAAAACAATTTTGAAAATAAATTGGTATCGTTTCTTTTGGACACTAGTTTATACATACGGCATTGTAAGCAATGTCAGCTTCATGAATATAATTATGAAAGTTAAAGAAATCCCTCCCTTCATCAAAATAAAAAAAACATTTTTGTGTTTTGTTGAAATTGTGATCAGCATTTTAAAGACGGCTTCATACGCGAATCACAATTGTTACGTCAAACTCCTCACAGCGATAGCCTGTTGACATTGCTCTCTAAACTATCTCAGCTCCCCACTGTAGTCGGCGGCCTACAACTATGCTTGGAGTTGAATTTGCAACCAGCTAATCAATATGTTGACAAATATGACTGACGTGACGCTGAATACTCTTCCCCTAGCTAAACTATTTTCTTGGTTTGTCAGTTTGATTTTTTTTTCATTTCATCTATGGGTTAAATGGTGAGGTGAGGTGAGTCGAAATGGGGTTTAACGTCGCGTCCAAGAGTATTGTACTTATATAATGACGTGCATGTGCGTGTGTGTGTTTGTGTGGCTGCTTGTACTAGTCCGGACGGATGCCGATTCATAGTGCTAGCACACTGATATACCATGCCGCAGTTTAACATGAATACCCCCACTTCGACACAGTATACTGACTCCGAGCCGACCAGCCTTTGTTTTAACCCCTTAAAGCCGTACGCCGGACAGGGTAACAACAAGTCCATCTTTTAACGTCTTTTGGTATAACGCGGCCGGGGATCGAAACCCCGACGTTCCGCTCTCCGGGATAGTAGCAATGTTATGGTTGGAAGATGGGTGCTTTTCCCTGTTGCAACACGCCCTTGGGACTCTGGCCGAGAAAAAATATAAAGATGGTAACTGCACTGGTTCGTGTTGATTGGGTGCTGTAAATACTAGTAAATGGAATACCCAAACGTCGTAAGGACAACGGACAACAGGCGAAATTGCCATGACAAGTGTGTACAAAAAGTAAAGAATTCTCACCTCAAAGTGCACCTTCCCGTCCTTCACCCAGCCAATCACCACATCAGCGGGGTACATGTTGCCATGGTTAGAAATACCGAAGCCTACGTAGCCCCTGGTTTTCACGTGAGCTTCAAACTGGATGTGTGTGGAGTTTGCCCACCAGAACAGGAAGTAGTTCCCCGTGGCGTCCATCTGGGCGAACCTGCTGTAGGTCTCCGTCGGGGTGGGGAAGTTCGGGGGGTACACTCCTGTGTTCTGAGCTGGCGTGTTCGTCACAGATTTAGGTGCTGCAGCTGACAGCGTCACCATCAAGGCAACGACAACAACTACGAGCCGAGCCATAGTTCTAGAACTTGTCTTCTGGCACTATCGTCTGATGTATGATGACGTCTGCTACCAGAAGCTGGTGTCCCAGGATGACTATACACTGGGTGAGATGAAAGAAAAGCGATCTGAACTTCTCTTCTCCGAAAGGCAAATCGTCGTGTGTGCTTCAAGTGCCGACACAGTTTATATACCAAGGACGGTTGTCATTACTCGTCCTGGTCATGTGGATAGAATATGTTTTTTATGAGTTCAGTATCACGCGGTGAATCATAGTGAGTCACTGATAGTAACAGTATCTGTCGGTATATTTACACACGTGTGTTGGCTATAAGTGTACCGGGTTATGCACAATGACTTTTACACTGAGACGGCTCATATCATCACCAAGGATCAATTATTGTAGGTTCGAATCCCAAATTCGAACCGATATTGCCCGGTGATGTTTCAGTGCCACACAATGTTATTGCTATTGTTGTTGTTGTTGTTATTGTTTTGTTTTGTTTTTTGTTGTTGTTCAGGGTTTCTGAGTGGGTGTATGTTTTGGCTGTTTCGTTATAACATATTGAAACAGTAGTGATTAAGAGAAGTGACATAATTAAGAAATGTGGTATAAAATAATTTATTCAAAATTTAATATAATAATTAAGTGTTGTCCATAATCAAAATGAGAAATGATGATAAAAATATGTTATGCATGAGTGACCTGGTGAGTTGGTTCTACGCCGCTTTTATCAGTATTTCAGCCATTATCAAGTGATGCATGTTTTAGACTTACCGACTTGGAGCAAAGAAGAAGCTTATTCGGGGCAATTCAAGGATTCGAAACCGCGATAATCGCATCCTGGCACACATAAGGGACGCAACTCTGCATGGGGAAAGTCCATGCTTTAGACTACTTAGCTGTTCATGCCTCCTGTGATAAATAATGACAGCTATTTAATTATTAATTGTTATATGATAATTAATAGATATTATATGTATGTTCACGACATTTTAATATATACCGATTCGTACGAGAAAAAAGAGAAGAGGGAGAAATGTACCGTTAACGCAGTTTCAAGATACAGAAATCTGTATACTAAATTAAATAAAGGATATTCGTGTGACGAGTAGATTATCGTGTTTCTCTCATCGTGTGAAGAGGGGGGGGGGGGGGGGGGGGGGCATATTCTACCTACTTAAAAAAGTAGTTCCGTGTCTGCACAATCTAAAGATTTTCCTTACATTTGGATATATAAACACACAAAATCAACTTCAAGAAAAATATTCTTGAAATCTACGAGACCGCTTTAGAAACGAAAGGATAAATACTGGCCATGTAACCAAAAAAAGCGCTTCCGAAACGACGACTTTCGATTGAGTTAAATGAGAAATTTACAGTTAAAAAAACCCGACACATTTTCAAGAGAATAAGAAACGGCAAGAAGCGATATTAACTCCATATATGACCATCTGTCATTATTTTGCCTTGTCAATGTTGAAATAACGTAAAAAGGAAGTCAATAGTTTGTGCTGGGGCTAGATACGATAAAGGGAGACAATTTGCGGGAAAGTAACTCTTGTATGACAATAGTTCCGTCAAAGTGTTATGTCCACTGCAGTGAAATATCAAGTGTATAGTTAACGGCAATGGAAATATCACTTCTCTCAACTTCAGGAAACTCACACTTTCACACTGAAGTATACAATTTAAAAAAAAACCTCTTTCCGAACTGACTTCGTCGTGTGGCCCTAAACGTCACGTAAGCTTATATTTGTGTTACTTTGAAGGACGTAGGGTCAAAATAGATGTCTGTGAGTGATCGGTGTTACCAGGCAAAAGTCATCTTAACTTCCGTAACTTTCTGTAGCGCAGATTGATGATAGGTAGCTGTTTTAGCTGGAATGTTGCTGACTGCGGAGTTAAACAACATTCACTCACTCGCTCAAAAGGGGATATCATAGTCATGCGTGGATGTATCACAAGTGATACAAGTGCGCCGATAGAAACTAACATTTTAGTGCATTAGTCCTTATACTGATAACATACTCGCGCACAAAAAAAGCATTGCCATGTCTGGAAGTGTACATGTTTGTATGTTAGATAATACAGGTCAAGTCAGGACCAGACAAGTCCAGGGTTTATTCGGTGGTATCGCCTCGCGGCCCATAGTACAAGCCATTCGTCACCACTCGCCCCTTTCCGTAACCAAGCGGCTTGTCCCGGAATAACACGAGTTGGTCACGAATGAGTACAAACATGTTTTAGTCTTATGTATGGGATCGTATATCGAATTCATGCTTAAGGAAACCAGCAACAGATCTAATTATATTAATATGTTTGTAATCTTACAGATTAACCTTTGGAGTAGGTTACTGATAGTAGTAACATGAGTTAAATTTCTGGATCTTAACATTGAATACTGAAAATGAGTGAGTGAGTGAGTCGGGTTTAACGCCGCTTTTAACAGTATTCCCGTTATATCACGGCGTGTCAGCTTAATGTGGGAGGAAAGCCCGAAGTGATGCAGGTCTCAAACGAATACTGAAAATGAACATAACATAGTAGTCATCTTCTACAACAACCAGGTCACAGTCTGTACATAGATAAATTGTGTAATCTGTTGTCTCCATCTTACTGTCCCGTTATAAGTAAACAACTCGGTTAATATCCTGGTCAGTTGATGGTTATCAGTGAAAGTTAGAGACCGACCATTTGACATTCCGGGGAGGAGCCTGGGATTTTGTCTGGAGATTAGATATTTTTACAGCTACAGATGCAATACCACATACCTTTTTTTAATTTAAACCACAGTAAACTACGTTCTTAACGAACACGCTTATAACGAAATGACCGATATAACGAACATATTTTTTAGTCCCGGCCTTTTGTTGTTTATATTCTGTATATATGCTTATAACGAACTACGGTTATTACGAACTAAAATTTGTGGTCCCTTTGAGTTCGTTATAGACGTATTTTACTGTATGAGCCTGAATATATTTTAATGAAAATAACCTTGCAACAATGTAATTTTTGTGACAGACAATTCTTCTTTTTTTCAACTATCTGAAGCATAATTATTTTTTTCAAGAATTTTCTGGGACAATTGTTTTGTATGTGGATAAAATCCCAAGACCCCCAAGCATATCAAATGGTCGATCCCTTTATAGAATTATGATGCATAACCCTCAAGTGATGAGCAACTGATTATGATACAACCTTGACGAACGTTCAACCTTTGATAGTGACAATCTGAATGCAAATGAAATTTAATGATAATACAAATACAGTGTATTTGTTTCGCGTCAGTCTCCATACTCTAAGTGCATGCAGACCGCCTCCGCCTTGTGGTAGAGCGTCCGCCCGGAGAGCCGAAGGTCCGGGGTTCAATCCCCGAAGGCGTCACACGGAAAGATGTTAAAAACGATGTTACTAGTTGATACCCTGCCTGTGCTCGGCATTAATGGGTCAAACAAACAAACACACACACACACACACACACACACACACACACACACACACACACATACACACATGTGCATGCACGTCGCTATATAAGTATAAGTGCATTAATCTTGAACTGAACACCGACGTTAAACCCTATTTCACCTCACCTCATCACTTGGTGCATGCTCAAAGCGCAACAGTGGTCTAAAGTGAATAAGCTTCTCTAAAAAGATACGTTTTAAGATTAGATCTGAAAGTGTCCAAACTGGGCGATAGTCTTATTTGAGGAGGGAGAGTGTTCGAATCTTGACGACCAATTATGCTGAAGGCTTTGAAGCCATAGGTTTTGAGTTTGTAGCGACGAACCTCCAGCTGTTGTGAGTTCTGTGTACTGACATTGTAATGATGAATAAGACTTGGTAGATGGGTTGGTGATTGTCTATGCAGACATTTGTATGGGATGCAGAGTATTTTATACTGGACTCGGATTTCAAAAGAGCATCCAGTGCAGTGCCATGAGTACTGGCGTAATATGTGAGAATTTGGAAGATCTGAATACAGTACGAGCTGTATGTTGTACCTTCTGAAGCTTTAAGGTGAAGATGTATTGATTCTGTTTGAGTAAACTATTGGAACATCCAGTCTGGAGAGGACCAAGGACTCAACAAGGATGTTCGCTGAAATTGTGGTGATGAGATGACGTCAAATTGTCAACGTGTGCATCCATTGAAAGACGTGAATCAATAACCACCCCTTAATTTGGTTGCCTTGCCAACTAACACGTTCGTGACTTTACATATCCTCAGTAGCTGATGTTTTGTGCCTAACAGTGCTTCAGTGTGTCATCGTTCAGCTTCAGTTTGCTCTCCGTCATCCAAGTCTTGATGTGTGTAGTGGGGTCCGTGGTTCAATGCAGAGCATCAGTGAGCGTCAGTTCAAATCTAGCGATGAGCTGTGTATAATCCGCATAGTGCTGGTGATCCACACCATACTGTTTCGTGATCCTCCAATCTTTGTTGTGTATAACACAAATAATATCGGCCCCAACACCGATCCTTGTGGAACTTCATACTGCAAGGTAGTAGAATCTGATCTCACATTCCCAATTACCACCCTCTGTTACCTTCCACTTGAGCCCCATGTCTGTAAAGTTCTTGACAAACAGGAAAAATCGTTGTTTTACAGGAACATGTCTGTCCGATACTAAACGTCACGCAAGATATTATTTGTGTTACTTTGAAGGACATTGGGTCCACGCAATTGGGATCGATGACATGCATCAACCAAGTCAGCGAGCCTGACAACCCGATCCCGTTAGTCGCCTCTTACGACTAGCATAGTCGCCTTTTATGGCAATCATGGGTTGCGGAAGACCTATTCTACCCCGGATCTTCACGGGGCTGGTTATCAGTGAAAGTTAGAGACCGACCATTTGACATTCCGGGGAGGAGCCTGGGATTTTGTCTGGAGATTAGGTATTTTTTACAGCTACAGATGCAAAACCACATCCTTTTTCTTAATTTAGATTATGAGCCTGAATATATTTTTACGAAAATCACCTTGCAGCAATGTAATTTTTGTGACAGACAATTTCTTCTATTTTTTAACTATGTGAAGCATAATCTTTTTTCAAGAATTTTCTGGGACAATTTTTTTGTGTGTGGATAAAATTACGGGACCCCCAAGCATATCAAATGGTCGGTCCCTTAATAGAATTATGATGCATAGCCCACAAGTGATGAGCAACTGATTATGATACAACCTTGACGACCGTTCGCGGTCAACCTTTGATAGTGACAATCTGGATGCAAATGAAACTTAATGATAATACAAATACACTGCATTTGTTCCGCGCCAGTCTCCATACTCTAAGTGCATGCAGACCGCCTCCGCCTTGTTGTAGAGCGTCCGCCCGGAGAGGTTCAATCCCCGAAAGCGTCACACACACACACAAACACACACACACACACACACACACACACACACACACACACACACACACACATGTGCATGCACGTCGATATATAAGTATAAGTGCATTAATCTTGAACTGAACACCGACGTTAAACCCTATTTCACCTCACCTCATCACTTGGTGCATGCTCAAAGCGCAACAGTGGTCTAAAGTGAATAAGCTTCTCTAAAAAGATACGTTTTCTGGATGCAAATGAAACTTAATGATAATACAAATACACTGCATTTGTTCCGCGCCAGTCTCCATACTCTAAGTGCATGCAGACCGCCTCCGCCTTGTGGTAGAGCGTCCGCCCGGAGAGCCGAAGGTCCGGGGTTCAATCCCCGAAGGCGTCATACCGAAAGATGTTAAAAACGATGGTACTTGTTGATACCCTGCCTGTGCTCGGCATTAATGGGTCAAACAAACAAACACACACACACACACACACACACACACACATGGACAAACATGAAAAATCGTTGTTTTACAGGAACATATCTGTCCGATACATTCCAACTGAGGATGTCTGACCACGACGTTCTGACCTATTCAGTAGACAGCGTTCCCCCACGGTAAACAGACCCCTGTTGATGACCCACAGTAGCCCAACACCTCATGACTTAGTCGGGTTTCTAGACCACTAGCGCCCAAAGGATTAAAAAACTCATACATGCTCCATACCACACCTCCCCCGGTGCCTTCCTCTTAATCTGACCGCCTCCGTGGTCGAGTGGTACAGCGTCCGCCCGGAGAGCGGAAGGACCGGGGTTCGATCCCCGGCCGCGTCATACCAAAAGACGTTAAAAGATGGTACTTGTTGTTACCCTGTCTGGCGGTCGGCATTAAGGGGCTAAAATAAGGACTGGTCGGCTCGGAGTCAGTATACTGTGTCTGAGTGGGGTATTCATGTTAAACTGCGGCATGGTATCTCAGTGAGCTAGCACCATAAATCGGCATCAGTCCGGACAAGTACAAGCAGCCACACAAACACACACACGTACATGCACGTCGCTATATAAGTGAAATAATCTTGGACGCGACGTTAAACCCCATTTCACCTCACCTCACCTCCTCTTGATCTGCAGGTGCGACTGCGAAATCGACATTAACGGAAGAGCCCTTAAAATCTCCAAAACTATCAGCAGCAGGTGGAAATGCGTGTATACTCAGTGAGAGTTAGTGGATGGTGTGATGTGAATGTTGTTGGACGTGTATTGGTTAGTGTAGATTTCACCATCATCATCATTATCATCATCCTCATAATCATCCTCAAGGCAACTAGGGGACCGTCTGTCAGCCACTAGTTTGCTACATATGTGTGTATTAATCCCAGTAGTATTAGTAATTCTCATACTGTAACTGAATCCTTGCTCCTCACTTCGAGAAATTATTGAATCCTAGACGGGACATTGTCGCGTTGTTGCCTTGTCCCTTTGTCCCCCTTTCACCAACAAGAAAAAAGTGTCCAAATTCACCACGGCACGAAAAATAGATATACGCGGACCACAATCCGGCGGAACGAGTCAAGAAAGGTTATTGGCGACATGAGAGAAGTGAGTAATAAGGTTTTATGGCCTGGAGATGTAACTCCGAGATTTATAAGAGAGCATACTTAACCATAAGGAACATCAGCCAGATACGAGGGTTTATCACCGCCAAAACCACTGCCACTGGCGCAGTTTTGTGTTATATCACACCTGGATTACTGCAATGCACTGCTCACTGGTCTACTGAAACATCTGATAGACAAACTCCAGGGATGTCAAAACACGGCCGCCAGGAAAAATGGAACCACAAGTGTTGCGGTATGCCTGCAAGTGTTGCAGAGTGCCTACAAGTGTTGCGGTATGCCTACAAGTGTTGCGGTATGCCTGCAAGTGTTGCAGAGTGCCTACAAGTGTTGCGGTATGCCTACAAGTGTTGCGGTATGCCTGCAAGTGTTGCGGTATGCCTACAAGTGTTGCGGTATGCCTACAAGTGTTGCGGTATGCCTACAAGTGTTGCGGAGTGCCTACAAGTGTTGCGGTATGCCTGCAAGTGTTGCGGTATGCCTGCAAGCGTTGCGGTATGCCTACAAGTGTTGCGGTATGCCTGCAAGTGTTGCAGAGTGCCTACAAGTGTTGCGGTATGCCTACAAGTGTTGCGGTATGCCTGCAAGTGTTGCGGTATGCCTGCAAGTGTTGCGGAGTGCCTACAAGTGTTGCGGTATGCCTGCAAGTGTTGCGGTATGCCTGCAAGTGTTGCAGAGTGCCTACAAGTGTTGCGGTATGCCTACAAGTGTTGCGGTATGCCTGCAAGTGTTGCGGTATGCCTACAAGTGTTGCGGTATGCCTACAAGTGTTGCGGTATGCCTACAAGTGTTGCGGAGTGCCTACAAGTGTTGCGGTATGCCTGCAAGTGTTGCGGTATGCCTGCAAGCGTTGCGGTATGCCTACAAGTGTTGCGGTATGCCTGCAAGTGTTGCAGAGTGCCTACAAGTGTTGCGGTATGCCTACAAGTGTTGCGGTATGCCTACAAGTGTTGCGGTATGCCTACAAGTGTTGCGGAGTGCCTACAAGTGTTGTGGAGTAACTCCAGACCACTGTCGGACAGTGATATCACTCGTTTCATCAGTGACGGGATATCCAGCTACGTTGCCGAATACGATAATACTATATATACTTTTGGATTTGTTTTCAGTCGTTGGTTTGTGAATCAGCAGTGATAAGAACCTGACCTAATTGCGTGGCTGTTGAATATGACACACTTTTCAAATCTCTATCCATAGGATCGGGTACAAGTGGAAATCGATTTATATCAATATTTGTGGAAGTAATCATTCAGAAACCAGTCCCAAGCCATCCTTAATATGGGCACATATCTCTTGAAATGAGGTGAGGTGAAATGGGGTTCAACGTCGCTTTTCAAGATTATTGCACTTATAAAGCGACGTGCATGCACACGTGCGTGCGTGCGTGCGTGTGTGTCCGGCTAATGCCGATTTTATAGTGCTAGCCCACTGAAATGCCATCCCGCAGTTTAACATGAATACCTCACTCAGACACAGCATATGAACTCCGAGAAGACCAGTCCTTGTTTTATCCCATTAATGCCTAGCACCAGACAGGGTAACAACAAGTACCATCTGCTAACATCTTTTGGTATGACGCCGCCGGGCAGACGATTTTTCACTGGACCACGGAGGCGGCCTCTCTTGATATGAAGCGACTCAGTAATCTATTGAGTCTGACCTGAATTTGCCGTTTAGCTTGCGTAAGACCTCTTTTTTTCAGATGAGTTTTGCGCCAGTTTTAGTCATTATCAGATAACCAGGACTTCGCCAGTATTTACAGATCTGGTTGTTTATCCACCCTCATGGAGAGTCAGGGTCAGAATGTGTCCCCATCAACTTATTCTGGTCGTAAGAGGTTACCAAATGATGACAGCATGGATTATTGCTCAATATTAGTCACTGGATTGCAACATTCAAGCAACACCATTTGTGGAGGCAGGTAGACACCAGACTTAACATATTGAGATCAAGGGGGGGTTCAAACCAAGTTACTCAGAGATGAGAGAATGATTTAACCATGAGGTAGTTCCAAAGCCCTATAATTCTACAAAGCTCAGTCATTGGAAAGCAATACATCTTAAAACAGACACACATAAAAAGAATAATTTATTTATTACATATTGGGCAAGTACAGGACTCCTGGAGGCAGAACCGTGAGATCTCTTAAGTTGATGCAGGGAACAACTGTATTAATGTCAATGAATAAGTTTTATTTTCATATTTTTTAATTTTTTTTAGGGGGCAAAATTCCAGCCATCTATGGGAACATTATGTATTTCAGTTACATCACTGTGTGTCAGCTTAATGTGGGAGAGGCAAGACCAATTGATGCAGGTCAAGATGAACGTTTACCACTTTGGTGGAACCCACAGTATGTTGCGACTAACTCCATGTACCATGTCCTGTGAAGATCTCATGTCTTTTGTCATGTGCCAGTTCTGTTGATTGAAAGTGGCAGAAATTTGATTAAGGCACCCATATAATATCAAGTTGTGGAAGTGACCTTGATATCTAGTATTATGGAGTGACCTCCCTTGGTTGTAGTTTGTTTACAGTCCAAACTGCATCCAAGCATTTGACACCCTCCTGGTACAGGAACTTGTGAACAGTTATCAACTTCCGGGACAGACTACCTCTATGGTTTGAGAGGATTCAAGGTAGCAGCATCTGGTTGGTTCTATAAGAGCGAGACAAGGGCGATTCAAGGCCTTCCTTCTATGACCTGTCTTGCATCTTATCTACTTTCCCAGAATGGATGGTATACCCATCGGAAAACGCCTACTTTTCTTCTTGCTTCCAAAACTGTTTCCTGGATTTAAGAACGGAGCATGTGCCTGCTCCACCCATTGTATTGCCTTTTATTATTGTAAACTTAATCCTGTGCATTTCAATGTAATTACAGTGGTTAGTTAATGTTTTCAAAAATTAGTTCTGTACATATAGATTTGGGGGTTAACCTTCGCCTTTAAACATGGGGATTAACTTTTAACACCATGTCCTGTGAAAATCTCTACCATGTCCTGTGAAGATCTCTACCATGTCCTGTGAAGATCTACACCACGTCCGGTGAACTCTAGCACGATGTCCTGTGAAGATCTCTACCATGTCCTGTGAAGATCTCTACCATGTCCTGTGAAGATCTACACCATGTCCTGTGAAGATCTACACCACATCCGGTGAACTCTAGCACGATGTCCTGTGAAGATCTCTACCATGTCCTGTGAAGATCTCTACCATGTCCTGTGAAGATCTACACCATGTCCTGTGAAGATCTACACCACATCCGGTGAACTCTAGCACGATGTCCTGTGAAGATCTCTACCATGTCCTGTGAAGATCTCTACCATGTCCTGTGAAGATCTCTACCATGTCCTGTGAAGATCTACACCATATCCTGTGAAGATCTACACCACATCCGGTGAACTCTAGCACGATGTCCTGTGAAGATCTCTACCATGTCCTGTGAAGATCTACACCATGTCCTGTGAAGATCTACACCATAACCCTGTGAAGATCTACACCATATCCTGTGAAGATCTACACCATATCCTGTGAAGATCTACACCATGTCCCATGAAGATCTCTACCATGACATGTGAAGATCTCTACCATGTCCTTTGAAGATCTCTACCACGTTCCGTGAACTTTAGCACGATGTCCTATGTAGATCAATACTTAGTTCTGTTATGTTGACTACCACAGATAATCAGGTCTAATCTGATGTTTGAACACACAGCTGACCATATAAGGGACATAACTCTGCATCAAACTGCAGCGACCTAAACCACTGGGCCTCTCATGTTCCACATGGAAGAAATGTCACAAGAACCTATCCCCGTATTCGGTGTCACAGTTTACTTTCATCGACCAGGGATAATGTTTCTAGAGCCTCACTAATATCAACTTCAGTCGCAGCAGACGTCACCTTGATGACCTTGTTGAGGGTCGCAGCCACTGACTTGGCGTCTGCCACCAACTGTTCTCCGTCATCTTGTCCCCGCAGACAGAAGACAATCTCATTCACTTCATCATCAATGTGTACCGACAGCACTCGGCCAAACAGCTTCTTGATACGAGCCAAGATATTCTTCTTCAAGATGTCATCCCTAGCGACCAGATTCAGAGCAAACACTCCTGAAACAAACAAAACGCAAAGCTACAATGAGTTCATGAGCACCTGGGCCTTGTTGCACAAAGCTATCTTAGCACTAAGGTGATCGTAACTCCCAAACTTTAACATGGGCTTACAATAGTCATAGCTGAGAGATCGCTTTGTGCAATGAGGTCCTGGTGTGTTTGAATTATGCAAAATTCGTCCCACAAACAAACAAACACATGCAAGCACGCGCAAGAGCACGCACACGCACGCGCACACACGCATCCTACACAGAATCTCTTCCTGAAATCAGGACATAAACCAAACTTCGCTCTACTAACACGTATAAAATCAGCAAGCCAGTAATATTTAATCAATTCCATGTTTGACCTTATTTGATTACCAGAAAAAGTATTACACATCAACATGATAAATTTCATTTAATAAATTGCTGTTTTGGATTTATGGTAAACATGTTAAGCAGTAGAAAATCACATTCCTTTGACTACAACGATACAACTGAATACAACAGTTGGGCACTGTCAGATGAGCTTTTCGTGAGTTGTCCAAATTTTCCAAATGCAAACATATGGGTTTTACAACAAGTCCCTGGTAGATCCAGACAAACTGTGACAATCCCTCAAACATGTGTTCCTGTTCTTCGGTAGTGTGCACCCCAACAGTTTCAAAGCAAAGTCACTATAAAATAATGCCAATCCTGGATCTGACAGTTTACAGAAACTTCACTGGTAGTCCAGTAGACACTGGCGTCGTACCGGGTAATTAATTAACCCAGACATTTGTGACAACAACCCAATTATTGCACAAAATCAATCTTCTGGTTGTGTAAACAAAACCCAAGAAAATTCAAGCTTGGTGAAATCAGTTTAATGATTTGTGTACCCTTGTCACGGATGATGGATGCTGTCTCCTGCAGGAAGGCCTCCTCGAGGAACATCACTGGCGGACAGCTGATGCCGACTGACCGGTCCTTGCTGTCCACGTCAAACATCACCACATCGTACTGGCGCCCTGGCAACATGATATAACATCCATATAGCATACTGTCTCTCTAGAAACACTATGTGACGCCCCTACATCATTTTGTCTCACTGGAAACATTTTATAACATTATATCACTGTACTGTCACCCTGGCAGCATGATTTAACATCCATATAGCATACTGTCTCATTAGGAACACTATGTGACGCCCTTACATCATTTTGTCTCACTGGAAGCATTTTATAACATTATATCACTGTACTGTCACCCTGGCAGCATGATATAACATCCATATAGCACACTGTCTCATTAGGAACACTATAGGACGCCCCTACATCATATTGTCTCACTGGAAACATTTTATAACATTATATCACTGTACTGTCACCCTGGCAACATGATATAACATCTTTATACCACATGTCTGTCATTATTCTTTGTAACAAGGGAATAAGATGACGTACAGTAAGACTGGTCACTGCCGTTGACCACCCAAACCAATTTAGTCAAGTTTCATGAAAAGTGTGTGTAACTTGGAATCCTGGAATCCCCATAGGGAGACAAGCATGAGGTATTGGGGATCTATTCTGATCTGGAATCCCCACAGAGAGACAAAAAAGAGGTTATGGGGACCTCAATCTCATTAATATCAGATTTAAGTTCTCGCTGCTGCTAAACAAAGATGT